CACACACACACACACACACACACACACACACACACACATTTAATTATACGTACGTATGAGTACGTATGATTCAAAATTTCAAACTTTAACCTACTTATGAAATGACACATATTGCTTTGCATTGTGTAGAAAGCATACTGTAAAGGTAATCAAAACTTCTAAGATAAACTTAAATTTTTTGCAAACTACAAAATATGGTTAATGAAGCATACGTTAAGAAATATGCATAATACACATTTTGTGAAATAAATTAATATATCTTGAAAACAAGATTTAATATAATTAAATCAATAATTATGTAATACTTGCAATCATTATTCATTAAATTATTTTCAAATATGTGTAATTCTTTATAATCTCATCATGCTTATTATTATAATTTCTATTTTAAAAAGTACTAATTTTTTATTCTTACCAAATTTTTACCTTTTTTTAAATAATAAGAGCAGCTATATGACTGCATATATCAAACTAAAAAAAGAATGTAACTAATTGCTAAAGCGTATTTATTTCTACAAACTTATTCTTCGTGTGACACGAAATATTCTCTTTTAGAAGAACCAATACTATAAATTCGCGATGAACAATTATTGATTGAACACGTTATCCTATCAAAGCAGTGATATTATGTTATTCATTTGACGTTTTCAAAGTTTAGTTAGACTTACTTCAGATTCAACTCTGATATAATGAATTCGTGTGAGACAGCATTACCTGCTTTCATAAATTAATTATAATTATAATGAACATATGTGACCTAAACCGACACGCAAGCATCGAGTTGTCTTTGTTACACATGGAATACAAAGAAAAAAAGAATGATGTTTGTGTCGACTTGTGTCATTAAATGGAAAGCAAACAATGTGTAGCAAGAAAAGCGTTAGATTATATATTATATAAATATAAGGACCGCAATCGGTAATCATAAATCTATAAATAAAAAAAACTTTTGATAAGAATCTTATAACTTACGTCAAAAACCGTAAGCAAAAATTTTACAGGAAAATAGCAAAAAATTAATACGGAGAAATTTCGTTCTAAAACTCGTACTTTTACAGCAAAGTGACTTGTTTAAAATACAGAATCTGTAATACCGATTCTCCGTAATATGAAGGAATAAAAACTCGATGTTTTTCTACATTCAGTTTAGAACCCCACAACTGTACATATTGATCTGTACATATAGCATACAAGTGCTAATCGCGTTTAAATGCGATTAAAATTTTTGTTTGAAAACAAAAAAGCCGTAGCTGTTAAAGATTAATAATATTAATTATTTTTCGATTACATTCACATATAAACTTAATATATATTGCACTTTAAATCAAAAGTTAACAAATAAAATTAAAATATATTTTAAACTAAAAGTTAAAAAAATAATTAGTTGCAATGTGTTACAATTACTTATATATTATTCTTCATCAAATTAATTATTTATTATTTGTTTAATGTTTAACAAATTGTTCAAAATTTTAAGCAACATATTTTTCTAATTTTAATATATCCATTTATAATATTTTCTATAGTTTATGATATTGCAATTTATATTACTATTTATAAATAATAAAATTCTATGTACTGATATTTATTTTGTTTTAATTATAATGCAAAAGAAACGTGACTAAAATATAATAATATAATATCGAATCAAGAAAGTATGTTATGTTAAAGCACTTTCAAAAACACAATTCATCCACAAATTTTTCCTGACAAATTTTTCCATAACACGCAATATTCACTCAAACTTCGAGCAATAGAAACTCTTCATGAGCAAATACAAATATACACAACTCTCAGACTAAGGGTGCTTTGTACATGGATTGATATTGCGCATAGCGAGTATCGGAGTAACCAATCAGAAACGGTCCGCGATTCCAGGTATACGGAATTGAATATATTGGTTACGTGATACCTATTACGAAGAAAATATCAAGCCATGTGAAAACTTTTTTTAATGTCAGATTGATCATCAAACTCTTCTAAAGATTTGCGCAGGCGCTTCTTTATATTGCAGTACGATGAGTTGTCCATTCGTGGCAATACACTGTGTGCTTTCGTGCAGTGATCATGTCAAGTTTCAAACGTGCATCAAAAAGAGAAAAATCGAAAAAGGATATCGATTACAGTTTACAAATTAATCGATGGTTTCTCAAGCCAATCGGTGCGTGGCCAGAAATAAATGCACCGAGTTCGATGTGCAAAATCATAATATCATTACAAATTTCCATTTGTTTAAGCATAATAGCAGTACCAACGATACCGTGTATATTATATGTACTATTTGAGGCAAAAAATATCCAGCAAAAATTGAATACCATGGGACCACTGCTTAATAGATTTATGAGCTCGATGAATTATTGGGTGTTGCTCAAGCGTAGGGATGATATTAAAAAATTAATACTACATATGGAGACAGATTGGAATCTGATGCAAAGGATTGACGAACGTGAAGTGATGCTGCAACATGCTAAGTTCGGCCGTTTTGTTACTATAATATGTGGGCTAATGATGCAGGGCGGTAGTTTATTGTTCGGCTTAGGGCTATCTATGAAAACTGCTACCATCACCATCGGTAACGAGACTTTTACAACACATCTGACAACGTGTCCGATTTACAGCAAAATCATCGATATGAGATTTACCCCTCTGAATGAGATAGCGTTGGTTCTGCAAAATGTGATAATATTAATTATAAGTTTCTGTACTGCCGGTAATTGCAGTCTGGCTGCTGTTTTCGCGATACATGCTTGTGGTCAGTTGAACGTGTTGTACGCGTGGTTGCATGAACTAGTTAAAAACCAGACGGAAGAAAATGATAATGCTCAACAAAAACTGGCTGCTATCGTAGAACATCATTTAAGAATATTGAGGTATTTAATAAGCAAACATTCAGTAAAAAAATACATATTTTCTAATACTCTATAAAAGATTCTAAATTATCAACTAAATTAATAATTAATCATTTAAAAATAAAGGTTTACGCGCGTTAGAATAATAATAAATTTATTTCCTTTTTCTTATTAAAAGGGAGTTTGTATATATTTATGGAGAGATATAAGAGAGAGAGAGTTTAAATATATCCACGATTTATTTATAAAAAAATTGAACTGTGTTATGTATATTTATACGTTTCAGCTTTATATCACAACTGGAAAGTATTATGAATAAAGCCGCTTTTGTGGAATTAACAGGGTGCACGATGGCACTGTGCATGCTTGGATATTACACTGTTACGGTACGCTATAGATGTGAGAATGCCAATTTTCTGATACACAAATAAATGCCACTTATTTATAAAAAGTTAAAAACTTGTGTACGTGTATGTGTATGTGTGTATTATAAATAATATTATTAAGGAAATGTACAAAATTTGCTTTACAATTGTGTCAAAGTGTGTGTGTGTTTTTTGTCTGCATACTACTTTATATACACGTAATATATTTGCTTTAATTTTATATAAATGTAACATAGATATGTGAGAAAGTAATACAATATTTCCTCACACACATACCTATGTTATATTTATATAAAAATTTGAGTGGATCATTAGACACCTGAAATATGTTGAATTTAGTACAAATTTTCTTGTGTAGGGTTGGGAAATACTTGATATGACAAAAATAACATCTTACCTTTTTTCGTATTTATCAATGAGTTTCAATATTTTTATTTTTTGTTACATCGGAGGAATTGTTACAGAACAGGTAATATACTTTGAGAATTAAAACTTACTAAAACAAAGAATGTTTTAATATTTTCATAACAATATAATCAATATGTTAAGAAAAGTATCAAATGTGTAATACTACATATAAATAAAAAAATTTTATTAAATTATAATTTTTTAAATAAAATTATCTCATTTTTAACAAATTTGAATATTTATATTCTTTTTCACGTTACATTAATCTAATCAAATTTTTACTCTCATATAAAATTTTACGTTAAATTAGTGCAAACTTGTCGGAGATATGGCATATATGACTAATTGGTATAACCTACATCACACAACTGCACGTGGTCTCATTCTGATTATTGCCCGATCGAATAACGTAGTTAAGATCACAGCGGGAAAATTATTCCATTTATCCATCGCTACTTTTGGTGATGTAAGTAAAGCAAATTCCATTATTTCTTTTCATTAATAAAAATTAATAAGTTACATATTCCTTATACTTTTTGAATTTCAAATGATGATCATGTTATAAGAATTGTACTTTAATTAAATTATCTATAAAACATTTATACGTACAATTATATTCGTGAATATATATAATGTAAGAGAGAGAGAGAAGGGGCAATCAAATTTTTATAAATCTATATGTTTAAATTTGTAACTCTTAAAGAATATTATATATTATTTATGCTTTCTATATACAAACAAGTATACTGTATTGTTTCAGGTAATTAAAACTTCGATTGTATATTGCAATTTTTTGCGAACAATAACTATGTAAAAGTGTAATATGAAATATAAATTGAAAAATATACAAATTATATATTTTATATAAAATTATATTATTGTATCCTGAAAATAATATTTATAATGATTATTCCTTTTATGTTGCACTGAAATTAGAAATTACTAACCTCAAAAACATTAATATATAAAGATTTTTAGAAATCGTTTATTATTATTTTATTATACTTTGTGCACAAGGGAGCATAAACTTCATATTAAAATTCTATCTAAAATTTTGGGCTTGTGTGTATTCTTATAATATGTATAATTGTTAAAGCAAAATGTTTGTTATTCATGTACAAGTCTTAGGCGGGAACATTACTATATCAAATATATATAATTATACAAGCAATTATGTAATTATGTGTAAAACAAAACAACTCCAAAAAGACATAAGGATGTCTCTTATATGTTATATAGAACATCTATGCGCGCACGCAACGGCAAGTTAATAAATGAGATCAATGATAATGTCAAAATTGATAGTATGAGTCATTAATCTCTCTCATAAGACATCAATGACAGATACTACACAATATTTTATGATATTTTTCATGATAGTTTTTCATGAAAAATTGGAAAACTATTTCTAAATCGTTTTGTTTCAAATTCTTACAGAATCGATAGTATTAAACCTCAACGTTCACAATGATGATGAATAAAGTGCGAATATTTTTACGTACAATTTAGGACCCTATCAACTGAACATCGCAACTTTTTGATAATGTAAGTATGTAATAAGATATACCTTTCCTTTGTTTTGTTAGTTAAATAATTAGTAAATTAAATATTTTTAGATTTCATTAATTATAAATTATAATCTTCTTATAAAAATTGGACTGAATTAAATTATGTGCTTTGTTTAAAATATCCACACATTCAATTATATGCGTGTGACTTAAAATTTCAAATTTTTGTTTTTGCATTGTGTAAAAACAACATTTTCTTACAGATAATTAAAACTTCTATGATAGAATATTACAATTTTTTTCCGCATAAAATGGCTATGTAATAATGTGATAATAGTTAAAAAATATGCAAGATATGTATTTTATAGAATAAATTAACATATTTTGAAAGTAAGATTTCATAAACAAAATGGATAATTGAGTAAACATTGAGATTGTCGTGACAAATATATATACTATAATCTTTACTATTTTTTTCAAGCGTATTATTATAATTTTAATATTTGAAAGTGCTAATTTTCATTTTTATCAATATTATATATGCCTTTTTTGTACAGTACCAGAAGTATATAATCGAATATAAAAAAACATAATTGGTAGTTACATCTCGTTCATTTCTACGGATTTATCTACTCATGACACGCGATATTCTCTTCCCATAATTAGTACTCTGTAAATTTGCGACAAACAATTATTGATCGGACCTGTAACCCTTTGAAAACACAGTCGTAATATCAGGTTATTCAGCAAACTTTTTCGAAGGTTTGCTCAAACTTTACTTCACATTCAACTTTAGCACAATGCAACATTCGTGACAGCTCATTGCGTGCTTTTATAAAGTGATTATACTGAATATAGATTGGTAGGAAACGTTGAATTGAAGATACATAACAATTTACAATCGGACGTATTAAAACGGACGGATTTTCTGCTAAATTAAGAAAATTGAGTATATTATTATCTACATGAAAGACGAAGCATGTTCTTAAAATTAAACATTTAATAATTTATTTAACAAAAAACATTTTATTATACAGCTATGTTTCAGAATTATATATATACATAAAAAGCAATGTATAAAATTTGCTTGTTTAAATAAATTGCGGCATTTTTATAATATACTAACATTATATATTTTAAATATGTATTGTATATACATGTATGTCATACTAGCAGTACATTATAATTTTTTTATTATTATAACATATTACAATTATTATTTAAAAAATTTTTTTAATTACAGAATTAAAATTAAAAAATTAATTTATTTTTTTTGCAAGAAAATTGTCAATGAATTTGTATTTTCTAAAATTAGAGTACGATGATAAATTGTAATTTGTAATAAGTGATATTAATAATTTTATGATTACATTTTATGCTGTACATACCTATAACTTAATTTGATTCTCATTGTTAAATGCACATTCTTAAGCAATCATATCCTTTTCACAAGCTCATTGTATTGTATTATAACCCAACTGATCATTTAATTCGGGAACAAGTTTCATTTGTGTATCGATTAAAGAAAAGTTTTACCCTTTCTCTTTAGAACAAATCAATATAAGCGCAGATATCACGTTATTTAACTCCCTTTATTCTGAACGGATAACATAAACAAACAGAATAGATGGAAAACAAAAATAAAACTATCACAGATAAGTTTTTACGTCCGTTTTTTAAAAAATACAGATAATTTACGACAAAGTTATTTCAGTACAGTAATAAAAAAGATGAAATTGCGTGACAACCTGATTCAGCAATGTATTAGTCTCGCCGTCTATCTTACAATGAATTTACTACCACTTCAATTTGCTTTTACTGTCACTGTAAATATCGATTACTCGAGAGACATGTGTATTAAACGAAAATATAGTCAGTACATCGCGCACGCGTTACTTTCTGACTCTTACCCTGCGTGTATTTCGAGTATCATCCGCGCAATGATACTATACTCAATCGTGTCTATGCGCTCGAGAAGCAAACATGAAGAAGCTTCCACAGAACTCACCGATCATATTTAATTACATAGAGAATATGGAATACAGCATACAGCCAATTCGTTGGCTGCTAAAGCCGATAAGTGTTTGGCCAGTAATGAACTCATCAACCACGGAGAGAATCTCATCAGTGATGTTACTGATAGCGTGCATTTTTTTAATCATCAGCACATTGGTGCCTTGCGGATTAGCTATATTCCTCGACGAGACTAAGGATGTAGAGATAAAGATACGTGATTTTGGACCACTCAGTAACTGGGTGCTAGCGAGTCTCAAGTATACCTCATTACTGGTGCATGTTGGCGACATACGTCGATGTATTAAACATATCGAAACGGATTGGCGAGCCGTAACGAAGTTTGAAGAACAGGAAGTGATGTTAAAGAGTGCCAGGATTGGTCGTTTCATCGCGATATTCTCTGCGGTATTTGTGCACAGCGGCGTATTCTCGTACAGTATTTTCCGAGGAATGACGTTGAGCAAATCCATTGTTGAGGGCGATAATACGTCAGGACGTTCGTTGCCTTTTGCTTTCTATAATAAGATTTTAGATACCACGACGAGTCCAGTGTACGAGATAGTGTTTACAATACAGTGTCTATCCACGTTCGTTGTAAATTCTGTAACAGTAAGTGCTTGCTGCCTCACCTCTGTCTTCGTGCTGCACGCCTGCGGTCAATTAAAAATTCTGATATCCTTGCTGGATAATCTGATCAACGAAAGAAACAAAAAGACAGATTCTTCGCAGCAAAAGTTTGCCATCATTGTCGAGCATCATTTAAAAGTACTCAGGTAAAAGTACTCAGGTGATAAATTTTCTGTATGTATAATAGATAGACGACAAATTTTTTCTTGCCTTCATTTTAATTCTCTGCAAAATATTGTGTGAATGATACATTGATCTATCACTAAACAAATATACACTAAGATATCTTAATAACATTAATCTATATATATATATAAGAAATGGAGATTATTTGATATATATTATTACTACATAAATATATATTTCTAGCTTTGTATCTCATATAGAGAAAATTACGAATGTAGTTTGCCTTGTGGAAATAGGAGGGAGCACGTTGCATATGTGTCTGTTGGGCTATTATTGTATATTGGTACGCGTATTGTGAAACTTGTTTGCTGCTCATTGCCTATTGCTCAAACGAATTAGAAAATCTTTTTTAGGATTGGAATCAAAGTGAAAAAGAAGGTATAGTGGCATATGGTATAATATTGATCTCGGTTACTTTCAACATCTTTATATTTTGTTACATCGGAGAGATTCTTTCAGAACAGGTAACGATAGTTGAAAATATCATAATTGTATACGTAATTTGCGACCAATAAGAAATTAAACGATATATTAATAGTTAATTTCCTGTTTGAGTTTTATCAAAACGCGATATTGCCACGAGTGTATTGTCCGATTTAATCGTAATATAACAGTGTGGCCAAGTTGGTGAAACTGCCTACATGACAAATTGGTACTTGTTACCCGGAAATACAGCCCTCGATCTCGTTTTGATCATTTTAAGATCCAGTATTGTAGTTAAAATTACTGCTGGAAAAATGATTGAACTTTCTCTTTCAACGTTCGGTAATGTAAGTAGGTACTATATATTATATAAAAATATATTTTTTAAATTATAAATATATACTTAACTTACAAAAATAGTATTTTAAATTTTTTAATATAAACTATTAAAAATAAAATTAACGTTTTATTTTTAACAGTGTATATAAAAAAAATCATGTATGTAAAATATTATAACAGTGTAGGATAGGATTTAGTTAACAATTATCGAGACAACACTTGTGGGTAGATAGAGCGGATAAAATTGAATCGTTCTATTTCTATACCAATTTTGATTCACTTAATCAATCTATCTATACACATGTATCAATATCAGTGTATAATTATCAGACATTCTGTGTGTAATAATTATTTCAGGTACTTAAATCCGCATTAGCATATTTAAATATACTTCGTACCCTCATTACATAAATGTTATTGCGTAAATAATTTTTTATACCTTCAATAGATTGTAAACAATGAATATAATGTGCAAATAAATAATGAATAAATAACAATATTGTCGTGAAAATATTTTCAGCATATCATATTTTTAAATAAAACTTAATTAAAAAGTTTAATTTTATCTGTACCTTTACATTTGCCATACGTGTCTAATATATAATATATCATATGATTAATCTCTTTCATAAAATTATGAATCTTACTCGCAGATATAATTCTCAATGTAACTGTGCGCTTAAAACTGTCCAGTATACGTAAAACTTCAGAGCTAAATATCGATTACGCACTGTTTCTACCTATTGCCGCGGCGGCTACACATTATCACAATAATACACAATACATTGCAAAGATCACTTGTCGTATCATGTGTTGTTCAATGTCTGCGCACGCGCTGACCATTACTACTGCATGTGCGACAGCGAAGGGATAGCTTCAGTAAGTTGACTACGTTCGTCAGAAAATCATGGGGGATGATCTCGCAGATAATTCTAGCGTTCCTCCGTACTTAGTCGATAAGTACAACGAGTATAGTATCCAAATAATACGCTGGATTCTCAAGTCAATTAGTGTATGGCCGCGTTCCGCCAACGCTTCACTTGTCGAAAAGATCCGTTCCGATTTCGCGATATTTATGTGCTACTTCCTGATAATTACTACCATGGTACCTAATGGTTTAAGTATGTTCGTCGATTCGCAGATGTCCTACGAGACTAGGCTGCAAAATTTCGGTCCACTCACCTTCTGGTTCATAGCGATGGTGAATTATTCCTGCCTTCTAATGCACGTTGATGATATACACAATTGTGTAGAACACGTGAAAATGGACTGGCTGATCATCAGAAGATTAGAGGATCAGAAAGTTATGCTAAAGAGCGCCAAGTTAGGTCGATTCATCGCCGGTTTCTGCGCCGTGTTCATGCACTGCGGTGTATTCTCGTACAATGTCGTCCAAGGTCTCTCAAAAAGTATTCTACACATGGAAAATAGCAGCATAGTAGTTCGCGGGTTACCTTATCCCTTTTACAACAAGATCCTAAATGTGCACTTCAGTCCGGCATACGAGTTCGTGTTCTTTCTACAGTGCCTTTCGTCTTTCGTAGTCAACTGCATTACCGTCGCCACGTGCGGTTTAACAGCGGTTTTCGTGATGCATGCGTGCGGTCAAATGAAAATTATGATAGCCTGGCTTGAAAATCTCATTAAAGATAGAAAAGAGGAAAGTTCTCTAAAGCAAAGATTTGCAATCATCGTAAATCATCATTTAAGAATCTTGAGGTAAGCTATTTTCTTTGACTCATTTAATATGGCTCATTTAATATCTTTTAATCTGCGCTATAATCAAATCTAATCTAATTCAACTGAATAATAGTGCAATTAATAGTTAATGTTAGCAAATGTTTTTAATGTAAATGTCACATTCATTATACATGTTTTTAATTTATAAATAATAAAATTAATAAGGCTCTATAAGTAAAAAAACAATGTATATAAAGAAAGGCAAAGAGCCAATAATATAACAGATAAATTTAATTTATTACAAACATACGTTTCGACTCCGATCGGATTATTCTCAATATTACAGTAAAAATAATACAAAATTCGTTATAAATTTACACAATTCATCATAAACGTTGTTTCTAAAGTAATTAAAATTCATTGTTCAAAATTTCGCATTCTTCATCTTGTATAATGTGTTACTAAATCAGAAGTTATCTAAATAGAGAATTAAAATTTATTGTTCAAAATTTCGCATTCTTCATCTTGTATAATGTGTTACTAAATCAGAAGTTATCTAAATAGAGAATTAAAATTTATTGTTCAAAATTTCGCATTCTTCATCTTGTATAATGTGTTACTAAATCAGAAGTTATCTAAATAGAGAATTAAAATTTATTGTTCAAAATTTCGCATTCTTCATCTTGTATAATGTGTTACTAAATAGAGACCACTGCGGTCTCTATTTAGTAACACATTATACAAGATAAAGAATGCGAAATTTTGAACAATAAATTTTAATTACTTGGGAAACAACGTTTATGAGAAATTTTGTAAATTTATAACGAATTTTGTATTATTTTTACTGTAACATTGAGAATGATTCGATCGGAATCGAAACATATGTTTGTAATAAATTTTACTGTAACATTGAGAATGATCCGACCAGAGTCGAAACGTATGTTTGTAATAAATTGAATTTATGTTATTTTACTGGCTCTTTGTCTTTCTTTATATACATTGTTTTTAATTTAAGATATCTCATTTTATGATGTAATTAAAAGTTATATAATAAATGTCATATATTTAATAAGATTAAAATCGCTAGAAAATAATTATGATCGATCGTGATATTTTTGCAGTTTTGTATCCCGTACAGAGAAAATTATGAATATAATATGCCTTGTGGAATTAATTGGATGTACTATGCATATATGTCTCTTAGGTTATTATTGCATTATGGTATGGAAATTCTTTCGGAATACACATATATATTTTATATTATTTCATTCACCTATTTACATTTTTATCGCCTGATATACATCAGACTTAATGTCTCTTTTAGGATTTTATTGAAGGCAACCATCAGAGTATCTTGTCACATTTAATGGTATTATCTTCGATTACTTTTAACATTTTTATATTTTGTTACATCGGGGAGATACTTTCTGAACAGGTAACATATAACACACTTAAAAATTTAACAATAAAAAACTGTATACTCTAATTATAAAAACTGCGATGATACTATCTAAATTCTTTAGAGTAAAATCTCACTAAAGAATGAAAAAATCTAAAAGTTTTAGAAAGTAGAATATATATTCGCGAGATTAAGATTTATGTATTGAAGAATTTATTAAGATGCAATATCGCTGGTTTCTTTAATCGAATTATAACAGGTATACAAAACGGCCTTTAGGGCGAACAAATCGGTACATCTGCCTATATGACAAAATGGTATCTTTTACCTGGAAAAACTGCCCAGGGGCTCATTCTGATAATTTTAAGATCCAACGCTGTTCTTAAAATAACTGCCGGAAAGCTTGTTCAGCTCTCATTTTCCACGTTCGGTGATGTGAGTATGCAAACATACGTTATAAAATTTATGTATATGTAAAATAATATGCAACTTATACATTTGAATAAAGAATGTTACAATTTTTGTATTATTGAAATTTTGTCATATTTGTAGCATTCGTGTGTAATATGGTTGTGTAAATATTTTATGATACAAATATTTTTATAAAAATAATAATCAATCTTTGATCGAAAATGAGTAATTTCTAAAATTGCTTTAGGTAATTAAATCAGCATTAGCATATTTAAATATACTTCGGACTGTACTGCTTACGTAAATAATTAACTTTGATATGAAAAAAAACAATATGCAAAATAGGTAATTAATTATAAAATAAATATAGATGTTTAATACAAATTTTATATAACGTTTGTTTTTGTTAAAAAAGTACCCATTGTCCAGGCCATAAACTATAAATTAATAAAATAATTTTCTTATTAAAAGTTTACTTAAAAATACGCGACATAAATTTTAATTATAGTTAATTAGAAAATTTTATAAGATTGAAAAAATATATTTAATATATTCCCAATATACATATATTCCCAAAAATAATCGATTGAATCGACGTTACTCAATGTCGATGGCATTAATTTATCGATGTCAATTCTACCAATCATTAGCTGGGATGTGGGGTACACACAACCCACAAGTCTCACTTTACAAATTCTAAAGACATTGCGCGCTTTCCAATTGCAATATTCCTAGACACTACCGTGCACACGGCGACACAAATTACGTTCCAAATGCCCATTATCGTCGACACAACACTACATCTGTATTTACAATCAATCGACGGCTACTAGTGGGTTGTGTAAGCTCTGTTTTCTAGTAACGTTTAAATATGTTACAAGTCAGGGGACTATAAATGATGTTAAAGGATATGGAATTTTCATTTTCTTTTAATGCAATTGACAACATAATGACAAAATATCAAGGCACAAAAATGGAAAAATTAACCTTAATCTACCCGAAATTACTGTTCCAATTCAGTCACGCACAACGCTATACTTCGTGCATGCCTGAGTATGTTTATGTCAAAATGTGTTTAGCAAAGCATCCTTTGGCAACATATGATCCAAGTAATTAATTTATATGTATATTTATTTATATTCAATATGTGTATATAAAAGGAAGAGACTTAATTAAATAAAATAAATTTATTCATTCAATACTATTACAGTATTTTTTTACACGTAGCGTTATAAAATAATAGTCAATATGAATCAATAGTCAAAATAGTAATTTGAAGAAATATTTTAATCATTTTTCAGACAGAAATTTATATTTCACATTTGCTCTTACTATTTATTCTAAAGATGCACTCACTTCCCACATTCAAGAAAACCATATGAGAAATGAAATACGAGTAAAAGATCATCTACCGACTACGTTAGAAAATATAAAGTAGGAAACATGCAGTATATTACGTATTCCCCTTTCATGAACAGCAGTTAAAACCCTTTTTTTCCTATAAAATTTATTTCCTTATCTGCATCTCCGCAAAAGGATTTGCACGCAGCACGCAATAAAATTCCAGGAACTATAATCCGTTGTCGTCTCACTAATAATGAAACAGCCAGAAGGTAGACAGGAATAAGAAAGAATCAATTGCGTTCACGCACGAACATCATGAGCGAACAGAAGATATACGCACATGCGCATGCCGAATTGACCGGCGATCAGTTCACTGACGGTCAGTCAGTTGCGTGCATCGTCGCGATTTAGCCATTATTATGCCTGATCCTTCAAAGTCAAAGTCTATCGAGTCCATAACAGATGGATGGAATTACAGTATTCAGATGAACCGTTGGTTTTTGAAGCCAATTGGCGTATGGCCATTGACTCTCTGCGAAACAATGATGGAGAAAATCGGTTGCATGATCCTGACGGTGATTAGTTGTTTATTGATATGTTTCTTACTCATTCCATGTACTCTCTGCACTATCCTAGTAGACACCGATCTCGACACCAAGATCAGGATGATCGGTCCGGTCAGTTTTTTGCTAATGGCCGCGGTGAAGCAATACATTCTTATTAATCGCAGCAAGAACATCGACGAATGTATTCGGCACATCCGCACGGATTGGAGCCGTGTCGCGTTGGGTCACGAGAGAGATAGAGAAATAATGGTTAACAACGCTAAGTTCGGCAGGTGGCTTTCCTCCATCAGCGCAATCTGCATGTATTCCGCCGGTATATTTTTCACCACGGTGATGCCGATTTGCGCAAGGAGAACAGAGATCATTGACAACGAGACAGTGAGATCGCTTTCCTTTCCAATTTATCGTGGTCTCTTTGATCCACGCACCACGCCATTTTTCGAAATCGCGCAATTTACGCAAGCTCTAGCTGGTTACGTCATCTATACGAATACTATCAGCGTGTGCAGTCTGACAGCAGTATTCGTCATGCATGCCTGCGGTCAATTTCGTATACTCATGCTAAAAATGGAGGATCTCGCGGACGGAAAAGAGAGGAAGAGTGCGAATAGCACCCACGAAGGAAGGCTTGGTGACATTGTAAAACATCACATTAGAATACTCAGGTAATGTTGCTATATGAAGACGATTGTATCCACAGGGGAATGAAATCATTTGCAATTTTGGAAAATTTTTCAAAATATAAAATCTTAACGTTATAAATGTTCATAAAATATTATACGTAAAAATTTTTATAACTAGTGGTAAACTTTGCGTTAGTAAACCTGATAATTATCTTTTTACTAACGTGTATCGAAAAATTAGCCTAATATTACTATTATAATAATTCTATTATTTAAATAGATTTTACCTTTTTTTTCACTTTAATCGCACAATTTTCAGTTTCATTGCTCGCACCGAGAAGCTTTTAAATGAAATTTGTCTCGTGGATGTAGTCGGATGTACGCTTAACATATGTTTTTTAGGATTCAATATGATGACGGTACGAAATATATTTGCGAATAATATTTTAAGTAAATTCAAAATACAGTATAATTACGTTTCATGATTATAACGTTTTGATGTTAGCTTTTTAGGAATGGGAGCATCGTGAAACACTAGGAACGATGACGTTCTGTTCATTACTTGTATCTTTCACGTTCAATATATTTATCCTCTGCTATAATGGTGAACTCCTTGCTGAACAGGTACTTAAATTGTAATGATAATCTTTACTATAAATAATTTGTTTATTTATCACATTTGACATTTTAAATATTCTTAGTGTAACACAGCAAGAGAGAGAGAGAGAGAGAAATTAATAAAAATTTCACTTTTTTAACTTTACAGTTTATTTTCTCAAACTAAAGAATTTCGTTAGCTTTCTGTTGAAACTTGTGTTAAACTTGATTTTACATGAAAAATTTAAATTTTTTTAAAAGCTTTGTAATGTAAATGTTACTAAACGGGCGCGTTATAAGAATTGTTATTTACAGTTCTATATACAACATAACTGATGTCTATATTTAGATCATCAAAATGTTTTTAACAGTGTATACAAATCGGCATGAAGTCTTATATGATAAATTGGTATCGCATACCGAATAAGGGAGCACTAGGTTTGACATTAATAATGGCCATGTCCAATGCCACGATCAAACTTACAGCTGGAAAATTTATGGACTTATCTTTAGCCAGTTTTTGCAGTGTGAGTAAACATATTAAAATTATTTTCACTTATTCATATATACGAAAATTATTTATATGAAAAAATAGATTAAAAATGAAAATTTCAGATTGTTAAAGCGTCCGTGGCTTACCTGAATTTACTTCGTACCTTCTACGTTTAGTATGGTAATATCATCGTTACCAAGATGTATTATACTAGTATAGTAACGTTAGCGCGTTAAAATATATATTTAACAAAAATTAGATATATGCCAATAAATTTGTTAAAATCAAGTTACATAAATTATCACGTAAACATAAGCTTAAAAATTAAAATTAAATTTATTACGATATTGACAAAACTAAAATTAAAAATTAATTAATTATGCTGTCCATAAAATACAATATATAGCTAAGTTTTATACTATGTTACGCAAAGTGCACTATATCTCACGCACTTATCTACTGACTGTAATACCTCCAACGTTGCGTTATGCACTAAAAAACAGTGGGGATACGTATACGCAACTCTATATATCATATATTAGAACTCATAAACTTTATGTCGTTACGCATTTTCAATCGTCATTGACATGACCCATAGACATGTAATGACTGAGAAAGAAAAAAACCATATGCACGCACATCTTCCCCTTACAGTACACATGACAGACATGTGGGACGCATCTATACGCGATCACGGAATTATTATTTCCCCGCGCTTGCGTCGCCACGCAGGCATCAAGACGGTAAGTACTGCACGCGTGTTTCAGTCGGCGTTGTACACTACGAATGACAACATGCGCGATCGATTCCAACTTCCAGGCAGGATACACAATGTACATTACGAGCACGACATATACTACGTTATGCAGCTATGCCGGTGGATCCTGAAACCGATCGGTATTTGGCACATGATTCACGGTCGTTCGTCGCAAAGCGATAAGCTTCTTTCATTAATGCTGATCTTTATGTGTTTCTTTGGTCTGTGCTTCGTACTTGTACCTGCCGGTCCGTATACTCTATTCCGCGAAAAGGACATTAACATGAAGGTCAAGCTTTTTGGACCGATTGGCTTCTGTCTGACTTCCGCAATCAAATACTGCTTCCTCGGAGCACGTGTCTCAGCAATTGGAAGATGTATCGAACATGTCGAAAGCGATTGGCGGGTTGTGCGGCATCAGGATTATCGCAGAATGATGCTGAGGAACGTGCTGGTGGGCCGCAGGCTAACAACGCTGTGCGTGATCTTTCTTTACACCGGCGGCATGTCTTATCACACAATCATGCCATTGTCGTCTAGAACCAAGATGAATGGCAGCTTTACAAATAGACCCTTAGTTTATCCAGGATATGATCTCTATTTCGATTCTCAAGTAAGTCCTGCTTACGAGATCATCTTTGGCATGCATTGCCTGTCTGCTATGATACAGTATAGCGCTACAACGGCAACGTGTAGTTTGGCCGCAAACTTTGCAACGCACGCGTGCGGACAAGTACAAATATTAATGATGCTGTTGGATGACCTAGTCAATGGGAAGAGAACTGAAGGTACCAATGTGGAAAAACGTCTGAGCTTGATAGCAAAGCATCACGTGCGTGTGCTGAGGTGAGACGGGAAAAGTGCCGAGATAGTTTACACACATAAACACACATGACACATTTCTAGACTTATTTGGAGTAGATACATGGCGCGTTTCTAGATTTACGACTGACGTGGAAAAAATATTACGTGAAATATGTTTACTGGAACTGGTTGCCGCAACTTTGCTGATATGCTTGCTCCAGTATTATTGCATGACGGTAAGAAAATTACGGCAGCAGATACGCATCACAATAACATAATTATTGCTTTTTCCTGTATAGCAGGTTTTGTCGTACTTCCAATATAGCTGTTAATTTAAAATTATAATAATTGAAGAACTTGTTGCAATAACATAACTAAATATGTGAAAAATATAAAAATAAAAAATCATGTATTTGTTCCAAAGATTAGACTAATTAATATTATACTTGATATATAAATGTAACAATACATATTTTTTTATGTTTTAACAATGTAACTATTTACATATATGCAGAGTGAGTTATTTTAAGTGATACATTGAAATACCCTGAAAAATATATAAAATGCAAAAAAGCGTTTTAAATAAAAGTTGCTCAGTTACTAAGGAGAAAGAAAGTGGTTACCTTGATTGATCTAGAAGTGATATTCTTAAAGTCAGGTCAATCAAAAATGTTTTATTTCATATAATTAATGTCAAACTCTTTTCGAAACATTATATAAAATATTGTTTCATTAAGTATTTTAGAAGTTATGAGAAATTTGACTCTCTATGATAACCTATTCGAATGTAAAATTTTCTGTTTTTTTCATTTATTGAGTAAAAAATAGGAGTTCCCATTTAAAATGATCAGTTGTAACAATTGCTTGGTGGACGATCGATATTAACTTGGAATGCTTCCAGCGTTGACTTATTAATATTCAAACTCTATAACTTGTAAAGTACCAAATAAGAAAATATTTTATTATAAGTGTTTTGAAAAGAGCTTGACATCATCTATATGAACGTAAAATAAAAATTTAGGATTCCCATTTAAACAAATTTAGTAATCTTAACCTGATGTTAAGGATGTTTCCTCTAGGCCAACTTAAGTCATCATTTCCTTTCTTCCTCGTGTGTAACTGAACAACTTTTATTTAAACCTTTTTTTCGTACCTTTTATATTTTTCGAGATAATTCAGTGTATCACATAAAATGACTCTTCCTGTATAAGCGGACAAATTTTACTCATTTTATAATATCAGACGATTTGCATTCCGTAATAAATTTTCGGGACATGTGTCAAAACATGAAAGAATTTTTGTAGCACGTGAAAATATAAATATATTTTTTTCATAATTTTAATTTTAGAGTTAACATTCTCTGATTTTACAAAATGTAAATTACGTCTATTGTCGCAGCAAGTTCTTTATTCATAATAAAATAGAAAGGATCTCCTTTCTTCACTAATAAATTGTAAATATCTAGTTGCACATTTGTCTTATCAGGAATGGGCGAATAGCGACGCCGTAGCCATCCTAACATATTTCATATTACTCATATCCTTAACGTTCAACATTTTAATATTTTGTTACATCGGCGAACTCCTAGTGGAAGAGGTACGTTTTTCATAATAGACTGCTAATAAAAACTTTTTCTGAGGAACAATTATTAAAAATCCATAATTTATCAATCCCATTTTAATGATGAAAAAATAATTACAAACATAATATAATTTTAATATTTAATTATTTCTATTTTGATTAGTTTGGCAAAATTGGTTCAGCCGCGTATGAAGTTAATTGGTACGATTTACCCGGTCATAAGGCTGTGGACCTTATAATGATCATTACGATGTCTTATTATCCACCCAAGCTTACAGCTGGCAAGTTCTGTGATTTATCTCTCAACACTTTCAGCACCGTAAGTGTCATAAATAACTATTGTTATTATTTAAGTAATTCTATATATGTAATTCTACACTTGTAAACTGATGGCTTTCATGATAATCAATTCTAATTAATTTTCTGTAATTGCTAGTATTACATTATTAATTTAAGCTTCTAAAGTTTACATTGTTTCTAGGTACTTAAAACATCTGCAGTATATTTAAATTTACTTCGGACAGTTACGCAATAAAACTTATATACATTTCCTGTTATTGTTCCTGACAGCAAGTTTGTTATATAGATATATTTTTAGTCAAAAAATAATAAATTAACATCTGTCTTATTCATTATCTGTCATTATATGTCATTCAATCAATACTAAAATATTAATAAATTGAATTAACTTACTATTAAGATTTGATTGACCATAAGACGAATAATATAATGTGTTTAAAAATTAAAATTTACTGTATATGTCACAAAAGAAGAGTAAGTAGAGCTAAAAAACGACAATCATAAAATAATATATAAAACAATGCATAGATAATGTTTAAGAAATCGTCAACGATGCATCTCGTTTGAAAAATATCGAAGCTACGCATTGCGTGTGGAACTAGTTATAAACTTCCAAGCCCTTCGCGATTGTACATGACTGAATGAGCCCACGGACAAGCAATGACTAAGGGGAGAATCAATCGTTCGCATACGCAATGCACGCATGACTGAACACTTGGTCATACATGACAGCCATGAAACACACATACACGCAATATTGAAGGCATTACTTCCCTACGCTTGAAGGCATTACGTCCACATGTTTCAGTCATCGTTACACTTCGCGGGCAGCATGATCGATCGATCCCATCTCCCAGGCAGGATACACAATGTACGTTACGAGCACGACATATACTATGCCGTGCAGCTATGTCGGTGGATCCTGAAGCCAATCGGTATCTGGCACATAATTTATGGTCGCTCTTCGCAAAGCGAGAAGCTCCTTTCGTTAATGCTTATCTTCGTGTGTTTCTTCAGTCTTTGCTTCGTGATTGTGCCTGCTGGCTCGTACACTTTATTCCGTGAGAAGGACATTAACATGAAGGTCAAACTTTTTGGACCGATTTTCTTCTGTCTAACTTCCGCGATCAAATACTGCTTCCTCGGAGCGCGTGTCTCAGCGATCGGAAGATGTGTCGAACACGTCGAGAGCGATTGGCGGATCGTGCGGCATCAGGATCATCGCAGAATGATGCTAAGAAATGTGATTGTTGGCCGCAGAATAACGACGCTGTGTGTGATCTTTCTTTACACCAGCGGTATGACTTATCATACAATCTTGCCATTGTCTTCTGGAACCAAGACGATTGGCAACTTTACAATTAGACCCCTAGTTTATCAAGGATATGATCTCTATTTTGATCCTCAAGCAAGTCCTACTTACGAAATCATCTTTAGCATGCACTGCCTGTCCGCTATGATACAGTATAGCGCTACAACGGCAGCGTGTAGTCTGGCCGCGAACTTTGCGTCGCACGCATGCGGACAGGTACAGATATTGATGACACTTTTGGATGACCTAGTCAGTGGAAAGAAGACTGAAGGTACCAATGTGGAGAAACGTCTGAGCTTGATAGCGAAGCATCACGTGCGTGTGCTGAGGTGAGACGGGAAAAGTGCCAAGATAGTTTACATGACGCGTTTCTAGACTTATTGGGTAGATACATAGCGCGTTTCTAGATTCACGACTGACGTGGAGAAAATGTTACGTGAAATATGTTTACTGGAACTGATGTCTGCAACTTTGCTGATATGCTTGCTCGAATACAATTGCTTAAAGGTAAGGAAAATACGATAGTAGACACACATTATGACAATGTAATTTTAGCTTTCCGCCTATTAGAAATTCTGCTATACTTTTAATATAGCTGACTTGATATTATAATAACTGAAGAACTGGTTGCAATAATGTAGTTGAATTGAATATATGTATATTAGAGTAGGTTGAAACATTTTTTTTTTTAAATCGATTAGAAATACCCCAAAAATTTAGCTGGGTTTTTTTATTTTAAATGGACCTCAATATTAATCCGTTTCGGTGAAATTTTATCCAGATCATATTGAGATCCATAGCTAACTTTTGTGAGGTATTCCCAATCGATTAAAAAAAATTTTTTTTCGACCCATCCTAATGAATACAAATAATGGATAAGTTCTGTATTTGACCAAAAGATTATGCTAATTATTACGTATTATATCTGTTATGTTTATATAGTAATTAGTATTTTTCCTACCTCTCAGCAGTATAACTATCAAATGTGTAGTCAAATTTTACTCGTCTCATATTATTCCTTATTTATAATCTGCAATCCGTAATAAACTTTTTGGACATGTGTCAAAACATATAAGAATTTTTGTAGCATGTGCAAATAAATATATTTTTCTCATAATTTTAATTTCAGAGTTTACTTTCTCAATTTTTACAAAATATGGGTTACGTTTATTGTTGCAGCAAGTCCTTCATTCATAAAGAAATAAAAAGGATCTCCTTTCTTAACTAATAAATTGTAAATATCTAGTTGTACATTTGTCTTCTCAGGAATGGGCGAATAGCGACGCCGTGGGCATCTTGACATACATTATGTTACTGACATCTTTAACATTCAACGTTCTGATATTTTGTTATATAGGTGAACTTCTCATGCAAGAGGTATTTTTTATAGTATATTACTCATAATAAAATTTTTTGCAGAATTTTCAATTATTGAAAATTCTTAGTATAAAAATCCTATTTTGAATAAATAGTAACAAACATAATGCAATTGTAATATCAAATTATTTATATTTTTATTAGTTTGGCAAAATCGGTTTAGCCGCATATGATGTTAATTGGTACGATTTACCTGGTCATAAAGCTGTGGACCTTGTAATGATTATTACGAAGTCTTATTATCCACCCAAGCTTACAGCTGGCAAGTTCTGTGATTTATCTCTCAACACTTTCAGCACCGTGAGTTATAATAATGCTAAATAAAAAAAACTATTGTTATTTATAACTATTGTTTAAGTAATTCTATACTTGTAATTCTATACTTGTAAACTGATGGCTTTCATCTTGATCAATTCTAATCATTCTTTTATAATTGTTATTATTATATTATTAATTTATGTTTCTAAAGTTTACATTGTTTCCAGGTACTTAAAACATCCATTATGTATTTAAATTTACTTCGGACAGTTACGCAATGAAACTTAAACATTCCTTATTATTATTAGTACAGCAAGTTTGTATAGATATATTTTTTCTCAAGAAATATTGTATAGAAATCAATAATAAATTAACACATGTCACATTCATTAATTGTTGTTTATATAATTAATCTGAAAATAGATAAATTACACTATAGAAAATAAAATTAACATTTTATTTTTTACACACAGTGTATTAATTTAAATTAATCTTATATTAACTTACACTATTGCGATTTGATTAATTTTGAGACAAAAATCTACATATTTAAAAATTAAAATTTTCAAAAAGGAGAAAATAAGAAAGTTGCAACTATATTGTGGAATAATTTATAAAATGCATACTTATACATGTGTAATGCATAGATCATATCTAAAAAGTTGCCAACAACGAATCTCACTTCAAAAGATATGGAAGCGACGCATTGCGTGTGGAACTCGTTATGAATTTTCAATCCCTTCGTGCTTGAACATCACTGAACGAGTCCTCGGACGAGCAATGACCGGGAGAAATCAATCGTTCGCATACGCACACGGTCATATACATATGACAGATATAAAACGCACATGCACGCGATTAAGTCATTACTTTTCCGCGCTTGCGTGGCGAGAAACGGAATATCACGTAACGTCCGCGTTTCAGTCATCGTTGCACTTCGCGGGCGACAGCATGTGCGATCGATCTCAACTTACAGGAAGAATGCTCGAGATGTACAATGTACACTACAAGCACGACATACGTTACACAATGCAGCTGTGCCGCTGGGTGCTGAAACCGATCGGCATGTGGCACCCGATCTATGGCCATCCATCGCAGATTGAGAAGTTCATCTCGATAATATTAATTGTTATATGTTTCTCCGCTCTGTGTTTCGTCCTGATACCTGCTGGATTTTATACTTTATTTCGCGAGAAAGACATCAATATTAAAGTCAAGCTTTTCGGTCCAGTTGGCTTCTGCCTGACTAATACAATCAAATATTGTTATTTTGGTGCGCGCGCTGCCGCGTTCGGAAGATGCATTCGACATGTAGAGGATGATTGGCGGTTCGTGCAACATCAAGCTCGCGGGATAATGCTGAAAAATGTGCTGATAGGACGCAGACTCACTACGCTATGCGCGATTTTCCTTTACACTGGTGGATTGTCTTACCATATAATAATGCCGTTATCTTCCAGACAGAAAATTAATGAGAATTATACGATCAGAATACACACTTATCCCGGTTACGATATACTTTTCGATCCCGGAGCCAGCCCTGCCTACGAGATTGTATTCTGCATCCATTGCCTATTCGCAATGATTACGTATCACATCACGACGGCAGCTTGTAGCTTGGCAGCGATTTTTGTGACGCATGCATGCGGCCAAATAGATATATTAATGTTGTTATTGGATGATTTGGTTGAAGGAAAACGGAGCCAAAATACCACTGTAAAAAAACGTTTGCGCGTGATAGCAAGACATCATGTACGAATACTGAGGTAAGTAGAAAATGTGAGAAAAGTGTACAGGTAGATACACATGGCGCGTGATTTTCTAGATTTTCGGATAGATACGTGACACGCTTCTAGATTTTCCGCCAATGTGGAAGAAGTGCTACGCGAAATATGTTTACTGGAACTGCTAACTTCAACCTTGACTATGTGTTTGCTCGAATACTATTGCTTAACGGTAAAGAAAAATAATATCTATATGTAATGTATCGACATTACGATAATAATCTTTTTTAAAAAAATTATACATATATGCAAAATTTAATTTGCATAAACAGTTTTATCGAACTTTATGATGGTACATTTTACCTTTCTAGGAGTGGAAAAACAGTGATGCCATAGCCATCTTGACATATTTTATCCTATTAATATCTTTCACATTTAATGTTCTGATATTTTGTTATATCGGTGAGCTCCTCGTGGAACAGGTATTTTCATAATATTTGTAGAATAAGAAAATATTTTTTACTTCTTGATTTAATTCTGCAATACAAAAAATTATAATCGAAAGGAGAAGAAGAATACAATTTCGTTATTATAATAAATATTAATTAAAGAATGCTTAAAATGTGCCTTGTTTAATTATCATAATTTTGTAAAAAAATTTGTCAACTCTACTAAAAAAAGTGCACCAAATTTTAATAAATATTTATTAAAATAATACTAACTAAACATTTACTAAATATAAACATATACATATTTATTTAATACATGAATCATTAATTTGATTAAATTCGTAAATTGAATAAATATTTATTTACTGTAAATAAATGTTTAGTTAGTACTACTTAAACAAATATTTATTAAAATTAAAACATTTACTAATGTTTTTTCAGTATGTGTTTAGTGGATTATAAATAACAGCGGATTTTTTTTATATATGAGTATAATCTTGCACATACTATAATATAGAAAATACTTATACATTTATACTAATGTTTCATATTTTTATCAGTATAGCAAAATTGGTGCCGCTGCCTATGAAATTAAATGGTACAATTTATCTGGAAATAAAGCTCTCGAACTCGTATTGATCATCGCAATGTCTCATTATCCACCGAAACTTACAGCTGGTAAATTTGTCGATTTATCTATGAACACATTTGGTGCTGTAAGTTTCTTATACAATTATTATTACAGAAGTAATCGATAAACTTGATTAATAATTTACCTGTATAATTTATTATTTATATACAGTGTTTTAAAATTCGCGCCCGCAAAGTACAAGACCTGATACTTTATATTAAAAGGAACAATTTTTTCCTTTTGCAAAATTTTGTCTGAGGAGTAGTTTTTGCAGGAAAGCAGGTTGAAATTAACGAATAACCACCCTGATTTGTATGGCGCTCAGAGTCGGCGCGCGTTCCTCGTTTACTTGTACTTAATCCTTGACTAGTATTTATAAATAATATTTTAAGTTACTATAATACAGCATTGTATGATTAATTTATGATTGCCTGTAAGTCTGTATTTAAAGCAATCTTAAATTATAAGAATTAACTATGAGTACTGGATCATAATCTCTTTTCGTATTGTGATGCTTATAAAATAAAACGGTAGCAGAATAAATTATTACTTTCATTTTTTATGTAACAATAAATAAATGAATAAAAGAATTATCTAATTTCATAGATCTATCTAAAAATAAAGACAAATGTAAATAATAATATTCTTGGTTTGTTGAACGTTTTATTATTTTAAATATTGTATAATTGCGTATGGTAATTAAATAATATCATTGAACTTAAATAATAGTTCACTAATTATATAAATACGTAACCCTTAAATGCCAAAAAATAGATTTATTTTGAAACATTGTTTAAAAATAAGGTAAAATATTCTAATACAGTATTTTAAGTTAAATATTTTAATACAAAATTGAAGAAGATCACATAATCCAGTATTCACAGTTCATTCTTATAACTTAAAACTATCTTAAATACAGCTTATCATGACAAAGCCGTATTAGTATCTTAAAATATTACTTAGAAATATAATACTAGTGAAAGATTAAGTACAAGTGAACGCGCGCCGGTTCTTGAGCGTCATAGATCAGAGCGCTCATTCATTAATTTCAATCTGCTGTCCTGTAAAAACTACTTGTCAGAAGCAATTTTGCAAAAGGAAAAAGTTGTTTTTTTTTAAATATTACTTAAGATAAAGTTTTATACTTTGCGGGAGCGAATTTTGAAACACCCTATATATTTTTTTTCTTTATTTTTATAATTCTAAGACTTGTCACTTTCAGGTACTCAAAACATCAGTAGTATATTTAAATTTACTTCGTACGGTTACAGAATAGAATTTATATTCCATGTACTATTTAACATTTGCGAGACAGATCTATTTTTATTATAGATATTGTACAAAGGAAGTAATAATAAAAAAAAGTATTTATATACATATATTTATATACTGTCGATTAAAATAATTTAGATATTACTAGATATTTATTTTACTTTTCACTTACCAAATCATATTTTATTTTATATGAATCAAATAAAAAGTATTTTTATATTCAGAGCAATATACAGAGTGATCTTTGGAAGTGTTGAAAAAAAATTTTTCCGTTTTCGTTTCGACAATCATTTTACTGATTAAGGTTAAATAACTCATCAATTTCATTGGAACCATTATAGTTTATATGTGTCAATATGAACGCATTAACCATTAGAGGAAAGATTTTTCATTAAGTGCTACTACAGTAGAAACAAAAATTACAAATTAGAGATTACGTAGTAAATATAGATCTAAAAAAGTTTTAAACAAAAGAATTACAAGGAAACGAAATGCCAATTTGTAATTTCATAAAACTTGATTACGTAAATCTATAGATAAAGTTAGAAAACATTAGTTGTGTATAGGAACAATTTTAATGAATAAAATCATTCGTTACAAGTAAAGTTGTATTAATCTTTTTTCCGTATCATTTAAAAAACTATTCAAGATACTAAAAAATATTTTGTTCAAAAGTTTTATAATAAAATAACTTATATTTACTCACGTCAATACTATGTATTTAAAAATAATTTTCAAACAAAATTTTTGAACTCCTCTTTTTCGATGGTTAATGAATTCATGATGACACTTATAAACTAGCTTGTACAATGACTCATACGAAACAGACAGATCTCAAATAACCGACCCTAATAAAAAAAACGATCGTCGAAACAGAAGAGGAAAAATATAACGGTTTACGTTCAACACAATCCCAATGATAACATACAGTACTTCTACGTAGTAATCATCTTCGCAGGTGACAACGTACAACTGAAGCTATATATCTCTACCACAAAATCGATTTTTCAAGCCCGTGCTGGCCTCTCCTTTTCTATCTTTTTCCTTCTTTCGTTCTCCCTAATATGTCGCTGAAAGTACTTATTATGGTCATGCGCAAATTTTCTACCATTCTACAATCGATGTGGTACCAACCAGTCGCTCGCGCACCTTTGACACGACAATATGGGCAAAATCCCGCCAAATGCAAATCACGAAAAGGACGTAATCGACATTCTGATATGGAACCGATGGTTACTGCGGGTTCTTGGTATCTGGCCACTGATATACCCGGATACCACGATAATCGAAAAGATTCTGGCAACGTTCTCGTTCGTATTGTGTTGGATTGTACTCGGTTTATTCCTGGTACTTACGAGCCTGTACACCTTTACGGACCGAAGTATCATGGGTGAGAAAATGAAGATGCTAGGCCCACTGGGTTACGTGTTCTTTTCCATGTTGAAGTACCTTTTCTTAGTGATACGTCATAAGAGTATTCGACGATGCGTTCAGATTCTCAGTACAGATTGGCGCATGGTTCAAGAAAAATATCATCGGAAAATCATGATGAGGGACGCAGAAAAGGGCCAATTGCTCTCCAAATTTTGTATAGTATTCATGTATTGTGGTGGATTATCTTACAACACAGTAATGCCATTCTTGTCACAAACATCCGATGCAAACGAACAGAATGTCACAGTCCGACCGATGGCTTATCTCGGCTTCGATATCATCTTCAATTTACAACTAATGCCAGTTTATGTGTTTGCCTTTTGTCTTCAATGTTTTATCGGTATTGTTATGTTCAACATCACCACATCAGTGTGCTGCTTAGCAGCCACGTTCGTTGCTCACGCGTGTGGCCAGATCGATATTGTGATTGCGCGTGTGGAAAATCTTTTCAAGGGAGAACGTGATTATACCAAGTTTGAGAAATGCATGGCGATTATCGTGCAGCATCACGTGCGAACATTAAGGTAAGTACCTTGTCGTTCTACCTGCATCTTACTATCTATAAAATTATCCGCACGTCTCGGTAATGTCTGCACGAGAATATTCTGCGAATTTTTTTTATTAAAAGTTTAAATGCAAACTAACATTGTTCAAAATATCGTCCAATATGAAAATTATATTGAAAATGCTTTTGAGGCTTTCACAGGTATTATCTTCAAAGATAGTAGAAGGTTTACGGATTATCGTCGTGTTTGTATCCACTACTAATACTCATGTTCATTTCACCAGGAGCGCACTGATTAGGTATCAGTGCGATCTTCGTCCTAATAAAACAAACATGAACATTAACAAAGGATAAAAACATGGCGATAACCCGTAAATCTTCTGATACCATCGATGAATCACATTTTCGTCCATATTAAAAATATTTGACAAATGCTATTTTACAACTTCGTTATAGATTTTCAGCTGGCATTGAAGATACTTTGCGCGAATTATGTCTAGTCGAAATAGTAGGAACGACGTTGATAATGTGCTTAGTAGAATATTCTTTGATAACGGTAATAAAATACTTTATACATTTCAAGTAATTATTACAATTAGTAAAATTATAATATTGTTTGATACAATATATGAAATTCATTTGCAGGAGTGGAACAATAGTGATGGAATAGCAATCTTCACGTACTTTTTTCTATTTGTTTCGTTTGTCTTCAATATCTTTATATTTTGTTACATCGGCGAACTGTTAACGGAGCAGGTGCTTATATATAATATACACAAATGATATATATAATCAGTAAATATACAAAATTGGATATAGTGCAGCAAAGTCGGGAATACTACATATAAAATTGAATGGTACAATTTACCAGGAAAAGTGGCTCTTGATTTAATGCTAATGATTAATATGTCTGGACATCCAGTACAAATTACTGCTGGACGATTATTAAGTCTCTCTTTTGCAAATTTTGGAAATGTAAGTATAATTCATTTTCATGTACAAAACAGAAACATTAAATTTGAAGGAATAGAAATGATTATATAAAAACAAATTTAAAATGTTAAACAAGTAAATTTTAATATATAATAGTTCATGCACTATATTTTATATAGGTTTTAAAAACATCGGTTGCATATTTAAACATACTTCGAACTGCCATTCGGTAAAAATATTGTAAATGAATCAATCATTTTGTGCAAAAAGAAACAATATTTATCCAATATTTTTAAGATAAAGATGTATATTAAAGAAATTATTTCATGCAAAAACGATATTTGTGAAAAATTAATGTTAATTTCAAAATTTACAAGAAACGCGAAACTTATAAATTATAGATATTTCCTATGCATGCTGTTCAAAACATAAGATAAACATTTACATACTTCTTATAGACCTAACCAAAACAATATCTTCAAAAATCTGCATATTATTAAGCTATAATATATTCTGAACTTTTTAAGATATATAATATTATAAATATTATAGGTTTCGTATCCGTATTAGTAATGTTCTTACATTAACGGTCTTTAGTATTTTGAATATTGTTTATTTACGCGCCTGAAAGAAAGCATTTATCACTTCACACATATACCAGTTATTGCGAGGAATATTACTAAGGCCTCGGTATTCTAATTGGCTAGGACACTTGCGCGTAAAGCAAGGTATCCGGGTTCGACTACTGGCCGAGGTAATATTTTTTCGCAATAAGAAGAAATATTATTTACAAATTTTAATATAGTTTAACATCGATATAAGATGACAAAAGAGCATCAATTGATTATTAAATTGTTAATCAATTTAATTCGTGATAGTATTGCGATAGTTCATTAGAGTTGCGTTCAAGGCAGATAATTGTTTGGCGCGCAGTTTAGAAAGACTACATATATCACTATATAAATTCACGCGAAATTATATATAAGCAACTAAGATCCAGCTAGACTGTAATAGGCTTCGTATTCGTATTAGTTATGTTGTTTGACAGTCTTTATAATTTAATATTGTTAATATTATAAACTTTTCTGATTTCATAAATAACTCCATTTTAAACTTCACATTACATAATTCACAAAGAAAAAGATTCAATTAATCACATACAACAGTAAAATCCGCGAAAACAACACAATCAGTTTTCCATTCACAGAAAAACTTTCCGTGCAGGTAGAAATACAACTGTGACAAAGTAATACTCCCTCGACAAAATTGATTTTCAAATACACGCTAACATCCCCTTCCCTTTATCCAGACTTTATCGAAAGAACCCATGATTGTCATGCGCAATTTTTTACTATCACGATATCGACAAAGCGGACCAGTCGCTCTCGCGCACACGGGACGATAAGATGGCCAAACTTAACATCCCCTGGTCGAATCTCAATAGTGAGAGGGATATAATCAACGCACTAGTATGGAATCGATGGATACTACAAGTTCTCGGAATCTGGCCGTTGGTATATTCAAATACTACAGCCATCGAAAAGATATTAGCGACGATATCATTCGCGTTATGCTGGTCCGGGATCAGTTTTCTTCTAATTCCCATGGTCATATTTATGCTGTCAGAACGAACGACTCTAAACGACAAAATTAAAATGTTAGGCCCACTAAGCTACGTATTAGTCTCGATGTTGAAATATTTCTTCTTGGTGATGCATCATAAGGGCATACGGCAATGCATTCGCGTGCTAAGCGTCGATTGGCGTGCAGTCCAGCAGCAGGATTATCGAAAAATTATGATTAAAAACGTGGCAAAAAGCCATGTGCTATGCAAGTTTTGTATAGTGTTCATGTATTGTGCAGGCTTGTGTTTTTATACGGTAATGCCGTTTCTGACACACACCACAATTGACGAGCAAAATAATACTGTTAAGCCAATACCTTACCCCGGATTCGATATTATTTTCGATTTCCATATTACGTCGGTCTATATATTTGTATTTTGCGCACAATGGATATCCGGTATGGTACTTTTCAAAGTTACCACGGCAGTGTGTTGCTTGGCGGCTATGTTCGTAGCTCACGCTTGCGGTCAAGTCGAGATCGTGACGGCCCGCATAGAAAATATTGTAAAAAGTGCACAAAGCAGTCACATAAAGCAACATATGGCGATTATAGTGAAACACCACATGCAGACATTGAGGTGAGTACTCGATGCATATTGTTACGGAAAAAATTAGTTATCAATAACATTTGATTATTTAAATTGAAAACTATGTGTAATACAAATTAATAAAGAATTTAATAAGAAGAAAAAACAAAAAATTTTGAACTTTTATAAATGTAAGAACGTTTACTTCACAAATAGTAGTTAAATTTAATTAATAATTAAACTTAAATTTTGTTAAATGTACTTTATAATTCTCCGCGTAAAAAGTAGGAAAAAGACATTAATCTATGAAATGAAATATATAAAATGTACATTAAAAAGTTTTGCAGGTTTTCAGTCAGTATCGACAGTATCTTACGCGAAATATGTCTGGTTGAAATAGTGGGAACAACGTTAACGATATGCACGCTGGAATATTATTGTATCACGGTAACGTTTAAAAAATTCTATAACTGTATCATGTACGTGCTAAGGTGTATAAAATTTTAAAAATAATTGCGATGTGACACTTAAAAGAAATGATTCAGCTGACATTATGATATTAAATTTTGCCATTGAATAAACAGACATATTCTATTATACAAATTATATGCTATTTTTTAAATAAATGAAATTTCAGGATGTAAATATATGTTTTCAATTTAACAAAAAAAAATAAAATTAATGATTTAATATTATCTTATTCTCTCAGGAATGGAATAACAACGACAGTATAGCAATTTTAACATATTTTTTTCTATTAATATCGTTTGTCTTCAACGTTTTCATGCTTTGCTACATTGGCGAACAATTAACAAATCAGGTGTTTATATATACTTACATTTTTAATAATATAAAATAAACTATATTAAATGTCAAAACATTTAAATATTGTAATATATACGTTATAAAAATATACAAAATGTAGAGTAAGTGGTCCAAAAATGAACCATGTAAATTTCAGAGGCTCACATTTTTCTCAATTATTGAGTTGAAGATCTAGGTTTTTGCATATAGTTTATGAATTTAGTTGACTGCATACTGTAAACAATAACTCTTAAATTATTTCTAAAGTTTCGAAACAATTTCGATTATTTTAAAAAACGGGATGTTGTTCATTGTGTTGTTACAAGGAGTGTGTATACAATAAATCATGCTATTTTTAACAATGAACCACATGTTTTATATTACGAATTGTTAGGATTATTTTAGTTTCACTATATTTTAAAATGTTTATTTAATAAGAAGGTCATTATAAGAAGATAAGGATTAGAATAATAAATATTAAAGCTAACTTATGTTATTTTAATTATTTTAAGCACACAATCAAAATTATTGTTTTTAATATATTTCAGATATTTTCTCCGATTATCATTTATGTAGTAACTAGTTCGTCATACTTTAATTAATCTTAATAATATAAGATTGATAAAGGACTCTTATTATAAACATAAACGAAAAAAGTTAAAAGGACGTTGTAAGAGTCAAAAGAAATAATTTAAAACAACAATTAAAAAAAGAAAAACGCATATATGTAATACATATATTTAGCAGGTTTTAGCAGGTTTTTGAATATTGTTATTTTTTAATGTACATTTTCGAATTTTATTACAAATATTTTTATATTGTTAATTTTTAATGTATTACATATATGCGTTTTTCTTTTTTTAATTGTTGTTTTAAATTATTTCTTTTGACTCTTACAACGTCCTTTTAACTTTTTTCGTTTAATTAATCTTATAATACATATAGGTATATTAAAAAAACAATAGTTCATTGTTCACTACATCAAAATGATTCATTGTAGACCACATAACCTTTATCACGATAATCTCCAAAATAATGCGGTAAAATAATATAACAGAAAAACTGATTACAAAATATTAAAACTAAATGTGTACATAAAACTATTGCAAAAAAAAAAATACGTATAACAACAAAAATATTTAAAAATGCATAAAACTTACAAAACAATTTACTTTGCAACCCAAAGTTTTTTACACGTGATATCATACGGCTAACTTTGGTACGATCTGCCGGCCGACCGAGGAACCGAGAAGGGATTTAAATGCGAGTTGCTGCATAATTACCGTGCAATTTGGTAATGTTGTATTTACGAAATATCGCAATGGTTCATAGTATACTACTGGTTCACTGTTGAACCACCAACCCTATATGTCTAATAAAATAATAAATTTATTAAGAATATAAAAATTTTTGCGTGACATACAGATAACATATGAATATGTATGTATGTACAAATATATATGTATATATATAAAGTAACGCATAATTAAATTAAATACTTAGTGCAGCAAAGTTGGATTTGCATCATATAAAATCGAGTGGTACCATTTACCAGGAAAAGTTGCACTCGATCTTACGTTAATAATCAGAATATCACAACATCCGGTAAAAATTACTGCAGGAAAAATAATTGATCTTTCGTTCGCACGTTTTGGCTCTGTAAGTACAATTTGTCATCACTTTGACGGTAAAACACACAATAAAAATAGCTTTTCACGCATATATTTCATACATTAACAGGTACTGAAAACTTCGATTGTGTATCTAAATATGCTCCGAACTTTTGTTTGATACATGCGAAAAGATTTTTAATGTATCTTCACACCAACGAATAAAATAATATTAATTTTATATTAACAAAAAGGAAAATTAAGTTAAATGAATATGTTTCAAGATAATAATGTATATGGTACTTGTACGGTATACCCAATTATTTGCACGTATCAACACATATAATAAATAAATTTTGACCAAATCAAAATTTTATAAAATTGATTCACACTTATTATTAAGCAAAGTCGCATCAATTACAATACGTCATTGAATGCGATCGAAATATGTATTTGCGATATCTAACAATTAATAATGTTTACAAATATAATTATCATTAATATATTTAATATTATACGTATATTTCTAAATGCACCTCAAGTTAAAAAACAAAATTTTAAAAAATTTAATTTTAGAGTGATAACTTCAAACCTGTTTTTATAATGTACTTTTTATCATGTTAACAATGAATATACTTCCTGTTTTATTTTAATATATTATCAATATTCTCAAAGAAAAATAAGTACAAAAGAGAATGTAACTTGAAATCGTATTTCTGTAACAAATAATCGATGTGAAACGGTGTTCAACATAAAAAAATAAGAATGATTAATATGATATGTTTTTACCCATTTGTATCATTTATTTCGTTTGTATCTCAAAACGTAAGAAAATATCAGGAAGAAAATAATCTACAAACAACCATTATATTATATCTTCAAATTTCGTTTTTACGCAAGAAAATCGTGTGTACTTCTGCCATCATAACTTAAAGAAGATGTAAAGATAGTGTTTTTTTAATTTTGGCATAATCCTTTCACGCATACGCGCAAGGACGCACACATTCATCTCCTCTTCTCAATATTTCATCAATACTATTATAACAGATTCGACATCATTACGTCAGCACACTCCTTAGCAACCATGTTCATCGCTTATGTAGCCATGTAAATATTGTCACAGCACGCATAGAAAATCTTTTCAAGAAAAAATGCAATCCTACAAATTAGAGAAATGCATGGCAATTATCGTACATTACTCACAAACATTAAGGTAAATATCCCATCTTGCTATTTGCATTTTACTATCTGTAAAATTAACTGTACGTTACAGTAATGTCTGCACCAGAAATTTTACAAATCCCTCTCTCTCTCTCCCTCTTTAATAAAAATTTATTAATTAAAAAAATTAACATTATTCAACATGTTATCATCTGTTAAAAGAATTACGCTTTTGTCTATTTTGATAAGAATATTTGATAAATGCTTGCTGCAACAATATAGATTCTTAGCTGGTATCAAATATATAATACTTTGCGTAATTTATATCCTGAAACAGTGGAAACAACGTTAATAATTGATTAGAATATTCCTTGATAATGGTAATAAAATATTTCATAAATTTCAAGTAACAATTACATGTAGTTCATATTTCCCGATTCAACATTATAATATATAAAACAACATTTTATTCTCAAGAGTGGAACTATAGTGATAGTAATATAAATATACATAAAATAATCTCCTCGTACTATTTTTCTATTTATTTCATTTATCTTCAACATATTTATATTTCGTTACATTTCTGAATTATTAACACAGATGGTGCTTATATCAATTTCATATACCGAACTAAATTAATTATCACGATACTGCTGAATTAAATTTCAGATAACTCTGTATGTATTTGAAAAACATTAAATTCGAGGTATAAAAGTGATTAAATATAAATAAATTAAAAATGAGCACGTAGATTTTAATACGTAATAGTTGATGCACTATATTTTATGTTAAGGTTTTAAAAACATCGGTTACATGTTTAAAGTTACTTCAAACTATCATTAGGAAAAAATATTGTACATGAAATGACGTTTAATCATTTTGTGCAACAAAGAACAATATTTATCCAATATTTTTAAAATAAAGATGTGTATTAAAGAAATTATTTCATGCAAAAACGATATTTGTGAGAATTAATGTTGATTAATGTTGAGATTAATGTTGATTTCAAAATTCACAAGAAATGAAACTTATATATTATAGATATTACCTCTGCTGTTTAAAAGATAAGACCAACTAATATAAGTATTTACATAATTCTTAAAGGTATATACAAAACAATATCTTTAAAAATTTGCACATTATTAACACATAATATCATAAAAATTTGAGAATTCCTGTGACAGGGGGCAAATGAGAGTGCAGTGTTGTTGATAGTACACGATCAATAAATGTGGGAATATTCAATTCCTCTATTTCATATGGATAGAGCAGTACGTTTCGCCTCCTTATTGAATCATCCTCAATCAATATAATTTATTTTCTTCTTTGTAAATTTTGCAAAGAGTCACTTCCAATTTACAGATTAGAAGCTATAACATATCTGTAAAGATTTTTTAATTTAGAAACTATATATTTTAGATTATTGTTAGATTTAAAGTGACTTACCATGCAAAATAATAACAAAAGACCCGTCAAATAAAATAAATTAAATTAAATTATAAAACATTATCAAATTGACAATTATATCACAAACATATGTAAAATCTATTTGCATCTTGATTACATGCTTACTCTGTCGAGTCACATTTTCGACTGTTAACGTTCTTTTGTAAACGATACCATTTCGTAGAGTGAAAATAAATATGAAAATTCAAATTAAAGTTAATACAGCAAATAATATCAAGGAAATTATACATAAGTAAGAAAGTAGTGCCAATATTCTAAACTTTTTAAGATATGACATAAAGTTTTCTGATTGTATAAATAACTACATATTAAACTTCACATTACACTTAAAAAAAAAGGTTCAATTAATCATAAACAACAGTAAAATAAGCGGAAATAACACAATCAGTATTACGATCCACAGAAAAACTTTCCGTGCAGGTAGAAATACAACTGCGACAAAGTAATAATCCCTCGACAAAATTGATTTTCAAATACACGCTAACATCTCCTTCCCCTTACCCAGACTTTATCGAAAGCACCCATGATTGTCATGCGCAATTTTTTACTATCACGATATCGACAAAGCGGATCAGTCGCTCTCGCACCCACGAGACGATAGGATGGCCAAACTTAACATCTCCTGGTCGAATGTAAATAGTGAGAAGGATATAATCAATGCGTTAGTGTGGAATCGATGGATATTACGAGTTCTCGGAATCTGGCCGTTAGTATATTCAAAGACTACAATGATAGAAAAAATATTAGCGACGATATCATTTGCGTTATGTTGGTCCGCGCTCAGTTTTCTTCTAATTCCCATGGTCATTTTTACGTTGTCAGAACGAACGACCATAAACGACAAAATCAAAATGTTAGGCCCATTAAGCTACGTGTTAATCTCGACGTTGAAATATTTCCTCTTGGTGATTCATCATAAAAGTATACGGAAATGCATTCGCGTGTTAAGTACCGATTGGTGCACAGTCCAGCAGCAAGATTATCGAAAAATTATGATTAAAAACGTGGCAAAAAGCCATGTGTTATCCAAGTTTTGTATAATGTTCATGTATTGCGGAGGTTTGTGTTTTCATACCGTAATGCCGTTTCTGGCACACACCACAATCGATGAGCAAAATAACACTGTTAAACCAATACCTTACCCCGGATTCGATATTATTTTCGATTTGCATTTTATGCCGGCGTATATATTTGTATTTTGCGCGCAATGGTTTTCCGGTATCGTACTTTTTAATGTCACCACGGCCGTGTGTTGCTTAGCGGCTATGTTCGTAGCTCACGCTTGCGGTCAAATCGAAATCGTGATGGCCCGTGTAGAAAATTTTGTAAAAAATGAACAAAGCAGTCACATGAAGCAACATATGGCAATTATCGTGAAACACCACATGCAGATATTGAGGTGAGTGTTTGATGCACATCGTTATGGAAAGAATTCTGAAAATAATATTCGATTATTTAAATTAAAAATTACGTAAAATATAAAAGAATAAAAAATATTTACGGAACAAGGAAAAACAAAAAATTTTTAACTTTGATAAATGTAGAAATGTTTACTTTATAAATAATACTTAAATTTTATTAATTACCATAAGTTTAAACTTATGGTAAACTGTACTTAATAATTCTTCGTGAAAAACAGAAAAAAAGACATTAATCTGTTTATAATAAGAGATATGAAATTTACATTAAAAAGTTTTGCAGATTTTCAGTCAATATCGATAGTATTTTACGCGAAATATGTCTGGTTGAAATAGTGGGAACAACGTTTACTATATGCCTGCTGGAATATTATTGTATCATGGTAATGTGTAAAAAATTCTATTACTGCATCAAGTGTGTGATAGGTGTATACAATTTTAAAAATAAATGCGAAGTGACAGTTAAAAGAAATGATTCAGCTAACACTTTGACACATGTCAAATTTTTGCCCTTAAATTTACAGATATTTAAAATATTTTATTCCCGGCCGATGTAATATTTTTCGCAGTGAAAAATTATTTATTTACAGTTTTTAATAGGTTACTAATTTTATTAGTAAAATCGATATAAGATGCATAAACAGCACCAATAATTGTTAAATTGTTAATCAATTTAACTCATAATATTACTGCGGTAGTTTATTAGTGTTGCGTTTAAAGTCTGAAAAAATTTTGGTGCACAAGCGAAAAATTACATTCGTAGTATACAAAATCACACACAGTTACTCAGAAGCACCAGTTTAGACCGCTGTGGCATTGTCTCATTCGGTTTGAAATATATTTTATTATACGAATTTTATTTCCTATATTTTAAAGGAAAAAAATTCCTCGGTGTATAAACACATTTTTATTTTTATAAGACTATCAAAAAAGTTAATGATATAATTTTTTAATAATTAATTAATAATTAATGATAAAGATTTTTAACGTAACTTATTGGCTCATTGCCCTGTATCTCTATATTAGTTGTTAAAAACATATTGAGCCATATTACAAACATTTTAGCGATATAATATTATCATATTCTCTCAGGAATGGAATAACAACGACAGTATAGCAATTTTAACATATTTTTTCCTATTAATATCGTTTGTCTTCAACGTTTTCACGCTTTGCTACATTGGCGAACAATTAACAAATCAGGTGTTTATACTTATATTTTTAACAATAAAATTAATTATATTAAAAGTTAAAACATTTGAACATTGCAATATATATATATATCATGAAAATGAACAATATATGTATATATCTAATAAAAATAATTATTAATGATAAATTTAGTAAAAATTAAAATTCTTACCTGACGTATACAGACAACATATGTATATATATATATATTATATATATATATATATATGAATATACATATATAAATTAACGCACATTTAAATTAAATACTTAGTGCAGCAAAGTTGGATTTGCATCATATAAAATCGAGTGGTATCATTTACCAGGAAAAGTTGCACTCGATCTTACGTTAATAATCAGCATATCACATCATCCAATAAAAATTACTGCAGGAAAAATAATTAATCTTTCATTCTCAAGTTTTGGCTCGGTAAGTACAATTTGTCATTACTCTGATGTTGAAATACACAATAAAAATAGTTCTTTACGCACATATTTCAAACATTAACAGGTACTGAAAACATCAATTGCATATCTAAATATGCTCCGAACTTTTGTTTGATACATACGAGGATTTTCTAATGTATCTTCATATCAACGAATAAAACAATATTCAGTCAATCTTATAATAAAAAAAGGACAATTAAATTAAATGAATATGTTTCAAAATAATAATGTATACTTGTATGATATAACCGCAATTACTAGCACATATCATTACATTAAATAAATTAATTTAATCTAAACCAAAACTTTATAAAAATATCATATTTCACGCTTATTATTTAACAAAGCCGCATCAATTGTAACATGTCGTTGAATGCGATTGAAATATTTGCGACCTTCTATCAATATTGTGATGTTTACAAATATAATTACCATTATTATATTATGCATATAAATGCATCTCAAGTTAAAAAAACAAAAAAAAAATAGAAAAAAATTTTAATTTTTTAATAATATATCTACAAATCTGTATTTCTAATGTACTTTTTATTTCATGTTAACAATATAACTACTTCGTGTTTTACCTTATATAATGTATTTTCAATATTCTCAAAAAAATAAAAGTAGGAAAGAAAATGTAAAATAAAAACGTATTTCTGCAACAAATAATCGATGTGAAACAGCGTTCAACATAAAAAAATATAAGAATCACTAACATAGTATATTTTTATCCGTTTGTACCTTTTATTTATATCACGAAGGATAAGAAAATATCAGAGAGAACAAAGTCTATACACAATCATATAATAATATATTTTCAAATTTTGTTTACGCAAGAAAACCATTTGTAACTCTATCGTCATAACATAAAGAAGATGTACAGATACAGCGATTTCCAATTTTGGCTCAATACTTCCACCTTCTCTTCTCAATTTCATTAATATTATCAGATTCGACATCATTACGTATTATCATTACGTAATATCATTATCGGCACACTCCTTAGCATGTTCATCGACCGTGCGTGTGGCCACATCAATATTGTGATAGCACGCATAGAAAATCTTTTCAAAAGAAAATGCAATCATACAAATTGGAGAAATGCATGGCGATTATCGTGTATTACGTACAAACACATAAAGGTAAATATCCTGTTTTAATATTTGCATTTTACTATCTGTAAGCACATTACAGTAATGTCTACACTAGAAATTCTACAAATCCATGTACTAAAAAAATCTATTAAAAATAAAAAATTTACATTATTTGACATGTTACCATCTGTTAAAAGAATTACGCTTTTGTCTATTTTAGTAAAAATATATGACAAATTCGTGCTCATAAAAATGTAGATTTTCGGCTAGTATCGAATATATAATACTTTGCGCGAGTTATGTGTCGAAATAGTAGGAACGATGTTGATAATTAATAGAGTATTCCCTGATAACAGTAATAAAATATTTCATAAATTTCAAGTAACAATTACATGTAGTTAATATAATCTAGTTCATATTTCAGGATACAAATATTATATACAAAATCGACATTTTATTTACAAGAGTGGCACTATATGATAATACAACACAGATATACATATGACAATATTCACGTACTTTTTCCTATTCGTTTCAATTGTCTCCAACATCTTTGTTTAGTTACATTTCCGAATTATTAACAGAGCTGGTGATTATAAATTATATGAATCTTATAATTCATATATCGAACTAAATTAATTACCATGATTTCGCAGAATTAAATGCTAACTTTCTCTGTATGTAGGTATTTGAATAAAATACAACTCAGCTCATATATGTGCGTAATCCCCAAATATACAAAACTAAATACACAGTGCAACAAAGTGAGGAATATTACATATAAAACTGAATGGTACAATTTACTACGAAATGTGGCTATTAATTTAATGCTGATTATTAATATGTCTGGACATCCAGTTCAAATTACTGCTGGAAGATTATTAAATCTCTCATATGCAAGTTTTAGAAATGTAAGTATTCATTTTCAAGTTCGGAAAAGAGACATTAAATTTGAAGAATAAAAATGGTTAAATATGTAACGATGCGTCCTTAAAACGCATCATACCTGGTAATAACATCCAGCCGGATGCCGCCGCAGTGACCACTAGCCACTAGTGGCGATTTAATTATAACAAAGCATAGTTCACGGATGCAGCAGCCGTTAGCCACCGGACGCGCTGAACAGTTCCGATCGTCACCGAGGGCCGCCGATCGGGAATCTTCTCCAACGAGAAGCGGATCGGCGGAGAATACTGAGGCCGGCCGAGACGATACGAGTGAGACTGGTGGACCTAGTATAAAATACCGCGTCTCCGACAAGAAATCGCCTTTTCTCTTTACTGCCTATTCGAAACACCGATCCGGACTTACTCCGCAATCACGAGCTCCTAGCACACAATTCTTGCGACGAACTTACAGGGTAGAGCGTTCTCGGCCGTCAGTCATGAAATCGTGGCATCCTGTCTTTTTCTATTCTGCATTTCCCGTCTCCGATAATCAGCATTAGAAACGGGGTGGAGCGGTCTCAGCCCACGTCGAGCGTTGATTATTGGATCCAACTCCTGTGACGTACCTCACCAAAAAGCCTACGAAACACATCGTGAACTATCAAGAGTTGGCGTATATCCGCGTCTTATCGCGCTACCGTACGCTACCCTGCTCGGTTCAGGCCACCCGATTTGTCGCGAATCAACACGCGACCGCGAGCAGCTAGCCACGGTCCCGTGTAGTTACTATTGTAAACCGCACACGTACACGGAGAGAAGGATTTCTTAAAATTTACCCTGAAAATATAGTAATTATGGTACAATACAATAAATTTAAAGATTTTTACCATACACTTCAGTAAAATTAATCATACTTATTTTATATTTTATTGTAGTTTTATTAATGAATGTGAGAGATTTACATAAAAATTATTCGAAATATAATGTTGTCCCACGATTACTATATTTTCAGGGTAAATTTTAAGATATAATTCTTTCCGTATACACAAGCGCACACACACATACATACATCACACTCAGCACCGTCTTCCATACCGAACGCCTTCGTAAACTGGCCCGATAGCTACCGACCTCGGCGTCATTTCGTATCCGAGAATTGCGCGCGTACTCGGTATTTCGTTTTACTTGCGTTTTAGTTCGACTTTGTACCTAGCTATATTTGATCTTTCATGATATTACATCAATTTGTTTATTTTATATCGCGTCACGTCTTGGCGCATTTTAATAAAAACTTGTGTTTGTTTTAAAATACGCTTGTTGTCTTAGATTATTTTCGTGCACCGATCACCGGAAATACTCCTGCCAGAACCTTTATATGCGACCAGCATTCCGACGAGCTAAATCGCGCATAAAGTCAGGTCGTTACAAATATAATACAATAAATTAATGCAATGTTACAAATACCTCCATTCTAAACTTCATGTTACACTATTCACAAAAAAATGTTTAATTAATCACATACAATAGCAAAATATGCGGAAAAAAAACAATCAGTGTTATGATCCACAGAAAAACTTTCCGTGCAGATAGAAATACAACTGTGACAAAGTAATATTCCCTCGGCGCAAAATTGATTTTCAAATACACGCTAACTTCCCCTTCTCTAATACCCAGACTTTACCGAAAGCACCCGTGATTGTCATGCGCAATTTTTTACTATCACGATATCGACAAAGCGCATCAGTCGCTCTCGCGCACACGGGACGATAAGATGGCCAAACTTAACATACCCTGGTCGAATGTGAATAGTGAAAGGGATATAACCAACGCACTAGTATGGAATCGATGGATACTACGAATTCTCGGAATCTGGCCGTTAGTATATTCAAATACTACAGCCATCGAAAAGATATTATCGACGATATCATTCGCGTTATGCTGGTTCGGGATCAATTTTCTTTTAATTCCCATGGTCATATTTGTATTATCAGAACGAACGACTCTACACGACAAAATCAAAATGTTAGGCCCGCTAAGCTACGTATTAATCTCAATGCTTAAATACTTTTTCTTGGTGATTCATCATGAGGACATACGGCAATGTATTCGCGTGCTCAGTATCGATTGGCGTGCAGTCCAGCAGCAGGATTATCGAAAAATTATGATTAAAAACGTGACAAGAAGCCATGTGTTATGCAAGTTTTGTATAATGATCATGTATAGTGCAGGCTTGTGTTTTTATACTGTAATGCCGTTTCTGACACACACAATAATCAACGAGCAAAATAACACTGTTAAACCAATACCTTACCCAGGATTCGATATTATTTTCGACTTGAATTTTACGCCGACCTACGTATTTGTATTTTGCCTACAATGGTTAGCCGGTATGGTACTTCATAAAGTCACCACCGCAGTGTGCTGCTTGGCAGCTATGTTTGTAGCTCACACTTGCGGTCAAATCGAGATCGTGACGGCCCGCATAGAAAACTTTGTAAAAAACGCACAAAACGGTCGCATCAAGCAACATATGGCAATTATAGTCAAACATCATATGCAGTCATTGAGGTGAGTAATTGATGCACTTGCGGAAAAAATTGTTTATAGGCGAATTTTGGTGCGCTCTGGTATAGCAACCAAAAGCAACCGTGGTTGAGCATATCTTTGTCTTCTGATATCTGAAAACGAAGATAGCCTTAGTCGCGGTTACTTTTGGTTGCTATACCATAGGCACGATAAAATTCGCCTTATGTCAATAATATTCGATTATTTAAATTAAAAAACTATGTGTAATACAAATAAATAAAGAATTTACGGAAAGAAAGAAACAAAAAAAAAATGTAGAAAAATTTACTTCACAAATAGCAAATTTAATTAAAAATTAAATTTATATTTTGTTATGTGTACTTTATAATTCTCCGCAAAAAGTATGAAAAAGACGTTAATCTATTAAATGAAATATATAAAATGTACATTAAAAAGTTTTGCAGGTTTTCAGTCAGTATCGATAGTATCTTACGCGAAATATGTCTGGTTGAAATAGTGGGAGCAACGTTAACTATATGCCTACTGGAATATTATTGTATCACGGTAACGTTAAAAAATTCTATAACTGCATAATGTGCGTGGTAAGGTGTATAAAATTATAAATATAATTGCGATGTAACAGTTAAAAGAAATGATTCAGCTAACAATACGATATCAAATTTTGCCACTAAATAAACGGACATTTAACAAATTTTATTATACGAATTATATCCTATTTATTAAATAAATAAAATTTCAGGTTATAAATATTTTCAATTAAACAAAAAAATAAAATTAATGATTTAACAAATAATAGAATCTTATTTAATGATTTAATATTATCTTATTCTCTCAGGAATGGAATAACAACGACAGTATAGCAATTTTAACATATTTTTTTCTATTAATATCGTTTGTATTCAACGTTTTCATGCTTTGCTACATAGGCGAACAATTAACAAATCAGGTGTTTATATACTTACATTTTTAATAATGCAAAATAAATTATATTTAATATCAAAACATTTTTGAATATTCAATTATACCAGAAGGTTTGCGTGTTATCACCGTGTCTTTCTGCCAACGTTTCGTGAACGGTACGGTTCACGAAACGTTGGCATTAACAATGAAGAAAGACACGGTGATAACCCGCAAAAACCTTCTGGTATAATTGAAGAAAATACCCGTGAAAGCCTCAAAAGCATAATTTTTGAATATTGCAATATATATGTTATAAAAATATACATTGTAAAGTCTAATAAAATTTATTAATAATAACAAATTTATTAAAAATCAAAATTTTTGCGTAACATATACAGACAATATGTATATGTATGTATATACACATGTATATGTATATATATATATATATATATGGTATATATAAATTAAAGCATAATTAAATTAAATACTTAGTGCAGCAAAGTTGGATTTGCATCATATAAAATCGAGTGGTACCGTTTACCAGGAAAAGCTGCACTCGATCTTACGTTAATAATCAGCATATCACAACATCCCATAAAAATTACTGCAGGAAAAATAATTAATCTTTCGTTCGCACTTTTTGTTCGTTAATAATCAGCATATCACATCATCCAATAAAAATTACTGCAGGAAAAATAATTAATCTTTCGTTCTCAAGTTTTGGCTCTGTAAGTACAATATGTCATCACTAACGCTAAAATACACAATAAAAATAGTTCTTTACGCACATATTTCAAACATTAACAGGTACTGAAAACTTCGATTGCGTATCTAAACATGCTGCGAACTTTTGTTTGATACATGCGAGACGATTTTTTTAATGTATCTTCATATCAACGAATAAAATAAGTTTCAGGTAATTTTATGTCGGAAAAAAGGGGAAATTAAGTTAAATAAACATATTTCAAGATAATAATGCATACTTGTACGGTATAATCAATTACTTGCACATATATTAAATAAATATAATATATTAAATAAATAAATTTCGTCAACATCAAAATTATATAAAATTGTTTCACGCTTATCATTTAACAAAGTCGCATCAATTGCAATATGTCATTAAATGTGATCGAAATATTTGCGACTTTAGTCAATTGTTTACAAATATAATTATCGTTAATATATTTCATATTATACATATATTTCTAAATGCACCTCAAGTTAAAAAACAAAATTTAAAAAAATTTAATCTTAGTGTGATAACATCTTCGAATCTGTTTTTCCAATATACTTTTTATTTCATGTTAACAATGAATCTACTTCCTGTTCTATTTCTATATATTTTCAATTGTTTCAAAGAAATAAAAGCACGAAAGAGAACGTAACTTGAAATCGTATTTTTGCAACGAATAATCGTCAAACGGTGTTCAACATAAAAAAAATAAGAATGACTAACATAGTATATTTTTATCCGCTTGTACCATTTATTTCGTTTCTATCTCAAAAGGTAAGAAAATTTCAGGAAGAAAAAGGTCTTCGCACAGCCATATATCTTCAAATTTCGTTTAAGCACGAAAATCGTTTGTATCTCTGTCGTCATAACTGAAAGAAAATGTATATTGATTGTATTCAGTAGGGATTATGGCCAAAGTGCAATTATATTAATAAGGAGTCCAGTCATCAGCTGCGTCTATATAGCTGCTATAATAGACTGGCACCTCCGAGGCATACTTTATCCACTACAGTCGGTCTAGTAAGAGCGTAGCAAGGCTTACCTACAGTCGAGTAAAGATATACTCTGAATTTTTGTTTTCGCCGATAGATGTCACCATTATGTTGCATGCATTATAAGCAAAGTACTCGTTGTTGCTTGAATTGTGTTAGAATAAACGATTTTCAAAAAATGCTGCCTACGTATCTCGTTTCAAAGCAGGCTTTATCTCTTTACTGACAACCTGAATGCTGAGATAATGTTAAAAATATATCAAAAAGCCTTGATTCCGTCCGCCCAACGCTGGTTTATTAGTAAAGATAAAGATTGGTTACTCTAGGAGGATAATGACCCCAAACACTGAAGCCGGTTCTCCACGTCCTGGAAAGAGGGAAATGACATTGAGACACTCCACTGGCCTTCACAATCACCCGATGCGAATTCCATTGAAAATGTATGGTCACTCATCAAAAGGAAGCTTTGTGGAAGACCGACATCAAGTTCGAAGCGTCTAAAAAACGAAATTCGACGAATCTGGAGGTCTTTGCCACGTGAAGATGCAATTGCTTTAGCGGTCTATTATAGACGCAGCTGATGACTGGAATCCTTATTAATATAATTGCATTTTGGCCATAATCCTACTGCATACAATCAATATAAATTTAAGACTAATAAGCCATTCTTCTTTGAGAGAGGCCTGTCACGCTCTTACTAGACAGACAATGTAGATATATGCAAAACAATGTCTTTAAAAATCTGCATATTATTAAGATATTAAATCTTTAATATACTAAACCTTTCACAAGATACAAACCTAATGCAATATTAACCTTCAGATTTCACAAATAACTCCATTTTAAACTTCATGTTACACTATTCACAAAAAAAAACGTTTAATTAATCACATACAATAGTAAAATACGCGGAAATAAAACCGTCAGTATCAGGAGACGCGGTAGTGTCTCTGGCCATGTTTAAAAACTAAAAGACAATACAAGTCTCTTACCCTGAGCAACCAAAGTCCATTTTTCGGGGGTGCATAATTACTAAAATATAAAAAATTTTGAATCGAACGTTACATATTCTGAAAGGCGGCATCGCCACGAGTAATTTGAGCTAAAAAATTTAAAATCGGCAAGCCGTTCTGGACATACATCGGTCAAAAAGTGATGATTTTCATGAGAAATTAAGTAACGTCTTCTTCTTCTCTGTCCGCAGTCATATGCACCTCTCTCCTGTCTCACCTTTCACTCACACCTCCACCAACTGCGACTCACCGCACCCCTCCCCCTCCTCTCCCCCACCGCCCTTCTCTTTCGCCGTATTTCACTCTCTTTTGTTATATAATAATTTTAAATCATTATATATAGAGCGTCGTGCGGCATTTGAACCGCGCGCGGTGAGATGGGGACAGCGGAAGACGGAGGCGATTCGAAAATCGGCCGAAAATTACATACACTTTACGTATGTTCATTTTGAACTGGCACCTTTAATTAATAATATATCAATTACTTTTCGTGGTAATATATTATTATTACATAAAAAGGCTTAAAATTTAGAGTATCTTTTTTTGAACATGGCTTGACCTTTTCATTTATATGATATAATTTCTTTCGGTTCTATTATACAGAAAAACTTTCCGTGCAGATAGAAATGCAACTGCGACAAAGTAATACTCTCTCGACAAAATTGATTTTCAAATACACGCTAACTTCCCCTTCTCTATTACCCAGATGTTATCGAAAGCCGTAATTGTCATGCGCAATTTTTTGCTATCACTATCACGATATCGACAAAGCGAACCAGTCGCTATCGCGCTCACAAGACGATAGGATGGCCAAACTTAACATCTCCTGGTCAAATGTGAATTGTGAGAAGGATATAATCAATGCGTTAGTGTGGAATCGATGGATACTGCGAGTTCTCGGAATCTGGCCATTAGTATACTCAAAGACTACAATGATAGAAAAAATATTAGCAAAGATATCGTTTGCGTTATGTTGGTTCGCGCTCAGTTTTCTTCTAATTCCCTTGGTCATATCTGTGCTGTCAGAACGAACGACTCAAAACGACAGAATGAAAATATTAGGCCAAATAAGCTACGTGTTAGTCTCGACGTTAAAATATTTCTTCTTAGTGATACATCATAAGGGCATACGGCAATGCATTCGCATGCTAAGTATCGATTGGCGTACAGTCCAGCAGCAGGATTATCGAAAAATTATGATTAAAAACGCGACAAAAAGCAATGTGTATTGCAAGTTTTGTATAATATTAATGTATATCGGAGGCTTCTGTTTTAGTACCATACTGCCGTTTCTCACGCACAGCACAATCGACGAACAGAATATTACTGTTAAACCAATACCTTGCCCCGGATTCGATATTATTTTCGACTTGCATTTTACGCCGACCTATGTATTTGTATTTTGCGGACAATGGTTAGCCAGTATGGTACTTAACGAAATCACCATGGCAGTATGCTGCTTGGCAGCTATGTTTGTAGCTCACGCATGCGGTCAAATCGAGATCGTGATGGCTCGCGTAAAAAACTTTGTAAAAAATGCACAAAACAATCATATCAAGCAACACATGGCAATTATAGTGAAACACCACATGCAGTCATTGAGGTGAGTACTTGATGCACATCATTGCGGAAAAAAATTGTTTGTGTCAATATAATATTCGATTATTTGAATTAAAAACTATGCGTAATATAAATGAATAAAGAAGGAGAAACAAAAAATTTGAAAATTTTATAAACATTAAAACGTTTACTTCACAAATTAAATTTAATTAATAATTAAACTTAAATTTTGTTATATGTACTTCATAATTCTCCGCGCAAAAAGTAGGAAAAAGATATTAATCTATTAAATGAAATATATAAAATGTACATTAAAAAGTTTTGCAGGTTTTCAGTCAGTATCGATAGTATCTTACGCGAAATATGTCTGGTTGAAATAGTGGGAACAACGTTAACTATATGTCTACTGGAATATTATTGTATCACGGTAACGTTTAAAAAATTCTATAACTGCATCATGTGCGTGGTAAGGTGTAAAATTATAAAATTTTAAAAATAACTGCGATGTAACAGTTAAAAAAGTGATTCAGCTAACATTACGATATCTAATTTTGCTACTAAATAAACGGACATTTGACATATTTTATATGATACGAATTATATGCTATTTTTAAATAAATAAAATTTTAGGGTGTAAATATATGTTTTCAATTTCACAAAAAAATAAAATTAATGATTTAATATTATCTTATTCTCTCAGGAATGGAATAACAACGACAGTATAGCAATTTTAACATATTTTTTTCTATTAATATCGATTGTCTTCAACGTTTTCATGCTTTGCTACATTAGCGAAGAATTAACAAATCAGGTGTTTATATTTACATATTTAATAATATAAAATAAATTATATTAAATGTCACATAACATTTGAATGTTGCAATACTTATATACGTCATAAAAATATACAATATATGTATGTCTAACAAAATTAATTAATAATAACAAATTTATTAAGAATAACAATTTTTGCATAACATATATATACAACATATGAATATGTATGTATATACACATATATATGTATATGTATAAATTAAAGCATAATTAAATTAAATACTTAGTGCATAAAAGTTGGATTTGCATCATATAAAATCGAGTGGTATCGTTTACCAGAAAAAGCTGCACTCGATCTTACGTTAATAATCAGCATATCACAACATCCCATAAAAATTACTGCAGGAAAAATAATTAATCTTTCGTTCGAACTTTTTGGCTCCGTAAGTACAATTTCTCATCACTTTAGCAGTGAAATACATAATAATAATAATTTTTTACGCACATACTTCATACATTAACAGGTACTGAAAACTTCGCTTGTGTATCTAAACTTACTCCGAACTTTTGTTTGATACATGCGAAAGGAATTTTTAATGTATTTTCGTATCAACAAATAAAATAATATTTAGTCAATTTTATGTTGAAAACAAAGGAAAATTAAGTTAAATGAATAAGTTTCAAGATAATGATGCATACTTGTACGGTATAACCAATTATTTGCACATATGAATACAATAAATAAATAAATTTTGTCCAAATCAAAATTTTATAAAATTGTTTCACGCTTTTGATTTAACAAAGTTGTATCAATTGCAATATGTCATTGATTGCAATCCAAATATTTGCGACTTCAATTAATTGTGATGTTTACAAATATAATTTTCATTAATATATTTCATATTATACATATATTTCTAAATGCACCTGAAGATAGAAAACAAAATTTAAAAAAATTTAATCTTAAAGTGATTTTATATTAACATGAATCTACTTCCTGTTCTATTTCAATATATTTTCAATCTTCTGAAAAAAATTAAAGTACGAAAGAGAACGTAACTTGAAATAGTATTCCTGCAACGAATAATCGATGTCAGACGGTGTTCAACATAAAAAAAATAACAATGATTAATATATAATAATATATTTTTATCCGTTTGTACCATTTATTTCGTTTGTATCTCAAAAGGTAAAAAAATTTCAGGAAGAAAAAAGTCTACGCACAACCATATATCTCCAAATTTCGTTTACGCAAGAAAATCGTTTGTATCTTTGTCATTATAACTCAAAGAAGATGTAGAGATACATGGTGTTTCAATTTTGGCATAATCAAATCGCAAACACACACACACACACACACACATTCATCTTCTCTCCTCAATATTTCATCCTCAATATTATCAGATTCGACATCATTACGTTGGCACACTTCTTAGCCATGCTCATCGCTCATGTAGCCCGGTCAATATTGTGATAGCATTCATAGAAAACATTTTCGAGAGAAAATGCAATCAAACAAATTAGAGAAATGCTTGGCGATTATCGTGCATCACGTAAAAACATTAAGGTAAGTATCCCGTCTGGCTATCTGCATTTTACTATGTGTAAAATTAACTTCACGTTACAGTAATGTCTGCATCAGAAATTCTACAAACTCATTTACTAAAAATTTATTAAATAAAAAAGTTAGTATTATTTAAAATGTTATCATGTGTTAAAAGAATTATGCTTTCGTCTAAGCTTTCGTGGTAAGAAATATTTGACAAATGCTTGTTCATAACGATGTAGATTTTCAGCTAGTATCAAATATACATATAATATTTTGCGCGAGTTATGTTTCGAAATAGTGAAAATAACGTTAATAAAGTGGTAAGTAAAATATTCCATGATAATGGTGAAATATTTAAAATAAGATCGAAAGTTCCCTCTCGAAACTGTTAAAACCATTTTTTACACGTACTGTACGATACAGCATTCTCGCCCAAAGCCAAACAAATTATTTCTTTTGCTTCAGCCACGTATTTGTTAAGTTTAAGAAACGCGAAAAGAAGGCAGTGCCTCAAATGTTGCTTTTCAAACGACATCGTGTTTATGTTCACAGGAGGATCAAGTATTATACCTTATTTTAAAGCTAAAAGATGGATCTTCAAAATGACTACAGAGAGGGGGGAGTTCAATTTAAATGGGTTCTGAGGTTGCTGAAGGTAAGAGCCAAGAATTAATTTGTACACCTAATATAAATATTATATTTGCATACTTCTTATAGATATATACAAAATAATACTTTTAAAAATCTGCATATTATTAAGATATAAAATACTAAACTTTTCACAAGATATAATATACTATATAAGTTTTTCTGATTTTATAAATAACTTATAAAAAAACCATTTTAAATTTATGTTACACTATTCATTAAAAACAAAGTTTCATTAAGCACATACAACAGTAAAATACGCAGAAATAACAATGGGTTCTGTTATACAAAAAAACTTTCCGTGCTGGTAAAAATACAACTGTGACAAAGTACTATTCCCTTAATAAAATTGATTTTCAAATACACGCTAACTTCGGGCTATGGCAGAGAACGAGACGTAACATGCGTAGTCGTAACGTAAGGCAGAGAAAAACGTAAATGTCGTAGTAATGAACTAGTGACTGGTAGTCACTACTACGACAGCTACGTTTTTCTCTGCCTTACCTTACGTTACGATTACGCATGTTACGTCTCGTTCTCTGCCCTTACCTTACGTTACGACTACGCATGTTACGTCTCCTTACATAGCCCTTCCCCTATTACCCAGACCATATCGAAAGCACCCGTGATTGACATGCGCAACTTTTTACCATCACGCTATCCACAAAGCGTAGATATTTGACATATTTTATACATATGTATTATTTCCTATTTATTTAAAGAAATTTCAAGATGTATATTCACACACGTTTTTAAATTATAATAAAAAAATAAAATTAGTATTATATCATCCTTACAGGAATGGAATAACAACGACAGTATAGCAATTTTAACATACTTTTTTTTATTAATATCGTTTGTCTTCAATGTTTTTACGCTTTGCTACATTGGTGAACAATTAACAAATCAGGTGTTTAAATTTAAATTTTTAATAATTTTTTAATAATGAAATAAATTTTATAAAATTTAAAACATTTGGATGTTGCTACGTATAAACATTTATATGACGAATTATACATAAATAATGCAAATATGTAAAAATTAAAAATAAATTTAGTGCAGTAAAATTGGGTATACTTCGTATGAAATCGAGTGGTACCATTTACCAGGAAAGATTGCACTTGATCTCACGTTAATAATCAGCATATCACATCATCCGATAAAAGTTACTGCAGGAAAAATAATCAGTCTTTCGTTCTCAAGTTTTGGCTCTGTAAGTACAATGTATTATCACTTCGAAGGTGAAAAAGGACAATAGTAAAAATTTTTTTAAGCATATTTTATACATTAACAGGTACTGAAAACTTCGATTACATATTTAAATATGCTCCGAACATTCGTTTGATACATACAAGAGAATTTTTAAATGTTGTTTTATATCAAGAAATAAAATAATATTAAGTAATTCGTATGTTGAAAAAATATTTATAATTAAGTTAAATGAATATATTTTACGATAATAATCTATACGCATTTGATACAATCAATTAAATGCACATATCAATATATTAAATAAACAAACTTAGTCTAGATTCTAATTTTATAATAATGTTTTACACTTATTATTTAGCAAACCATCATCAATTGCAATATCATTGAATGTTATCGAAGTATTTGCAATCTTCCATCAATTCAGATGATGTTTGCAAACATAATTTTTCATGTATCATATTTATAAATGTAACTCGAGTTGAAATAAAATAGTAAAAAAATTAGCTGACTGAAGTTTGGAACGTTCTTGGAACGAATTTTTCAAAACGATTTCTCCCATTTCTTCTTTGGCACAGATGTTCCTCTGCATGTCAGAAAACAAATAGAAAACACCCCGATCGAATACACGCGTCGAAAGCCACCCTTATGGGCAAAAAACCACCCTCGAAACAACTAAAAAATTTCTAAAAGATTGTAGAATAATTAATGAATTAAACGAACTTACAGTGAAGTTCGATTGTAATTATGCTGTCTCGTCCGGATGGATAATTGTAGTAGCGTTCCGCTGCGTAATCCTCAACAGGTTTTGAAAGCTGGAGAAAAGAAAACCAAATAAGGCGCTGCGGTGGCGCCTAGATAAGCGGTGGCCTGCACTCGGGTGCAACCGTCCACGCCATCTGAGTTCATTAGTTCAAAGCCTACGAATCTGGAAAAGGCATGTGGGTGGGAGGGAGTCTCCATCCGGACGAGACAGCATAATTACAATCGAACTTCACTGTAAGTTCGTTTAATTCATTAATTATGCTATGTCTCGTCCGGATGGATAATTGTAGATGTTTAAAGTACAGATTCGTAAGGAGAGCTATAAAAATAATAAGTATTATTAATTTGTTATACAACTACATTTCTCACTCTTATGGATGTTTCGTATGAAGCAATAAGTATATATATATATATCTCTCACGAAAAAATTGTGCACTTCTTGCACTTTATTATGAATGTACAGATCGAAAAAATGGTACTCACAGAGTAATGATTTGTCCAGGATCGCATCCTGAAAAGAGGAGTCACTAAGAATAGGACGATTATAAAAACAAGCAAATGTCTCTGAGGATTTGCTCCGTCCAGCCGTACGTCTAATTTCTTCCAAACTAATATCCTTGTTTGCTGTAAGGTACGTTGACGCATGGCGAGTAGAATGCGCTGAAAAGATATTTGTATCTACCCCTGCCGTTTGAATCTTAGTTTTGACCCACCACCCCAGCGTCTGGGCGGAAACTGCCTTGTATGGAACTCGAAAAGAGATAAAAAAGTGAATCGCAGCCTGTCTGGCGAAGATCGGCAGTATTAGAAAGATAAAATTTGAGTTCTGGCTTATCCGCAAAGGGCTTGAAGGAGAACAAGGGCTGACAATTACCCTTTCCAGAGGTTTTAAGACGGGCGGGGATTTTTAGAATCAAAGAATCTGAGAAGGTGATATTAGAAAGCTGTATAGCTGCAAGCGTCTGTATTCTTTGTGCAGTGATAAGAGCAAGGAGCGTCCCAATTTCCTCGAGATTACTTCCAACGAGAACTCTACATGTGGGTATAGGAAAGTCAAAAGAACCGTCACCGTCGACAGGTCCCAGATATATTCGTATCTGTGGCGCTGTGGCCTTAAGGTAGCCACTTCCTTAAAGAATCTTCTGACCAAGGAGTGAGTGCCTATTTCGTTCCGAGAAATAAGGGTTATTGCTGAGCGGTACTTTTTCCAAGTGGCCTAGGAACCTATATCTGCCAGGGAAGAAGACAAAGATCCGAGAAATAAGGGGACTGACGGAGTGAAGCAGCTGACATCCCTTTTCTTGCAAAAACAATCACCAATGCCTCATGGGCTTAGAATGTTGAGCTAAAGTCGTTCTCGAGATAGATGCGAGCATTGCGGTTAGAGCCGGTGGCGGTATTTCCCTGAGTAAAAAAGAAGGCCTGCCGAATAAATTCGCGGCCACCAGGGAAATCCTGATCCAAGCCAAGTGATAATCCCTGAAAAGAGACGACTCTGTTTAAAAACTTCTATAGAAAACCATTAAGAAAATTCAATAGTTTTTAATAAGCATTTTAAATCGGTAGATCCCAATCCGTGATAGTCTTCTATTATTATTATACTCATAGATCTTATTGATAACTGTAAAGCTTCTATAGTCGCTCTTGTGTGCTACTATAGAAACTATTAAAAACTATAAATTCCTATAGTTTTTTCTTTTTTTTTTTTTTTTTTTAAATCCTAAGCAGGGGACAACATATTACAAACTGGCTCAACTTGCATCAGATGTTGGACAATAAGCTGAATGACTAGGGGAACTATGGCTGAGCTGGCCACCAGGGCACCACCACAACACCTTCCACCCCGTCAGTAATGATCTCGCGCATTACTCCTAGAATCAGGATGAATGGTGGTAATGCGTAAAAAGAAATATAAATATATATATAAATATATATACTCCAATTAAGGGAGAAAGCGTCGATTGCAACCGCGAACAGGTCCGGATGCCGAGAGACAAAGTGAGAGCACTTCGTATTAATTGAAGTAGAAACGATGTCAAAAACGACCCAAAAAACAGAAAAAATTCTGTCAAGTTACGTTTGTAATAGATACCATTCTTTCCTTTCCACAGTAACGCGAAATTCCGCGTCTGCCTCAAAGTTCTGTGCCGAGGGACCATACGAGGCGTAGATGAATAAATTTTTTTTTTTTTTTTACGACCACGAAATTTTTCGGGCTAATCCGGAAAGCAATGGAAAACTGACTGGGCCCATACGATTATTAAGGGCTATTGCCCTGGAATTCTCGAGTCTTAATAAAACATCGGAATTTCTTAAGTGAGATGCAAAGCATCCAAGCGCATGGATATCACAACATCCCATAAAAATTACTGCAGGAAAAATAATTAATCTTTCGTTCGAACTTTTTGGCTCCGTAAGTACAATTTCTCATCACTTTAGCAGTGAAATACATAATAATAATAATTTTTTACGCACATACTTCATACATTAACAGGTACTGAAAACTTCGCTTGTGTATCTAAACTTACTCCGAACTTTTGTTTGATACATGCGAAAGGAATTTTTAATGTATTTTCGTATCAACAAATAAAATAATATTTAGTCAATTTTATGTTGAAAACAAAGGAAAATTAAGTTAAATGAATAAGTTTCAAGATAATGATGCATACTTGTACGGTATAACCAATTATTTGCACATATGAATACAATAGTTCCAGAAAATTAATGTGGAAGGCCTTGTCCTCTGTTGACCAAAAAACCGTGTGTACGCCTTCCGCCACACACTGCACCCATCCTGTAAGAGAAAAGTCTGAATAAATTTCAATGGCGAAAAGACTTGACTGTATATAATTGCACTGCAACTATTGTAAAAATGTGTTTCCACCATAGGTCTTCTCTGAGCGAAGCCTAAAGAGGTATTTAAACCTCAAAAATGTTGTCTGACACCAGGAGGGCTAAGAATTTCTCTCTTTCCAATAACTTTATAAATCAAAATTTTATAAAATTGTTTCACGCTTTTGATTTAACAAAGTTGTATCAATTGCAATATGTCATTGATTGCAATCCAAATATTTGCGACTTCAATTAATTGTGATGTTTACAAATATAATTTTCATTGATATTTCATATTATACATATATTTCTAAATGCACCTTAAGTTAAAAAACAACATTTAAAAACATTTAATTTTAGTGTGATAACATCTTCAAACCTGTTTTTCCAATGTACTTTTTATTTCATGTTAACAATGTATATTAAATAGATTATTTAATCCAAAAAATATTTATGAGAAATAAAGTCGATTTCAGAATTCACAAGAAATAAAACTTATACATATATAATATATTAAAGATATTTTACCTGCATGTGTGATCAAAAGATAAGACCAGATAATATAAAAAGATTTATGTATACATATACATATACTTCCTATATATACATACATACATATACATTTACACACATACAAAACAATACGTCGTAAATTTTTCTGTTTAATTACGATATAACACACAATATTCAACTTTATTAATTCCATAAATAACTTCACTTTAAATCGTATTATACTATTCACTTAAAAGATCTACGTAATTAATCATACACAACGGTAAATTATACGCGGAAATAACACAATCAGTTTTATAAGCTACAGAAAAACTTCCTACACAAGTAGAAATACAACTGTCGCAAAGTAATATTCCCTCGATATAAAATTGATTTTCAAGAACACGCTAACCTCCCCTTTCCTTTTTTACCTATACTTTGTCGAAAGCATTCGTGATTGTCATGCGCAATTTTTTACTAACACGCTATCGACAAAGCGCATCAGTCGCTCTCGCGCCCTCGAGAGTATAGTATGGCCAAACTTAACATCTCCTGGTCGAATGTGAATAGTGAGAGGGATATAATCAACGCATTAGTATGGAATCGATGGATATTACGAGTTCTCGGTATCTGGCCGTTGGTATATTCAAATACTACAACGATCGAGAAGATATTAGCAACAATATCATTCGCATTATGCTGGTCCGCGCTTAGTTTTCTTCTAATTCCCATGGGCATTTCTACGCTGTCAGAACAAACAACTGTAAACGAAAAAATCAAAATGCTAGGTCCACTAAGCTACGTGTTAATCTCGACATTGAAATATTTTTTCCTGGTGATACATCACAAGAGCATACGACAATGCATTCGGGTGATAAGTACTGATTGGCATGCAGTCCAGCAGCAGGAATATCGAAAAATTATGATTAAATACATGACAAAGAGCCATGTGTTATCCAAGATTTGTATAATGTTCATGTATTGCGGAGGCTTCTGTTTTCAAACCGTAATGCCGTTTCTGACACACACCACAATCGACGAACAGAATATCACTGTTAAACCAATAATTTGCCCCGGATTCGATATTATTTTCGACTTGCATTTTACGCCGACCTATGTATTTGTATTTTGCGCACAATGGTTATCTGGTATTGTACTGTTCAACGTCACTACAGCAGTGTGTTGCTTGGCAGCCATGTTCGTCGCTCACGCTTGCGGTCAAATCGAGATCGTAATGGCCCGCGTAGGAAATTTTGTAAAAAATGCACAAAGTAATCATAAACACATAAAGCAACAGATGGCAATTATAGTGAAACACCATATGCAGTCATTGAGGTGAGTGCTTGGTGCACTTCATTGCGGAAAAAAAATGTTTGTGTCAATTATATCCGATTATCTAAATTTAAAATTATATAAATTGCAAAATGAATAAAGAATATTTATGGAAATAGGAAAAACAATAAATCTTTAACTTTTATAACTGTAGAAATGTTTACCTATTTCATAAATAACAGTTCAACTCAATGAATAATCAAACTTAAATTTAATTAACAGTACTGAATAATTTTTCACAAAAATAGAAAAACGAAAATTAATTTATTAAATGAAATGCATAGAAACTACATTAAAAAGTTTTACAGATTTTCAATCAATATCGATAATATTTTACGCGAAATATGTCTGGTTGAAATAGTGGGAACAACGTTAACTATATGCCTGCTGGAATATTATTGCATCATGGTAATGTGTAAAAAATTCTATTACAGCATCAAGTGTGTGGTAAGGTGTATAAAATTTTAAAAATAACAACGATGTGAAAATATGTGATTATCAACTAACACATTGATCAAATTTTTGCTATTAACTATATAGATATTTGACATATTTTATACATATGTATTATTTCCTATTTATTTAAAGAAATTTCAAGATGTATATTCACACACGTTTTTAAATTATAATAAAAAAATAAAATTAGTATTATATCATCCTTACAGGAATGGAATAACAACGACAGTATAGCAATTTTAACATACTTTTTTTTATTAATATCGTTTGTCTTCAATGTTTTTACGCTTTGCTACATTGGTGAACAATTAACAAATCAGGTGTTTAAATTTAAATTTTTAATAATTTTTTAATAATGAAATAAATTTTATAAAATTTAAAACATTTGGATGTTGCTACGTATAAACATTTATATGACGAATTATACATAAATAATGCAAATATGTAAAAATTAAAAATAAATTTAGTGCAGTAAAATTGGGTATACTTCGTATGAAATCGAGTGGTACCATTTACCAGGAAAGATTGCACTTGATCTCACGTTAATAATCAGCATATCACATCATCCGATAAAAGTTACTGCAGGAAAAATAATCAGTCTTTCGTTCTCAAGTTTTGGCTCTGTAAGTACAATGTATTATCACTTCGAAGGTGAAAAAGGACAATAGTAAAAATTTTTTTAAGCATATTTTATACATTAACAGGTACTGAAAACTTCGATTACATATTTAAATATGCTCCGAACATTCGTTTGATACATACAAAAGAATTTTTAAATGTTGTTTTATATCAAGAAATAAAATAATATTAAGTAATTCGTATGTTAAAAAAATATTTATAATTAAGTTAAATGAATATATTTTACGATAATAATCTATACGCATTTGATACAATCAATTAAATGCACATATCAATATATTAAATAAACAAACTTAGTCTAGATTCTAATTTTATAATAATGTTTTACACTTATTATTTAGCAAACCATCATCAATTGCAATATCATTGAATGTTATCGAAGTATTTGCAATCTTCCATCAATTCAGATGATGTTTGCAAACATAATTTTTCATGTATCATATTTATAAATGTAACTCGAGTTGAAATAAAATAGTAAAAAAATTAGCTGACTGAAGTTTGGAACGTTCTTGGAACGAATTTTTCAAAACGATTTCTCCCATTTCTTCTTTGGCACAGATGTTCCTCTGCATGTCAGAAAACAAATAGAAAACACCCCGATCGAATACACGCGTCGAAAGCCACCCTTATGGGCAAAAAACCACCCTCGAAACAACTAAAAAATTTCTAAAAGATTGTAGAATAATTAATGAATTAAACGAACTTACAGTGAAGTTCGATTGTAATTATGCTGTCTCGTCCGGATGGATAATTGTAGTAGCGTTCCGCTGCGTAATCCTCAACAGGTTTTGAAAGCTGGAGAAAAGAAAACCAAATAAGGCGCTGCGGTGGCGCCTAGATAAGCGGTGGCCTGCACTCGGGTGCAACCGTCCACGCCATCTGAGTTCATTAGTTCAAAGCCTACGAATCTGGAAAAGGCATGTGGGTGGGAGGGAGTCTCCATCCGGACGAGACAGCATAATTACAATCGAACTTCACTGTAAGTTCGTTTAATTCATTAATTATGCTATGTCTCGTCCGGATGGATAATTGTAGATGTTTAAAGTACAGATTCGTAAGGAGAGCTATAAAAATAATAAGTATTATTAATTTGTTATACAACTACATTTCTCACTCTTATGGATGTTTCGTATGAAGCAATAAGTATATATATATATATCTCTCACGAAAAAATTGTGCACTTCTTGCACTTTATTATGAATGTACAGATCGAAAAAATGGTACTCACAGAGTAATGATTTGTCCAGGATCGCATCCTGAAAAGAGGAGTCACTAAGAATAGGACGATTATAAAAACAAGCAAATGTCTCTGAGGATTTGCTCCGTCCAGCCGTACGTCTAATTTCTTCCAAACTAATATCCTTGTTTGCTGTAAGGTACGTTGACGCATGGCGAGTAGAATGCGCTGAAAAGATATTTGTATCTACCCCTGCCGTTTGAATCTTAGTTTTGACCCACCACCCCAGCGTCTGGGCGGAAACTGCCTTGTATGGAACTCGAAAAGAGATAAAAAAGTGAATCGCAGCCTGTCTGGCGAAGATCGGCAGTATTAGAAAGATAAAATTTGAGTTCTGGCTTATCCGCAAAGGGCTTGAAGGAGAACAAGGGCTGACAATTACCCTTTCCAGAGGTTTTAAGACGGGCGGGGATTTTTAGAATCAAAGAATCTGAGAAGGTGATATTAGAAAGCTGTATAGCTGCAAGCGTCTGTATTCTTTGTGCAGTGATAAGAGCAAGGAGCGTCCCAATTTCCTCGAGATTACTTCCAACGAGAACTCTACATGTGGGTATAGGAAAGTCAAAAGAACCGTCACCGTCGACAGGTCCCAGATATATTCGTATCTGTGGCGCTGTGGCCTTAAGGTAGCCACTTCCTTAAAGAATCTTCTGACCAAGGAGTGAGTGCCTATTTCGTTCCGAGAAATAAGGGTTATTGCTGAGCGGTACTTTTTCCAAGTGGCCTAGGAACCTATATCTGCCAGGGAAGAAGACAAAGATCCGAGAAATAAGGGGACTGACGGAGTGAAGCAGCTGACATCCCTTTTCTTGCAAAAACAATCACCAATGCCTCATGGGCTTAGAATGTTGAGCTAAAGTCGTTCTCGAGATAGATGCGAGCATTGCGGTTAGAGCCGGTGGCGGTATTTCCCTGAGTAAAAAAGAAGGCCTGCCGAATAAATTCGCGGCCACCAGGGAAATCCTGATCCAAGCCAAGTGATAATCCCTGAAAAGAGACGACTCTGTTTAAAAACTTCTATAGAAAACCATTAAGAAAATTCAATAGTTTTTAATAAGCATTTTAAATCGGTAGATCCCAATCCGTGATAGTCTTCTATTATTATTATACTCATAGATCTTATTGATAACTGTAAAGCTTCTATAGTCGCTCTTGTGTGCTACTATAGAAACTATTAAAAACTATAAATTCCTATAGTTTTTTCTTTTTTTTTTTTTTTTTTTAAATCCTAAGCAGGGGACAACATATTAAAAACTGGCTCAACTTGTATCAGATGTTGGACAATAAGCTGAATGAATAGGGGAACTATGGCTGAGCTGGCCACCAGGGCACCACTACAACACCTTCCACCCCGTCAGTGATGATCTCGCGCATTACCCCTAGAATCAGGATGAATGGTGGTAATGCGTAAAAAGAAATATAAATATATATACTCCAATTAAGGGAGAAAGCATCGATTGCAACCGCGAACAGGTCCGGATGCCGAGAGACAAAGTGAGAGCACTTCGTATTAATCGAAGTAGAAACGATGTCAAAACGACCCAAAAAACAGAAAAAATTCTGTCAAGATACGTTTGTAATAGATACCATTCTTTCCTTTCCACAGTAACGCGAAATTCCGCGTCTGCCTCAAAGTTCTGTGCCGAGGGACCATACGAGGCGTAGATGAATAAATTTTTTTTTTTTTTTTTTGACCACGAAATTTTTCGGGCTAATCCGGAAAGCAATGGAAAACTGACTGGGCCCATACGATTATTAAGGGCTATTGCCGTGGAATTCTCGAGTCTTAATAAAACATCGGAATTTCTTAGGTGAGATGCAAAGCATCTAAGCGCATGGAAAGCAGCCAGGAGTTCCAGATAATTAATGTGGAAGGCCTTGTCCTCTGTTGACCAAAAACCCGTGTGTACGCCTTTCGCCACACACTGCACTGGGATCCTGTAAGAGAAAAGTCTGAATAAATTTCAATGGCGAAAAGACTTGACCGTATATAATTGCACTGCAACTATTGTAAAAATGTGTTTCCACCATAGGTCTTCTCTGAGCGAAGCCTAAAGAGGTATTTGAGCCTCAAAAATGTTGTCTGACACCAGGAGGGCTAAGAATTTCTCTCTTTCCAATAACTTTGTATATAAATATTGGCGTCAATACGCTCTTACGCATGTTGATAATGAAGCCACAGGGACGAAAGTAAATATGAGCAGGCCGTCTCGCTGTCCGATATGGCTCGCCGAATCGCGAACTTGACAGGAAGAGCGAGCTCTGCCTGGTGCTCGATGGCCATAATATCACTTGCGTTAATATCGGCCATGCTTGTAAAGATATTTCTTAAATATAGCTTATACATGCCTGCAATGAGCCGAAAATCGACTAGATATACCACTGAAAAGAAACCTTGTCCCGGGACTCGAACCCGTGGACCTTGTAGTGGTTCGTATCACAAAGCCACCCTCTTGCCGCGGAGTCACACAACTCTACACAGGACCGGTTTCATAATCTTGGTAAATACATAAAGTACTGAGGCCAGTCCGAAGGAGAGGGCTCTGAAAAGGTAGAGTTGACCCTGAAAAACTAAGAACGCAAACATTTTCTGTTATCCTCATGAATAACCACAAGAAAGTATGCGTTTTCTAATTTCACCGAGACTAGATAATCGCCTGGGGAGATAAAATGGACGATAGTTTTCCAATCCTTGAGTTTAAAATGCGTAGCAATTATAAGCCTGTTAAAGCGCTTTAAATTGAGAATAAATTGAGAATAAATCTCCATCCGCCGAAGATTTTTGAAAACAAAAAATGAGGGTAAAAAACTGGCTCTCGCAGTCTAATACACCCTCAATCGCTCCCTTTAACAAGGAGTCTAGAGATCCCTTGCGCGCAAATCTGTTGTTCTAGATTTGACAGGTGACACAGGAGGTCCTCGCGTTGGGACGGCGGATGTTGGGTGAGAGGTAACCTATAACCAGCAATGGTCTCCAAAATGACCCTATCCGACGTAATCTGCTTCCAACTAGGTAGAAAAAACGGCCAGTCTGCCCCCAGTAATTGCTGCTTGATTTACCGTTTCAAATGTACAAGCCGAGATGGCTGCTTGATTGGCTGTTGGATCTTACTTGTAATTATTATTGACGGTTTGATAATTTCCCTGGAAGATTTTTCTATGGAAATTATCTTCTTCGTCTGTTTTCCAAAAGATGTATCCGAACAGCAGCTCGTCTACTGGAATAAAATCCGCTGTGTTTTTTGCATTTTAGGTTAAGGGCGGGTGTAATCTGCGCTCTTCTAGTTATAGAGAGGCGATAAACAAGATCGGCCAGAATCCTCGCCCCTTCCTTTACTTTAGCTACCGCTATACGAGCTTCAGGACACAGGGAGTTCTGAATTTCCGATCTAAGAAAAAACAGAATTAGCCTCGCTTAATGCGCAAAGGGCTAGGCCTGCTTGATCCTGGTTCTTGCCCGCATAATCATTCCTTATACAATCAAATTGTTTTTAAGGGCCACCCTGCACTCATGATTTAAAGTGGGGGCCTTTAGGAATGCTAATGCTTCTGGAAGAGTGAATTTCTTATGTAAGTACATTGCAAAGAGCTCTCGTTTATAGTTACCCGTTTAAGATGATCCGATGATGTGTCGTCCACTTCGCCTACATTCTCATCTACCTCTAAAGAGAGGAGAAACGTTCTAGCATGTGAAGGAGAAAAAAGGTTGTGCCGTCATGCCGCCTGTATTTCGCAAATACAGATCAAGCAATATCATACACACCTGACAACTTTGGGTCCGTTAGCCCCTCTTGTCGCGCAAGGGATGCTAAAAAAGCCTCTGAGTCGGACCTCGTGACCGGTTCCGACTCATTACGTGACCCAAAAATCTCCTGAGAGCTCAGAATAATGCTAGACGAGGCCTGAGAAGGTCCGCTAGGCGACCTAACCTCCCTTCGGGACAATATGTTAATCAGGCGGGACGTTTTATTCTCGAAATCCGACAAACGGTCTCCAGAAAGTGATCTTCTCCTCCTTCTCGATTTATGGGAAGACTTGCCAATATACACAAACCTGTGAAAATAACTTAAAATCGAAGACGAAAAAATCGGTGTGTTGAGGATTCACACAACAGGAAAACAATGAACTCAGATGGCGTGGACGGTTGCACCCGAGTGCAGGCCACCGCTTATCTAGGCGCCACCGCAGCGCCTTATTTGGTTTTCTTTTCTCCAGCTTTCAAAACCTGTTGAGGATTACGCAGCGGAACGCTACTACAATTATCCATCCGGACGAGACATAGCATAATTTCTCCCATTTCTCCTTTTGCACAGAGGTCCCTCTGCATGCCAGAAAACAAATAGAAAACACCGCGATCGAATACATGTGTCGGAAGACACCCTTATGGGCGAAAAACGACCCTCGAAATAACTTAATAATTTCTAAAAAATCGTAGAATGATTTCTCCCATTTCTCCTTTGGCACAGATGTTCCTCTGCATGCCACAAAACAAATAGAAAACACCCCGATCGAATACACGCGTCGGAAGCCACCCTTATGGGCGAAAAACCACCCTCGAAACAACTAAAAAATTTCTAAAAGATCGTAGAATAACTTATCATAAATAATGCAAATATGTAAAAATTAAAAATAAATTTAGTGCAGTAAAATTGGGTATACTTCGTATGAAATCGAGTGGTACCATTTACCAGGAAAGATTGCACTTGATCTCACGTTAATAATCAGCATATCACATCATCCGATAAAAGTTACTGCAGGAAAAATAATCAGTCTTTCGTTCTCAAGTTTTGGCTCTGTAAGTACAATGTATTATCACTTCGAAGGTGAAAAAGGACAATAGTAAAAATTTTTTTAAGCATATTTTATACATTAACAGGTACTGAAAACTTCGATTACATATTTAAATATGCTCCGAACATTCGTTTGATACATACAAAAGAATTTTTAAATGTTGTTTTATATCAAGAAATAAAATAATATTAAGTAATTCGTATGTTAAAAAAATATTTATAATTAAGTTAAATGAATATATTTTACGATAATAATCTATACGCATTTGATACAATCAATTAAATGCACATATCAATATATTAAATAAACAAACTTAGTCTAGATTCTAATTTTATAATAATGTTTTACACTTATTATTTAGCAAACCATCATCAATTGCAATATCATTGAATGTTATCGAAGTATTTGCAATCTTCCATCAATTCAGATGATGTTTGCAAACATAATTTTTCATGTATCATATTTATAAATGTAACTCGAGTTGAAATAAAATAGTAAACAAATTTTATTTTTTAATGACGACATTTACACCTGTTTTTTCAATATATTATTTATTTTATGTTAACGATGAATCTTTACTTCGAGTTTCACTTTAATGTATTCTCAATATCATAAAAAAAATTAAATAATATAATAAAAAAATTTATCATAAAAACGTATTTTTGCAAAGAATAACTGATGTAAAAAAAAGAATAAAAATAATTAATATAATACATTTTTACCGTTTTATTTCTTTGGATTCTCAAAGGATAAGAAAACACGAAAAAGATTTAAGAACGGTATACACACAACCATAATATTAGTATTTTCAAATTTTTTTATGTAAAAAAATCAATTGTTCCTCTGTAGATATCATTATAATTGAAAGATGATATAGAGATACAGCGTTTTTCACTTTCAGCGTAATCTTTCACGTACGTCTTTTCTTTCCTCAATATTTCATCATTACTAGATATCACATTCAACATCATTACGTCAACACACTGCTTAGTGGCCATGTTCATCGCTCCAATATTTGACCGATCGACATTCTAATAGCACATATGGAAAACCTTTTCAAAAGAAAATACGATCATACAAGTTTGAGAAATGCATGTCGATTATCGTGCATCACATATAAATATTAAGGTAAGTAAATATCCTGTCTTGCTATTTGCATTTTACTATCTATAAAATTACCTGCACGTTTTAGTAATATCTGCACAAGAATGTGAATCTCAAATCTTGCGAAACCCTTTGTCAAAAATTTATTAAATATAAAAAGTTAACATTATTTAAAATGTCATCATCTGTTAAAGGAAATACGTTTTCGTCTATTTTAATAAAAATATTTGATAAATGCCAGTTCACCTATCTTGTATTAGATTCTTCGCATCAAAGATACTTTGCACTATCATAGTTACATCTGTTCAAGATAACGGAAACAACATTCATAATATGCTTAGCAGAATATTTTTAGATAACAGTAATTAAACACATTTTATACTGCTTCCCGTTTTAATCAACAATATAACTTCTCTATTGAAAAATAAATATATTTTAAGATAATAGTATACATGTTATTATCTTGTATATTTTACATAAGATAATAACATGTACCAATTTTAAATCATATAACATTATTTAATTGAAGAAATTAATTAGCCACACATAAGTAGAAAACTACACGGAAATAGCGTAAACAATTTTACGTGCTACAGATAATCCCTCCGTGCAAGTAGTAATATAACTGTGACAAAGCAATATTCTTTCGACGAAATTGATTGTTCAAGCGCACGCAATCTACTTTTCCCCTTTCCTATCCTTACTATGTTGAAAGCACCTGTAATTGTCATGCGCAACTTTTTACCATCACGCTATCGACAAAGCACACCAGTCGCTTTCGGGCCATCGTGACGATAGTATGGCAAAACTTAATATCCCCTGGCCGAATGTGAACAGTGAGAGAGACATAATCAATGCGCTAGTGTGGAATCGATGGATACTACAAATTATAGGAATCTGGCCGCTAGTATATTCAAATACTTCAATGATCGAAAAGATCTTAGCGACAATATCATTCACGTTATGTTGGTCTGCGCTCAGTTTCCTTTTGATTCCCATGACCATCATTACACTTTCGAAACACACTCCCATAAATGACAAAATTAAAGTGCTAGGTCCGTTCAGTCACGTATTCATCGTGATGTTGAAATATTTCTTCCTGGTGATTCATCATAAGAGCATCCAGCAATGCATTTGCAATTTGAGTACTGATTGGCGTACAGTCCAGCAAGAGAATCATCGAAAAATTATGATTAAAAACGCATCAAAAAGCCATTTATTATCCAAGTTTAGTGTAATATTCATGTATTGCGGAGGCTTGTGGTATCAAGTCGTAATGCCGTTTTTGTCGCATACTATCAACGAGCAGAATGTCACTATCAAACCAATGCCTTTTGCTGGCTTTGATAACGTTTTCAACTTCCATTTTATGCCAGTTTATGTGTCTGTCTTATGCGCGCAATGGTTCTCCAGCATCGTACTGTTCAACGTCACTATAGCAGTATGTTGCTTAGCAGCTATGTTCGTAGCTCACATTTGTGGTCAAATCGAGATCGTAATGGATCGCGTAGAAAACATTATAAAAGATGTACAACGCAATCATATGAAGCAATATATGGCAATTATTGTAAAACACCACGTGCAGACATTGAGGTGAGTCTCGTTGCATATAAGTAGTTACGGAAAAAATTATCTGGATGACATGTACCCGTTGTATTATTTAAATTAAAAATTTATATAAACACAACATATAAATAAAAAATAGAATAACACATTTGAGGCTTTCACGGGTATTATCTTCAATTATATCAGAAGGTTTGCGGGTTGTCACCGTGTTTTTATCCATTGCTAATGCCAACATTCCGTAAACATTACCGTTCACTTCATCAGGGCGAGAGATGCATTGATACTCTGTATAAAGGTTCTGTGTTCAGAATGAAAATTTTTCGTCTGAACAAGGATGTCCACGAATAATGTGATGTCACACACTTGGACGTTTTCATTCTGAACGAACAAGACGAACCTTGGAACAAACAGTTTTATTGTAAACCGTAACGCAAGTGGCCAAATTTACAAATTTGTCTTTAAATAACGATTACAAGTACAATTACAATTTTCCATTATATAATTATTATTATTGTTATTATTATTATTATTATTATTATTATTATTATGGATGTACAAATAAGTTTTAAAGCTTTTTTTGTATAATATAACGTTAAGTTTAATAATTTAAATTCAGAATTCAAATATTTTCGCGCTCTTTTGATATGTAGCAGCGCTTAACGTGTACTATTAAAAAAAACAATTGATTTAAACTCAAAATTAAATGGTTTTAAAATAGCGAGCGACAAGCAATTTATTCGACACTGCATTTAATACGAATTTCATCCAGAAAAAAGCGCTGCTAAAGCATATGAATCAATTTGTTCTGAAACAATGTTGTATCCAAAAGTACGTATAAGTTTTGATTTAGGAGATTTAAAGAGGATGATTTTGATGTTAGCGATAGAAAACGTAGTGGCGCTTCTTAGAAGGTTACAGACAATCAATTGCAAGCATTACTCGATGAAAACTTATGTCAAACAATAAAAGAACTTACACAGCAACTTCGAGTAACTCAACAAGATATTTCAATTCGTTTACGGCAGATGGGAAAGATTCTGAAGGAAGGAAAGTGGATGCCGCATGCATTAAGTGCAAAAAATAAAAATGATCGTCTTGAGAAGTGTTTAAATCTGTACAATAAACAGCATAGAAAATCTTTCTTGTGGAAAATCGTGACTTGTGATGAAAAGTGGATTTTTTATGATAACCCTAAAAAGAGAAAACATTATGTGGATCCAGAACCGACTACATTAACTCACTACATTAACGCCAAAACGCAACATCCACAGCAGCAAAGTTATGTTATGCATGTGGTGGGTGGGACATGAAGGGTGTGCTATATTATGAACTGCTCCATCCAAATGAAACGGTTAACAGTGATCGGTACAGTCAATAACCGTTTAAATCAAGAAATCAAACGGAATCGTCCATTTACTGGCAAAGGAAAACGTGAAATTGCTTCATGACAACGCTAGGCCTCATGTTTGTAAACCTGTAAAGAAAACGTTGCTAGCGCTTGGTTGGGAAATTCTACCGCACCCGGCGTATAGCCCAGACATAGCCCCTTCAGACTATCATTTATTCCGGTCAATGCAAAACGCCTTATTCGGTGTACACTTTCGAGTATTTGAAGAAGTGCGAAAATGGGTGGATAATTTTATCTCATCGAAAGGCGAAACCTTCTTCGCTTCTGGAATTCGCAAGCTGCCCGAAAGATGGCTAAAGATTATAAATAATGACGGAGATTATTTTGATAATTAAATGTGTTTTGTTTCTAAATAAATAAATAATAAATTTCATTTAAAATGCTTTAAAACTCTTATTTGTACACTAATATTTTTATTATATTATTACAATTCTCCATTATAACAATTACAATTACAATTCTCCATACTTTACAACTAAAAATTAATAACATAAAATAAATTGATAGAATTATGTTGCTTCTAATTTGATTAATTCTCTATTTTGAGTAATTATCTTTTATAAAATTCATGCATGTATTTATTACTGTCTATTTTATACTAATATATTGTAGAATAAATAATATATGTAGAATAAATAATGTAAATTAAAAAAGTATATATAATCACTTTAAAAGTTCAAACTATTATTCTCTCTCCAGACACATACTTTCTCGACTTTGCCTGCTTATCAGGAGACACGGCAGTGTCTCGGCACTAAAACATGGCGCGAGACATAATAATAATCTAAAATCATCTGGTTTTCTTATAGATTGCATAGGCATAGATAGGTTTGTGAATTTGGCACTCGACTTCTAAAAATTAAAATTCTTTTACACCAAATGATAGTATTTTGTTTGTAGTTGTTTGTAGTAATAATTTCGTTTGTAGTTACGTGTACTAAAAAAATATAAAGGTTTCATTCTGGAAGCACCTCAGTATCAGTGCACCCGTCGCCCTGATGAAGTGACTGGCAAGGTTCACGAAACGAATAAGGAATGGATAAAAACCCTATGATAATCCGTAAATCTTCTGATATAAATGAAAAAAGGATATTTACAAAAGTAAAAATGAAAATCTTTTTTTTTTAAATTTTTATACAGATATATAGAAATATATTTAGATAAAAATTAATATATTTAGCTCCTGTTAACTATATTCAAAGATATCCTACGGAAAGCAAAAGAAAAAAATAATTTATATCTCAAATGATGCGTGTGTGCGTGTATGTGCGTGTGTACATATATATAAAAAATACATTAAAGAGTTTTGCAGATTTTCGGTCAACATTGATAATATTTTACGCGAAATAGGTTTGGTTGAAGTAGTGGGAGCAACGTTGGTTATATGCTCGCTGGAATATTATTGCATCACGGTAATACGTAAACAACATTTAACTTAAGAAAAATAGCGTAAAAATCCAAATAAATCATATATTATTATGCATTCTACATATATTCAACTGCATATATTATATGTTTAACTTACATTCGCGTATATTTAGTTCGGTAATGTGAGTGACCTGGGACAGTACAGGTAATTTGGAGAATACGTACTTTTGTCAAATCCAATTGTGATATCCACCTATCTAGTAATCAAAGAAAGTTTAAATTAAAAATTTTTTTAATAACACTCATAGATGGATGTCACGACTGAATTTAAAATACATGCTGTCCCAATTTACTTGCACTATTTCAAGTCATCTACATTTGCGGTTCTTATCATTACATAAAACTATTTAACGTTTTTATGTATAAATATTTAAAATATTTTTAATGTTTAAATATATATATATATCACATCCCGTTTCTCAAAAAAATAAAATATAAAAAGTAAAAATATATGTTTTTAATTCAATAAAAATTTTACAAGTAAAATTAAATAATTTAATATTATCTTATCTTCGCAGGAATGGAATAACAACGATAGCATAGCCATTTTGACATATCTCTTTCTGTTAATATCTTTTGTCTTCAACGTTTTCATGCTTTGTTACATTGGTGAACAGTTAACGAGTCAGGTGTTTATACTTACATTTTCAATAATAAAATAAATTATATTAGATTTAAAATATTTGGATATTGAAACACATATAAAAATTTGTGTAACGTACGTACATGAATAATGTACATATATATAATAAACATATATTAAAAATAAATTCATTAAATATATAATAATATATGTATACATATACATATATACATATATTATATATATATGTATATATATAATATATACATATATTATTATATATATAATGTATATATATATTAAAAATAAATTCAGTGCAGTAAAATTGGATACACTTCGTACGAAATCGAGTGGTACCATTTACCAGGAAAAATTGCACTTGATCTCACGTTAATAATCAGCATATCACATCATCCGATAAAAATTACTGCAGGAAAAATGATTAATCTTTCGTTCTCATGTTTTTGCTCTGTAAGTACAATTTGTTATCACATTTTGACGGTTAAAAAACACAATAATAAAAATTTTTTACTCACATATATTTCATACATTAACAGGTCCTGAAAACTTCGATTGCATATCTAAACATACTCCGAACTTTCGTTTGATACATGCCAGAGGATTTTTTTTATTCTGTTCTATAACACTGAATAAAATAACATTCAGTCAACTTTATGTTGAAAGAAAAGAATAATTAAGTTAAATGAATGTTTCAAGATAATAATGTATACTTGCATGATATAACCAGTTACTTGCACATATTAATACATTAAATAAATAAATTTTATCCAAATCAAAATTTTATAATAATGTTTCACGCTTATCATTTAGAAACGCGGAATCAATTGCAACATGTCAATAAAAATATCGAAATAATTGCAATTTTTCATCAATTGTGAAGTTCACAAATATAATTTTGATTATATATATCTAAATGCATCTCAAGTTAAAAAACAAAATAGAAAAAAATTTAATTTTTTAATGATAACATCTACAAACCTGTTTTTCCAATGTATTATACTTTTTATTTCACATTAACAGTGAATCTATTTCGTGTTTTACTTCAATGTATTAATGAAATTGATGTTTGGATTGTTTCTGAAGCGAAACAATTGACGATCACTCATATATTACATATATTTTCAATATTCCTAAAGAAATAATAGTACGAAAGAGAACGTAAGTTGAAATGATATTTCTTTAACGAATAATCGATGTAAATCAGCATTCAACATGAAAAAAATAAGAATGATTAATATAGTATATTTCTACCAGTTTGTACCTTTTATTTGTACCTCAAGGGATAAGAAAATATCGGAGAAAAAAGTCTATACAGAACCATAATATAATATTTTCAAATTTCATTTAAAAAATATTTGACAAATGCTTGCTCATAACAATGTAGATTTTCGGCTGGTACCTAATATATAATATTTTGCACGAGTTATGTCTCGAAATAGTGGAAACGACGTTGATAATGTAGTTAGTAGAATATTCCTTGATAACGGTAATAAAATATTTCAAGTAAACATTTCAAGTAACAATTACATGTATAGTAGTTCATATTATTTAGTTAATAATCGTCACTTTTTCCTATTCATTTCATTTGTCTCCAACAGCTTTGTGTTTAGTTACATTTCCAAATTATTAACAAAGCGAGTGCTAATACATTGATTTCATATATCAAACTAAATTAATTATCATAATTTCATGGAATTATATTTCAGCTAATTGTGTATGTATTTGAATAACATAACTGATATATGTGCGTAATTCCCAAATATACAAAATTGAATACACAATGCGGCAAAGTGAAGTATATTACTTATAAAATTCAATGTAGTTTATCGAGAAATGACGCTATTAAATTAATTCTCATTAATATGTGGACATCCAGTACAAATTACTGCTGGAAGATCATTAAGTCTATTTTTTGCAAATTTTGGAAATGTAAGTATTCATTTTCATGTTCGCGAAAAAGAAACATTAAATTCGAAGGAATGGAAATGATTAAATGTAAATAAATTTACAATGTTAAGCAAGTAGATTTTAATACGTAATAGTTCATGCACTATATTTTGTAGAGGTTTTAAAAACACTGGTTGCCTGTGAAATATACTTCGAACTGCCATTCGATAAAAATATTGTACATGAAGTGACCTTCATTCATTTTGTACAAAGAAAAACAATATTTAACCAATATTTTTACATATGTGAATAGCATATTATATATCGACTTTGAATGAAATAACAGTTTTACTTGCATCTACAATAGTTATAGAGTTGTGTTCCAGTTTTATCAATAGTTCTATCAAATTACATTCAAAAACAACGTTTTAAAAAATACGGTGCTAACTTCCCAGAATCTTACTGGATTTCAAACGTATAAAGCGTAAAGTACAAAAATCCAAAGATTTCTATCTTTAAAACTGAATCCATCAATAGTTCTAGCTATAAAGTCGAAGAAATTGCCCAAAAATTGTACATATGAATGCGTACAGGTGATATGCTGGCAGATTCCTAAGAATTCAGACTGTTTCATAAAAATTCTGATATGTATTTTCTATATATTTCTGGCAATGAACATTGATGGAAATTTTTTAAACAATTTTTATCGCTCGAAAATTGCATATATCAATACATGCAAGTGATACGTTGGCGATTTCTGAATGTTTTATCGCAGATCTAGTGTATTTCTGACCTCATTTAAGCGTTTACTAAAGAGTTCTAGCGATATAAATTATTAGGAATTTTTAATAATTTTTATCACAAGGAAAAGGCGACTTTCTCGGCTGATAAAAATTGTTTAAAAACTTAACAAATAATCTACCATATATCATCGGAACTCTTCAGAAATCGTTCGGATAATTTCATAGATACACGGGAAGTATCACAAAGTTCACAAGACTGTAAGAAATCGACTATCATCTCACACATATTCTCTGAAAATCGCCTTTTTCGGGTGTGATAAAAATTATTTAAAAAATTCCTAGCAATGTAAATCGTTAGAACTCTTTAGAAAAGGTTTAAATTGGGTCAGAACTATACTAGACCTGTGATGAAACTGCACTAAAACTAGTACAAAACAGAGAGAACTCTTAGAAATCTGCCAGCATATCACTGTACGTGTCCATATGTACAGTTTTCGAATAACTTTTGTTTTATAGCCAGAACTATTGATATATTGAGTTTTAACAATAGAACTCTTTGAATGCTTGTAATTTACACTTTATACGTTCGAAATCCAGTGAGAGGATGGATGATAAGACGGGAAGTTAATATCACATTCTTTAAAACGTTTTTGGACGTAATTTGATAGAACTATACATAAAACTGGAATAAAACTGTAGAACTATTGTGGATGCGAGCAGAACTGTTATTATTTCATTCGATGACTATATATGATATGCTAGCTTCATAGATATAATAATATTAACATAAACATACATATTAAAGAAATTATTTAATGCAAAAATGATATTTGTGAGAAACTAATGTTGATCTTAAAATTCACAAGAAATGTATATTTCTTATACATAAATTATAAATATTTTCTCTCTGCTGTTCAACAAATAAGACAAGGTAAAATATATACATACATACTTCTTGTAGGTATATACAAAACAATATCTTTAAAAATTTGTATATTATTAAAAGAGATATAAAATACTGTACTGATTTTAAAATACTTTTTCAGATTAACTTTTATAACTTTTCTGATTTCATAAATAATTCTATTTTAAACTTCAAGTTACACGATTCACTAAAAAAAGATTTAATTAATCACATACAACAGTAAAATACGCGGAAATAACATAATCAGTTTTATATTCAATACAAAACTTTTCGTGCAGGTAGAAATACAACTGTGACAAAGCAATATTCCTCTCGACGAAATTGATTGTTCAAGCGCACGCAATCTACTTTTCCCCTTTCCTATCCTTACTAGGAAAGCACCTGTAATTGTCATGCGCAACTTTTTATCATCACGCTATCGACAAAGCACACCAGTCGCCTTCGGGCCATCGTGACGATAGTATGGCAAAACTTAATATCCCCTGGCCGAATGTGAACAGTGAGAGAGACATAATCAATGCGTTAGTGTGGAATCGATGGATACTACGAATTCTAGGAATCTGGCCGCTAGTATATTCAAATACTTCAATAATCGAAAAGATCTTAGCAACAATATCATTCGCGTTATGTTGGTCCGCGCTCAGTTTCCTTTTGATTCCCATGACCATCTTTACGCTTTCGAAACACAGTTCCATAAATGACAAAATTAAAATGCTAGGTCCGTTAAGTTGCGTATTCGTCGTGACATTAAAATATTTCTTCCTGGTGATTCATCATAAGAGCATCCAGCAATGCATTCGCATTTTGAGTACTGATTGGCGTACAGTCCAGCAAGAGAATCATCGAAAAATTATGATTAAAAACGCATCAAGAAGCCATTTATTATCCAAGTTTAGTGTAATATTCATGTATTGCGGGGGCTTGTGGTTTCACATTGCGATGCCATTTTTGTCGCATACTATCAACGAGCAGAATGTCACTATCAAACCAATGCCTTTTGCTGGCTTCGATAACATTTTCAATTTCCATTTTATGCCTGTTTATGTGTTTGTCTTATGCGCGCAATGGTTCTCCGGTATCGTACTGTTCAACGTCACTACAGCAGTATGTTGCTTGGCAGCCATGTTCGTAGCTCACGCTTGCGGTCAAATCGAGATCTTAATAGATCGCGTAGAAAACTTTATAAAAGGTGCACAACGCAATCATATGAAGCAATATATGGCAATTATTGTAAAACATCATGTGCAGTCATTGAGGTGAGTCTCGTTGCATATAAGTAGTTACGGAAAGAATCTGGATCAAATGTACCCGCTGTATTATTTAAATTAAAAATTTATACAAATACAACATACAAATAAAGAATAGAATAACGCATTTGAAGCTTTCACATTATCTTCAATTATACCAGAAGGTTTGCGAGTTTTCACCATGTTTTTATCCATTGCTAATGCCCACGTTTCGTAAACCTTGCAGTTTACTTCATCAGGGCGAGGAATGCACCGACACTCTGCACCACTCACTCTGATGAAGTGAACGGCAAGGTTTACGAAACGTGGACATTAGCAATGGATAAAAACACGATGACAACCGGCACGCAAACCTTTCTGATATAGTTGAAACAAGGATATTTATAAAAGTAAAAATGGAAATCATTTAAATTCTTATACAGATATATAGAAAGATTTATATAGATAAAAATTAATACATTTAGCTCCTATTAACTATATTTAATAATATCCTACGGAAAATAAAAAAAATAATTTATATATAATGACGTATGTGTGTGTGTTGTGTATGTGTGTGTACATATATATATAAGATCTATATTAAAGAGTTTTGCAGATTTTCGGTCAACATTGATAATATTTTACGCGAAATAGGTTTGATTGAAATAGTGGGAGCAACGTTAATTATATGCTTGCTGGAATATTATTGCATCACGGTAATACGTAAACAATACTTAATTTTAAAAAAATGGTGTGAATAACCAAATATATTATATATTATTATTCTACATATTACATACAGAATAGTCTACACATATTCAACTGTATATATTATATGTTCAACTTGCATTCGCGTATATTTAGATCGGTAATGTGAGAGTGACTTGGGACAGTGCAGATAACTTAGAGAGCATATACTTTTGTTAAATCCAATCATGATATCCACCTATCTACAATCTAAAGAAAATTTAAATAAAAAATTTTTTTAATAACTAATACATGGATGTCACGACTAACAGAAATACGTGCTATCTAAATTTACATGCACTATCTGAAGTCATCTACATTTGCGGTTCTTATCATTACACATAAATATTTAACGTTTTTTTTTGTATAAGTATTTAAAATATTTTTGATGTTTTAATAAACACATCCCGTTTTTTAAAAAAATAAAATATATGATGTATAAACATGTTTTTAATTTAATAAAAATTTTACAAGTAAAATTAAATGATTAAATATTATTTTATTCTCGCAGGAATGGAATAACAACGATAGCATAGCCATTTTGACATATTTTTTTCTGTTGGTATCGTTTGTCTTCAACGTTTTCATGCTTTGCTACATTGGTGAACAGTTAACGAGTCAGGTGTTTATACTTAGATTTTCAATAGCAAAAAAAATAAATTATATTAAATTTAAAATACTTGTGCATATTGCTATGTATAAAAATTTGTGTAACGTACATACATGAATAATGTACATATATTTATAAATTAAAAATACATATACATTGTATATATACAATATATATATAATATATATAATAATATACATATATATATAAATTAAATATAAATTTAGTGCAGTAAAATTGGATATACTTCGTACAAAATCGAGTGGTATCATTTACCAGGAAAAATTGCACTCGATCTTACGTTAATAATCAGCATATCCCACCATCCTGTAAAAATTAGTGCAGGAAAAATAGTTAGTCTTTCGTTCTCGAGTTTTGGCTCCGTAAGTACAATTCATTATCACTTTGAAAACATGAAAGGTATAATACTAAAAAGATTTAAAAAATCATATATTTATTACATTAACAGGTTCTGAAAACTTCAATTGCGTATCTAAACTTGCTCCGAAAATTCGTTTAATTTATACGAGACAATCGTTTTAATTTTGTCCCTGCCAGAAATAATTAGTCAAATTAATATTGATCGATAGCATTGGACTATCCACATCGATTCGACCAACCATTTTTTGCTTAGACATACAAAACAAGATTCAATAAAATCCATTTATTAAAAAAAAAGATTTATGAATAATTGTGAATAATTTACAAATACGCTAAATGAATATATGTTCCAAGATAATATTGTACAATTATTTGATAAAATCTATTAAAAGCACGTATTAGAACATGTAATAACAAATTTATCCCAATCAAAATTTTACATATTAGAAATAGAAATGTTTTGTTTATTATTTAGCTGAATTACATCAATTGTAATATATCGTTCAAAATACAATTCACATATTTACGATAATAATTTTTACTTAATAATGTTTTCCATCAATTATGAGAATGTTTGATACAAATACGATCTTTATATTATATTTCTAAATGCATCTAAAAAATATAAAATTTTTTATAACTTCTACATACCTATTTCCAACGCCCTTTTTTATTTTATAATAATTAATCTTTATTTCGTACTTCAATCTCGCATTTTCAATATCCAAAGAAATAATGTACAACCAAGAGAAACTTATTTTGAAATCGCTTAGCCGCAAGAAGCAATATGTTTTTATGGCGATGCTAACGTTCCGAATAAAAACGTTTCATGTCCAACGACCTTGCAATCAATGCCGCGCGCTGTCTACCTCGTGCAGTCTTTAACAGCCGTTGTGACCGCCAATATGCCAAGCACATGTAATGAGAAGGATCCAAACTATGTACAAAATATTTAATATATCTTCAAGTTAAACAATTGGATTCTGGGATCGATTGGTATTTGGCTCGATTGGAGGATAGGACGGCACGCGTCCAAAATCGCGATCACGCTCGGTAATTTCGCGTTAAGTTTCGCCATAGTACCTTGTGCCTTGCACATCGATGATCCTTATGTATAATCCGATAATTACATATACAATTACAAAGGAATAATTGTATAATATCAGATATAATCGTTTATTTTACTAAATAACTTTATATGTATAGTGAAGAAAATTATTTTTCATCAGATGAAATCGTATGAAATCAAATAAAACCATGTAATCTGTAGGATAATATTTCAGCTAGTGGTTACCCCCTTGGTTGTCACTTTCTTGGAAATTAATTAAAGAGACAAACTCTTATGTGGATGTAAGGATGCTAGATCCCGAACCACCGGGGATGGATCCCAAGTAAACTCGTAGCGCGGACGCTGGGGTTTTAGGCATGCTACCTCTTTAAAGAATCATTTAACCATAGGATGTGATCCCATTTTCTCTGCAAATAGAAGAGAAATCGCCGCGCGATCTGTGTTCAAGGACGAATACGAGCCCGTCGGGAGAGGTGCAGATAGAAATTCGAGCACTGAAGATACTGGCGGAGAAAAACAGCAGATCCGCCTTTTTCATACAGAAGGACCACCATAACCTGAGGGGCTTGGTATAATGTGCGATTGTGCTTTCCGACAGAGATGCCAGAGTCGCGTCCAACGCCGAAGTCGGTGTACCTCTCAGCACGAGGACTTGGCGGATAATTTCGCGGCCATCAGGGAAATTCTGCTGCATACCGGGTGAATTTTTCTGAAAGGAGATGACAGCAAGTTAACCTCTGGGTTAATTGGCTAATAACAAGGCGCTTAAATAAAGGAAGTTATGGTTGAATCGTCCACCAGGAAACGACTAAGACCCCTTCAGCTCTATCTGAGCTAATTTTCCGAAGGACTCTGGAAATTAATATAAGAAGAGGTAACGCGTAAAAGCAGAGCCCGCTCCAATCTATTGAAAATGCGTCAATCGTGCAAGCCCAGGGATCTGGAAGCTATGAGACGAATCTAGAACATTTAGCGTTAATCGATGAAGCGAACAAATCAATATCAAATCTACCAAACCTCAATTTTGTCAAAATAGGCATGCCCAATGGACTACTCTGTTTCCTTCGAGACTATTCAGGATTCAGCGTCTGCCTCGAAGTTCTGGGCCGAAGGAAAGTATGAAGCATAAGCAAAGATATCACGCCTTGTACACCATTCTCAGATTTTTCGCGCAAGACTTAAAAGATGCGGGTATTTAATTGAACCTATGCGGTTAACATAGGAGAGTGCTGTAGAGTTGTCTACTCTCAACAAAATGTCGCATCCTCATATTTGGAGTGCAAACGATCTCAAAGCGTGAAATACAGCCAGAAATTCTACAAAATTGATATGATTTAATTTATCTTCCATTGACCAAAAGCCCTGGGTTCGTGCTTCGCCGCAAACCGCGCTCCATCTTGTTAAAGATGTGTCGGTGACAATTTCGAGGGCGAACTGAGCTGATCTGATGACATTTAACCAGGGAATGGAAGCAACTCGTTACCCGCAACGAAGTTACAGCCACAAGCTACTTCTTTGGTAATCCTGCTGGTAATTGCGTTACTTCTTTCTTTTTTTTTTTTTAACTATAACGGCAACCTAGTTACATTTTTTGGATAATGTGGTAACGAAATTTACAGTAATTCCTATACATTGCAAAAGTATATTTTCGGATTTTTAAAAAGTAACGGAAAAGTAATGAAAAGTTACCTTTCGAGTAAAGGTAACTGTACCGAGTTACTTCAAAAATGTGATAACTAGAAACGGAAACTAGCTACTCTTTTTTTTGGTAACTTTTCATTCCCTGCTTAACTGAATGGGATTCGCTAGCATATCCTTCCACCACAGAAGATCCTCCCTGTTCGAAAAGAGAAAAGCCATTCGAGAATCGAGATCCCCGTTTGTCAAAGAAAGCGTTAAAAATTTCACTCTCTTTAGAATCTTAGTATGGAAAATACTGTATTGCACGGCTGAACAACTTGAAAATAAGGAGCCGATGTAATTCGCGAAGAGCCGGATCTTGCATGATTGTCTCTGTAACATAGCCAAAGTTTTTTTGGAGAAGTTTATCTCTCTTATCACAAGGGATTGATAACGAAAAGTAATCTGTATTAAAAATTAAACCTAAAAAAACGACAGGATCTCATCGCATTCAGCACACATTTGTGTATATAATAAGAACTCCTAGAGATGATAATAGACTTAAAGTCGCGTTGACATTCTCCAAACATGCTTTACGTGAGCTTCCGATGAGCAGGAAGTCATCTAGGTAAGCCACTGACAAAAAACCTCTACTTCTAAAAGGAAATAGCACAGGCTTCAAAAGCTTCGTGAAGATGTGCGGAATTGATGCGAGCCCGAACAGCAGAGCTCGAAATTGGTAAAGATGGCTCGGAAATCTAAACCATAATCTGCTACGGGTTCAATCGCTCCTTTGTTATGTAATCTAGCAATTTCTGCAGAACAGATGTCTTCTTCGGATTCCGTCAGGCGAAATAAAGGCTTCACATCACTGAAGTGGAGGCTGACTAATAAAAGGAAGTTTATATCCCGCGATAGCCTCTAAAATTATCGGATCCGATGTGATCTGTCACCATTGGGAGGAAATAAAACAATATACCAGCAACATATAACTGGCTAGGAGGAACTAACGTCACCTCGAATGAGATCTGGACCGGTGTGATGATTGGTGTTTGCTGTTCGACGCCGCTGCTTTCCTTACCACCGACCACGCTCTGGACTCAGGGTAATGAGCGTTTCCCGACTTGACACATGGCATCCGCGTTGGCAGGTTCGTCAAACTTTCCCGAAACCGTCAACGACGATCTGGCGATATCCTTAGAAGCCTTCTCCGAGAATGTGGTCTTTTTCAAAGATATATCATATCAAAGAAAAGGTCGTCCGGGATAGCATCTGCCACATTCATCGCTAAAAGGTTTAGCACCGGTTTGATCTGGGCTCTCCTTGACAAGGAGAGTCGATAAAATGAATCCGCTAACACCATTGCGCCGTCGTTGATCTTAGAGATAACAGCCCCGGCGTCCGAACCCAGCAAAAATTGCGTATCCAGACAAAGAAAGTCCGCGACTTTGCCAGAGAGGTTATGCCACTTGGAGATGACATGATCGTTCCAAAGTCGCAAATCCAGATTCTTGACATAAGAGCCAAAAAGTTGTCTCGTCAGAGCATCTGCATTCTCCTCGTCCGGTCCCATAACTACGGGGATATCCACCGCCGTTTCCGACTCAGACGGGAGCGAAAGAAGTGCTTCCTCCTCGCTGACCTCGCATCCGCAACGGTGAGGCAAAACGGCATAAATTGAAAAGGCTGCGACGACTAACCGCCTCTATTCCGCAAATACAGAACCGGTAAGCTGTACACACCTGAGACATGCGGATCTCCTGGCCCTTCCTATCTCGCAGGCGCTGCCAGTGAGTCCTCGTCCGGAGGGTCCTTGGACCGCTCCCGAGCGAGGGGTGTTTCCATCCTTCTGTGACCGAACCTCGGTCTGATGCCCGATTCAGGGCTCTCGCTCTTGATGTGAGAGAAGGCTGCCAAAACACGAGATAAGGGAGAACGAGACGCACTAACCTCTCTACGCGACAGCGTCTAATGCCTGTTTCCACCAATGCAGATTAACTTTAATCTCGGTTTAACTTACTGTTCATCTTTTTCTAATTTTTAGAATTAGAAAAAGATGAAGAGCAAATTGAACCGAGATTAAAAGTTAATCTGCATTGGTGGAAATGGGCATAAATCAGACGTGACATCTTTCTCTCCAAGGCTGAGAGACGATCCTCAGACGATGACCTCCTTCGCATCGTCGAACTATGCGAAGATCTTCCCATTGTGCGAGATAAAAAACACTCAAAACCGTGAAAATTTGTTGGGCGTAACTGTTGGGAGCGCGCAACAGGAAAACAATGATGGCTGCCACTCGCGCAGGCGCGAAAAACGGTGATGCACGGCGAGCTTTTTTGATTCTAAAGTTAAAATATCCTGTTACGAAATAATGCATCGGAATGCGACTACACATATCCATCCGGACGAGACTTGGCATAATTAATTTAGCTCAGAAATAATGTTACATATTCATTTCATTATACCTAATTTAATTGTTCATTTAAAAAATTATATAATTACATAACAGTTTTGCTTACATCCACAATAGTTATAGATTTGTATTCTAGTTTTATCAATAGTTCTATCAAATTACGCTCAGAAACAACGTTTTAAAAAATGCGGTGCTAACTTCCTAGTATCTTACTGAATTTCAAACATGTGAGACGTAATGTACAAGAATCCAAAGATTTCTATCTTTAAAACTGAATCCATCAATAGTTCTAGCTATAAAGTCGAAGAAATTGCCCAAAAATTGTACATATGGATGCGTACAGGTAATAAATAATTTTTATCACTCGTAAAAGGCGATTTTCAGGGAATATGTGTGAGATGATAGTCGATTTCTTACAGTCCTGTAAACTTTGTGACTTTTCTCGTGTATATGAAACTATCGGAACAATTTCTGAAGAGTTTCGATGATATAAATTATTTGTTAAGTTTTTAAACAATTTTTATCAGCCGAGAAAGTCGTCTTTTCCTTGTGATCAAAATTATTTAAAAAATTTCTAGTAATTTAAATCACTAGAACTCTTTAGTAAACGCTTAAATGAGGTCAGAAATACACTAGATCTGCGATAAAATATTCAGAAGTTACCAACATATTATATATTATCGTATCGATATATACAGTTTTCGATAAAAAATGTTTAAAAAATTTCCATCAATATTTATTGCCAGAAATATATAGAAAACACATAAGTGAAGTCAGAACTGTATCAGAATTTGTATGAATGAAACAGTCTGAATTCTTAGGAATCTGCCAGCATATCACCTGTATGTGTCCACATGTACAGTTTTCGGACAACTTCTTTTGTTTCATAGTCAGAACTATTGATATTATATTATATTGAGTTTCAACGATAGAACTCTTTGAATGCTTGTACTTTACACTACATACGTTTGCAATCCACATTTTTAAAAACGTTTTTGGACATAATTTCATAGAACTATAGATAAAACTAGAATAAAACTATAGAACTACTGTGGATGCGAGCAGAACTGTTATTATTTCATGCGATGCCTATATGTATATGCTAGCTTCATAAGTGTAATAATATTAAAATAAACATGCACATTAAAGAAATTATTTAATGCAAAAATGATATTTGTGAGAAATTAATGTTGATCTTAAAATTCACAAGATATGTACATTTCTTATACATAAATTACAAATATTTTCTCTCTGCTGTTCAACAAATAAGACAAGGTAAAATAAATATTTACATACTTCTTATAGGTATATACAAAACAATAACTTTAAAAATTTGTATATTATTAAAAGAAATATACAATTCTAAAAACTTTTTAAGATTAAGTTTATACATTTTTCTGATTTCATGAATAACTCCATTTTAAACTTCAAGTCACATGATTCACCAAAAAAAAATTTAATTAATCGCAACAGTAAAATACGCGTAAATGACACAATCAGTTTTATATTCTACAGAAAACATTTCGTGCAGGTAGAAATACAACAGTGACAAAACAATATTCCCCTTTCGCATCAAAGATACTTTGCACTATCATAGTTACATCTGTTCAAGATAACGGAAACAACATTCATAATATGCTTAGCAGAATATTTTTAGATAACAGTAATTAAACACATTTTATACTGCTTCCCGTTTTAATCAACAATATAACTTCTCTATTGAAAAATAAATATATTTTAAGATAATAGTATACATGTTATTATCTTGTATATTTTACATAAGATAATAACATGTACCAATTTTAAATCATATAACATTATTTAATTGAAGAAATTAATTAGCCACACATAAGTAGAAAACTACACGGAAATAGCGTAAACAATTTTACGTGCTACAGATAATCCCTCCGTGCAAGTAGTAATATAACTGTGACAAAGCAATATTCTTTCGACGAAATTGATTGTTCAAGCGCACGCAATCTACTTTTCCCCTTTCCTATCCTTACTATGTTGAAAGCACCTGTAATTGTCATGCGCAACTTTTTACCATCACGCTATCGACAAAGCACACCAGTCGCTTTCGGGCCATCGTGACGATAGTATGGCAAAACTTAATATCCCCTGGCCGAATGTGAATAGTGAGAGAGACATAATCAATGCGCTAGTGTGGAATCGATGGATACTACGAATGCTGGGAATTTGGCCGCTAGTATATTCAAATACTTCAATAATCGAAAAGATCTTAGCGACAATAACGTTCGCGTTATGTTGGTCCGCGCTTAGTTTCGTTTTGATTAACATGATCATCATTATGCTTTTGAAACACATTTCCATAAATAACAAAGTTAAAATGCTAGGTCCGTTCAGTTACGTATCCATCGTGACGTTGAAATATTTCTTCCTGGTGATTCATCATAAGAGCATCCAGCAATGCATTTGCAATTTGAGTACTGATTGGCGTACAGTCCAGCAAGAGAAACACCGAAAAATTATGATTAAAAACGTATCAAGAAGCCATTTATTATCCAAGTTCAGTGTAATATTCATGTATTGCGGAGGCTTGTGGTTTCACGTCGTAATGCCGTTTTTATCGCATTATACTATCAACGAGCACAATGTCACTATCAAACCAATGCCTTTTGCTGGCTTCGATAATATTTTCAACTTCCATTTTATGCCAGTTTATGTGTTTGTCTTATGCGCGCAATGGTGCTCCGGTATCGTACTGTTCAACGTCACTACAGCAGTATGTTGCTTAGCAGCTATGTTCGTAACTCACGTTTGTGGTCAAATCGAGATCGTAATGGATCGCGTAGAAAACATTATAAAAGATGCACAACACAATCATATGAAGCAATATATGGCAATTATTGTAAAACACCACGTGCAGACATTGAGGTAAGTCTCGTTGCATATAAGTAGTTACGGAAAGAATTATCTGGATCAAATATACCCGTTGTATTATTTAAATTAAAAATTTATACAAACACAACATACAAATAAAGAATAAAATAACGCATTTGAAGCTTTCACATTATCTCCAATTATACCAGAAAGTTTGCGGGTTGTCACCGTGTTTTACGAAACGTGGATATTAGCAATGGATAAAAACACGACAACAATCCGCAAACCTTCTGATATAATTGAAAAAAGGATATTTGTAAAAGTAAAAACGGAAATCTTTTAAATTTTTATACAGATATATAGAAAGATTTATATATAGAGAGATAAAAATTAATATTTAGCTCCTATTAACTATATTCAATAATATCCTACGGAAAATAAAAAAAAATAATTTATATTAAATGACGTATGTGTGTGTGTTGTGTATGTGTGTGTACATATATATATAAGATCTATATTAAAGAGTTTTGCAGATTTTCGGTCAACATTGATAATATTTTACGCGAAATAGGTTTGATTGAAATAGTGGGAGCAACGTTAATTATATGCTTGCTGGAATATTATTGCATCACGGTAATACGTAAACAATACTTAATTTTAAAAAAATGGTGTGAATAACCAAATATATTATATATTATTATTCTACATATTACATACAGAATAGTCTACACATATTCAACTGTATATATTATATGTTCAACTTGCATTCGCGTATATTTAGATCGGTAATGTGAGAGTGACTTGGGACAGTGCAGATAACTTAGAGAGCATATACTTTTGTTAAATCCAATCATGATATCCACCTATCTACAATCTAAAGAAAATTTAAATAAAAAATTTTTTTAATAACTAATACATGGATGTCACGACTAACAGAAATACGTGCTATCTAAATTTACATGCACTATCTGAAGTCATCTACATTTGCGGTTCTTATCATTACACATAAATATTTAACGTTTTTTTTTGTATAAGTATTTAAAATATTTTTGATGTTTTAATAAACACATCCCGTTTTTTAAAAAAATAAAATATATGATGTATAAACATGTTTTTAATTTAATAAAAATTTTACAAGTAAAATTAAATGATTAAATATTATTTTATTCTCGCAGGAATGGAATAACAACGATAGCATAGCCATTTTGACATATTTTTTTCTGTTGGTATCGTTTGTCTTCAACGTTTTCATGCTTTGCTACATTGGTGAACAGTTAACGAGTCAGGTGTTTATACTTAGATTTTCAATAGCAAAAAAAATAAATTATATTAAATTTAAAATACTTGTGCATATTGCTATGTATAAAAATTTGTGTAACGTACATACATGAATAATGTACATATATTTATAAATTAAAAATACGTATGTGTACACATATACATAATATAAATATAATATATATATATAAATTAAAAATAAATTTAGTGCAGTAAAATTGGATATACTTCGTACGAAATCGAGTGGTATCATTTACCAGGAAAAATTGCACTCGATCTTACGTCAATAATCAGCATGTCGCACCATCCTGTAAAAATTAGCGCAGGAAAAATAGTTAGTCTTTCATTCTCGAGTTTTGGCTCCGTAAGTACAATTCATTATCACTTTGAAAACATGAAACGTATAACATTAAAAAGATTTAAAAAATCATATATTTATTACATTAACAGGTTCTGAAAACTTCAATTGCGTATCTAAACTTGCTCCGAAAATTCGTTTAATTTATACGAGACAATTGTTTTAATTTTGTCCCTACCAGAAATAATTAGTTAAATTAATATTGATCGATAGCATTGGACTATCAACATCGATTCGAGCAAACATTTTTTGATTAGATTTTGTATTAACAAAATAAAATCTTTTTTTAAAAGAAAAGATTTATGAATAATTGTGAATAATTTATAATAATAAACTAGAAGAAGAAGCCTATAACGGTCGAAGCTAGATCAACGTGCTTATAATAATTGTAAAAGCTTATAATAATTGTAAGGTAGGCTCCCACTACATTACCTTACTGATGAGTCCAGTAGTGGAAGCCGGGACGAAACGCCAACTTGTTATATTCTTCGCAATCTTATTTTTCACGGAATTTGATTTATTATTAATTTAATTTACATTAAATTAATAATAAAAATCGTTAAATTTTAATATATGTCTTTCAACATAGTATTAAGATCTATAAGATGCTATGGCATCAAATTTGTTAAATTGCTTGTTAATTTAACTTAGTGATATTACTGCGGTAGTGAATATGTATGCGTCAATGCTGAAAATCTATCAGCGTCGCGGGGGGGACTACATACGCAGTATATAAAATTTCACACAATTATTATAAGCACGTTGATCTAGCTTCGACCGTTATAGGCTTCTTCTTCTAGTTTATTATTGTTTATCAATTACGGTCATAGAAATATTTAATATAATAATTTATAAATACATTAAATGAATATATGGGATGTTCCAAGATAATATTGTACAATTATTTGATAAAATCTTTTGAAAGCATGTATCAGAACATGTAATAACAAATTTGTCCCAATCAAAATTTTACATATTAGAAATATTATAGAAATGTTTTGCTTATTATTTACCTGAATTACATCAATTGTAATATAAAAAATTATTATCGTAAATATATGAATTGCATTCAAAATGCAATTCACATATTTACAATAATAATTTTTACTTGATAATGTTTTTCCATCAATTACGAGAATGTTTGATGCAAATACGATCTTTATATTGTTTTTCTAAATGCATCTAAAAAATATAAAATTTTTTATAACTTCTACATACCCCTATTTCCAACGCCCTTTTTTTATTGTATATTAATTAATATTCATTTCGTACTTCAATCTCGCATTTTCATTATCCAAAGAAATAATGTACAAAATCAAGAGAAACTTATTTTGATATCGTTTAGCCGCAAGAAGTAATGTGTTTTTATGGCGATGCTAACGTTCCGAATAAAAACGTTTCATACATTGCTAAAATCGCGCACAGACTATACGCAGTAGTCTATACGCAGAGAAAAGGATGTCTGCAATTCGAGCGTAAGCGCATGTCCAACGACCTTGCAATCAATGCCGCGCGCTGTCCACCTCGTGCAGTCTTTAACAGCCGTTGTGACCGCAAACATGCCAAGCACATGTAATGAGAAGGATCGGAACTATCTGCAAGATATTCAATATATCTTCAAGTTAAACAATTGGATTCTGGGCTCTATTGGCATTTGGCCAGTCTCGATTCGAGGCATAGGACGGCACGCGTCCAAAATCGCGATCATGCTCGGTAATCTCGCGTTAAGTTTCGCCATGGTACCTTGTGCCTTGCACATCGTATACGATGAGAAAGACATCATCATGAGATTGAAGCTATGCGGCCTGCTAGCATTCTGCCTCACCGCGATGACAAAATATTGTATCCTCATGATACGTCGTCCTAAGATACTCCATTGCATCGAATACGTAAAGAATGATTGGTGGCAGGTCGGTTATTAGTACTTAATAAATGCTAAATATCACAAAGTACCGAGAATGATTTGAATAAAAAAAAGTATGAATTAGTGATCTTAGTTCTAAAATTTGCTCTTTTAATATATGCAATTTGTATATCTATTTAAAAAATGTATTTTGCCCACACCGAAATAAATACGCGGTTTAATTACATTTTTTCTGTCTACATTGTAGTTATAACTTTGCTTTAAAGATAAAAAAAAAAGCACTGGCTAGATAATTAAATTAGTATAATAAATAGTGATCTCTTATTTATTTAGGTAAATAAAAATTAGTGTCAATAATGTGACAGGTAACATTCAGGTCCGACCGGGAATTGATGCTGAAATACGCAACCCTCGGTCGCAATCTAACAATAATCGGTGCATCATTCATGTATACTGCCGGCATTATTTATTATGGGATTCTGATTCCATTCTTTTCCGAAACCAAAATCAACAATCAAACCATCAGACCACTCGTTTATCCGACTTACAGTGAATTTTACCAATCTCAAATTAGTCCTATATACGAAATTGTGTATGTGGCTCATTGTATGTGCGGATATACTATATACTCGATAACAGCTGGTGCGTGCGGATTGGCTGCTTTGTTTGTCACTCATGTGTGTGGTCAAATCCAAGTGATCATGTCGCGATTGGAAAATCTCTTAAATGGCGAAAACCCAAACATTCATCAACGAATCGCTAACATCGTGAAGGATCACGTTCGCTTAGTAAGGTAATATTTCAGAATGTTAGCTTCTTCCTGACAATGAGAGAAAAATATTTGATATTTATAACTATAATAACATATTATTATAATTATAATTATTATAATATTAGTAATATTATAATATTGGTAATAACAACTATATATATAGTTCTAACAGTAAATGTACATATAGTTGGCAACCTAAAATATGACTATAATAACTTTAATTGTAGTCATTTTAGGTTACTAACTATTTAACATTTATTGTTAGAACTATAAATATGGTTATTATTACTAATATTGTAGCATTAATAATTATAATTATAGTAATTTATAATTATACTTACAAATATTAAACATTTTTTCTTTCAGTGCTTCAGTAATATAAAGAAATTAAAAATATAACAAAAAATTTTTAATAATTTGCAGTTTATATTGTAACTGTATAAGAATGTTTAATAATACACAAGTTATTAACAAATTAAGACTTTCTTGTATAATGTCAACTTGATTAGCATAATTAATTAACTCAGAAATAATGTTACATATTCATTTCATTATACCTAATTTAATTGTTTATTTTAAAAAATTCATATGATTACATAATATTGCATAATTTTGTTCATACGACTTGTTCAACTATTTTCATTTCATTTTATAAAAGATGTAATAGAGAATGCAACAGGTGGTCTCAACGAACATCTAATACATTTCAGTAAATAGTACCGTTATAATAGATTATAAGCATACGTTGTTGTATATCAGCCTACATTTATACATACTATGTATAATACTTATACTGCACTGCAATTAAGTACACAGTTATATTTGAATAGAAATGTTTGGAGTAATACATTCGAGTTTTCTCGTACAAGTTAAAACTTATTCCAGGTTTTCAACCGTAGTAGACGAAATTTTACAAGAAGTATGTTTAGTGGAGTTTACTAGTTCTGTATGCACAATATGTCTACTTGAATACTACTGTATAGTGGTGCGCTAATATGTACTATATATTAAATTTAAAACAACAGATAAAAGATGACTAGAGTAGCACGAGAAAATTATATATTTACTATTTACAATTTAATAGGACTGGCAAGACGACAATAAACTTAGCTTAGCAACATATTTCTTGCTCTTCATTTCATTTTGCTTTAATATATACATATTGTGTTATATTGGCGAGCTTCTCATGGAAAAGGTATGGCTATGTATTTCAGATTTTAAAATTAATCACTAATGTTAAATGATCGTATACGGCCGATGTTGCAGAGCATTGAAATCGGATCAATGTGCTATATGATCAATTGGTATCAATTATCGCCAAGATCTGTTCGCAATCTTATATTGATAATCGCTATGTCCAGCCATCCTATAAAACTTAGTGCTGGTAGAATGGCAGATCTGTCATTAACGACTTTTGGACATGTGAGGCATAACATATACATCACTTCTAGCTTGTTACGTTCTATTTCTCCTTCAGTTTTAAAGCTAAATTCGCACTCATTAGAGAAAAAAAACATTTTTTAATAAGCAATTATATTAACAGCTATATAAGTTTTATATGTAGAATCAACATATATAGTTAAACATATGTGATAAATTATGTACAGTAATAAATAATTTTATACACTGTTAAAAATTTCATGAAATTTAATATACTTTTCAGTTACACAATTTGAATTCAATTTCATGACATTACATTAAATTTAATGTATTTATAACAGAAAAACATATAATATTTGCATACATGTACATAAAATTTAATGTATTTGTCATAAAATTTTATGAAATTTGATATACTTTTCATAAAATTTTATGAAATTTAATGCACACGCTTGTTACATTTAAGCAGCTACTGTTACTTAATTTTCAGTTAAATCATTCATTACTTTTAATTTCGTTCATAACCGCGAGCTTTATTTACACATATGTAAAGGAAGCATTTCTAACAGTGATATTGCAGATAAAGCTAGATGAGATTATAAGAATTTATTTTAGTTCTCACATATTTAACTTTTGTTGCAATAATTATAAAATAGTTTATTCAATTACGTATATACTAATTATATATATAAAACTTGTATATTTGTCACTCATATAGTTATCACTATTATTTTTTTCTAACGATGAGTACAACAAATCTACCGAAAAAAAATCAATACCTTAAGAATTATTTAATGATACTCTTGCATATCAAATCTAGCAATGATTTTATTCTTTACAATTGTAAATTACAGCTGAAAAAATATTATTTTAATATATTTTTTTAGGTACTGAAAACGAGCGTGGCATATCTGAGCTTCCTACGGACATTAGTAATGTAAATATAATGATTGCAATTATATAAAAAATATTAAGAAACGTATTACATTTCATCTAGTTAATCTGTACAATGTAGAGAATCTTAACATATATATAATAATATTATTTAGAATAATACTATATATCAATATCAGTAATATTTACAAAGTCACATTCTTTCGATGTTAACCATATTGTTGAGCCATCCGCGCACAAATAATTTATAATCTCATTTTCTATTCTTTTAATCCATGCTAACAGTTTAAGTTTAACTAAATAAAAAAAAATTAAATAAAGCAGAAAATGTTAAACTATGAACGAATGTCTCAATTTTATCAAACCTGATTCCTCAAATAATGAATTAAGATCGATTAGAAAAATTTAAACAGAACGACAAACTTGCTTCTTTGATTTGGAATTAACATCATTTTAAATGTAAAATACGCTTTGTACGATCACTTCCCGATTAATAGTGTGTACACGAACTGTCAGATTTATTGACTATCAGCTAGCATTGCAAAAAAATGTCTGTAATGTCAGCGCAAGCGCACATCTCGGAACCTTGTAATCAATGCCGCGCATCCATCTAGTCTACTCTTCTTGCAGTCTTTAACAGAATCTGTCACCGCGAACATGTCTAGTACACGCGATAAGTCCGCGAAGTCACGTAACTCTAATTATCAGCAAGATATTCGATATGTTTTCAAGTTAAATAACTGGATTATGGGGTCGCTTGGTATTTGGCCAATCGCGATACGAGGCATTGGAAAACACATGTCAAAGATTGCAATCGCTATTTTTAATTTCGCTTTGAGCTTCGCGATAGTACCTTGCGCTTTGCACATCATTTATGATCAAAAGGATATCATCGTAAGGCTGCAGCTAAGCGGTTTGATAGCCTTCTGTCTCACTGCAATGACAAAATACTTCATCTTCGTGATACGTCGGCCTAAGATACATCGCTGCATCGAATACGTGAAGAACGATTGGTGGCAGGTCGGTGTTGCTAGTAACTGACATATGATATCGTGTTAATGTGGAATTCGTTACAAGGTACTGAAAAAATTATTTGAGTAAAAAAAAATAGAAACACTTGAATAAATAAGTGATCTTGATTTGAAATTAATTCAATCTTATAATTACTAATGTACTACCATTAAAAGTACATATACATTTGTGCATTAGAACATAATAATATATTTATGTATAAATATATTTAATATAAATCAAAATGTACGATTAATTAATCTTTTCTCCGCGCTGCACAGCTAAAATTTTAATTTAAAAAAAAATTAAATTGCAAAATTGGTAAATGGCTAATCTTTCATCTATTCCGATTAAAACAAATAAAAGTTATTAGCAACACTGTGATAGGTGACATTCAAGTCCGATCGCGAACTGATGCTAAAGTACGCTACCACCGGTCGCAATCTGACGATAATCGGCGTGAGTTTCATGTACACTGCTGGTATTATTTATCACTTGATTCTACCGTTCTGTGCTGAGCATAAAATTAACAATCAAACCATCAGACCGCTCGTCTATCCGACTTATAGTAAATTTAGTCAATCACAAATTAGTCCAATATACGAAATTGTGTATGTGGCTCATTGCATGTGCGGATATACTATATACTCAGTGACAGTTGGTGCCTGCGGATTAGCGGCTTTGTTTGTTACTCATGCATGTGGCCAAATCCAAATACTTATGTCACGACTAGAAGATCTATTGGCCGGTGAAAGATTCAAACAAAACCCGGACAACGTTCATTATCGAATCGCTACCATCATAAGAAATCACGTAAAAATAATAAAGTAAGATATAATCTATAATATTTAAAACTTCGCAATTCATTTAAAATTTCGCAATAGTTTATTAATATTAAAAAGTAAAAATGCTGTTAAAAAATTTAGTTTTCAATTTTAATAAAAAAAAAAATAATAATAATAATTTGTCTAGTTTAATTTGTGATACTGATGTTAATATTATGCGTAAGTTCATATATAGTTTATTTAATTATTATCATTTCATTGTATTATATATAAATATAGTAAGAAGACAAATGCAACAGGTGAGCTAAACTATCTCCAATCCATTTTAGTAGACAGCACTGTTGCGTGTTAGATAATACGCAGACTATAAGCATACCCTCTATTAAGTATATGTATCAGCTTAGTTATATGGTATACTTGCACCGTATATCAATTCTTGTATATTGAGTTCGAACAAAAGCGTAACGCTTAAAATTCAAGCTAATGTAACTTCGTTAAAAATAAACGAAATTTAAATTTAAAAACAGAATTTTGAAGCTTTAAATCTATATTTTCATGAAAAGTGACTGTCTTTTGAGTTTCTACGAGTTTGATCATTTTTTGCATACAGAAAACTACAAGCTAAACAAAATGAGAAATTTTCTTCTCACTTTATGGGTTTATCACGTGCCCAAAAAAAACTTCAAAAATTTTGAACACTTTCTAACGTAAAAACTTAAAATTTTCCCAACAAAATTGTTTTTTAAAAATATTCCTAACAATTTTTATTATTGAGTTATCACGGATTAAATAAAACAAGAAACTTTGATTATTCAAATCTTCGTCGAAAATCATTGTAATGCAAATAATAAAAAACAAATTTTTTAAGGTGAAACTTTGTTTTATCAAATGGTATATAAATTGTCAAATTTTTGCAAAAACATATATTAGACATGATACAAATAAAGTAACGCTACGAACTTTTGTTTCAACTCAATTATAATTACAATACTATTACTTATAATTAGAATAAGTGAAGTAATACATTCTTATTTTCTCATATAAATTGGAATAACTTATTCCAGGTTTGCGGCAAAAGTGGAAGAAGTTTTACAAGAAGTGTGTTTAGTAGAGTTCACTAGTTCTGTATGCACGATATGTCTACTCGAATACTATTGTATTGTGGTGCGCTAACATATACTAAAGAAAAAGAAAAATATAATAACTCATAACAAATTATAAAATTGCTATTTAAAATTTGATAGAATTGGACAGCAGATGACAGACTTGGTTTTGCGACTTATTTTCTCCTCCTTATGTCATTCTGTTTCAATATTTACATATTATGCTACATTGGCGAGCTTCTCATGGAAAAGGTATATTGTTTCATTTTTCTGACACGCTACGTTTAATTTCGACATCGTTAGTCACAAATGAGTAATTATTCGCGACTGGTTTTGCAGAGCACTCAGATTGGATCGATATGCTACATGATTAATTGGTATCATTTATCGCCAAAATCAGCTCGCAGTCTTATATTGATAATAGCAATGTCCAGCCATCCTATTAAACTTACTGCTGGTAGAATGCTAGACCTGTCATTAAAATCTTTTAGAAAAGTGAGACACATTACGTACATTTATTAATTTCATTTCTATCTTGTAACTTCTATTCTTATAATTTTAAAACAAAATTTGCAATAATTCTAAAATTATCAAATTATTTCAATATCTTTAGAATTAATTAGGGAACGGGAGGGCAAAGTGGAAGGAGAGAGCAGAGCGGAAAATATTCATATACCTATTCAAATATCCGAGCGTGCCGCGATCGGAACTTACTATGAGATAGCGATCCTCATACGCATACTCAAGGTCCCGAACGCGGCATGCTCGGATATTTGAATAGGTAAGTAAAGTAAATGTACTATAGTTAATGGACATGAACCAATTGTTAAATAAAGTGATAAAACATTTCAAATATAAAGCTTTTGATGGTATGTACAATTTTAAATTAATTCGTAATTAAATTTTTATAAATAACAAATTTATTTAGAGTTGTACATATCATTAAAAGCTTAATATTTACAACTAATATAGGAGATAAGGGCAAGAGCCAATAAATTAATTTAATTAGTTGTTTAATACATATTGAGCCTTATCTCAATCATTTTAATATTTACAATTTTGTAGCACTTTGTCCAATGAATTGAGTCAATCTACTAACTGTCCACTAACTGGTACATTTATCTCATATTAATATTTTCCGTGCTTTATTCTCTTCTTCCGCTTTGCCCTCTCATCCCCTAATATTACTCTTATATAACAATAAAACAATATATTCAATCTAAAAAATGCAAAAACTTGATTACAGTTGCAAAAATAATATCATAGTTTAATTTAATTTTTTTAGGTACTGCAAACTAGCCTGGCGTACCTGAGCTTCCTACGGACGTTAGTCATGTAAATTATAAAATAATGTGACATATGTTAAGAAATACTTTAAGGTTAATCTAGTTAGTTCAGCATAGAAGAAAATCTTCTCGTATAGCTGTAATGTATAAAATTACTCATATTACTGATAGAATAAAACTTAAGTCTCTATTATCAGGTGTGCACATCTTTACTTTTTTTATCCTACTATTGTCGTTGAATTATTTATGTATCATCAATCTCAATATTTGTATTTTTTACATATATGTATAAAAAATATAAATGCGTGCTAATACAAATTATTTAACTTTGATGATAGAATAAAAAAATAATGTTACATTAATTTCTTAAGTTCATTTTTTTATTTTAACTTCTCTACTTTCTCAAATTACCGATTAAAAACAGATAATTTAATCGAATAAGGAAAGAATCTTTTTGATCTAAAACCATTGAGTGTAAGGTATGCACTGCACAATTATACACTCCTATCAATCACACGCGATCTGTCAGACTGTGTCGACAAAGTGGAAGGATGCCTGTAACGCGAGCGCAAGCGCATGTCCGACAACCTTGCAATCAATGCCGCGCGTTCACCTCATGCAGTCTTCAGCGGAACCTGTCATTGCAAACATGGAAAGCTCACAGGACGAGCATGTGACATCACCGAACGCCAGTTATCAGCGGGACATACGGTACATCTTCAAGCCCGGTAGCTGGATCCTCGGTCCAATCGGCATCTGGCCTATTGCGATTCGCGGAATCGGGCAATATACATCCAAGATCGCGATCGTCGTGTGTAATTTTGCTTTAGCCTTCGCGATAGTGCCCTGCATTCTGCATATGATCTACGATCAAAAGGACCTCAACATAAGACTGAAGCTCTTCGGGCTACTAGGCTTCTGCACTACCGCGATGATGAAGTATTGCGTTCTCGCGATACGTCGACCCAAAATATTACGCTGCATCGAGCATGTGAAGAGTGACTGGTGGCAGGTCCGTGTTGTTAATACGTAAAGTGTGTTACAGGATCAACAGACAAAATTTATCAGCGTAACGATGGCAAATATAGCAACTAGCTTTTTTTCTCTTGCAAGCTCAAAAAATGTGGCGACACGAGAAACCGACTAATGTAATTTCTTAATCTCAAAATTATTGCAGATTTAAAACTGTATTCTATACATCGACAAAATTTAGATCTAATTTCAAAGTATACTTTTCCGTGTTCACGCAAAACAAATCTCGCATTAAGACAAATCTTATTTTTGAATAATTTTATCCATCTCATAATTTTTGTAGTAAATAATGATTATTTTGCCACTTATTTCTTTTAACAAATTGGTTGCTTACAATTGTGACAGGCGAAATTCAGCTCTGATCGTGAATTGATGCTGAAGTACGCCACCACCGGTCGTAGACTATCCATGATCAGCGCGACTTCCATGTACATTGCCGGCTTCATTTATCACACAATTCTGCCGTTTTGCACCGAACACAAGGTCGACAATCAAACCATTAGACCACTCGTGTATCCAACTTACAGTAAGTTTTTTAAGACGCAGGCGAGTCCAATATACGAAATGGTGTATTTGGCCCACTGTGTGTGCGGATATACCATGTACTCAGTGACGGCCGGATCGTGCGGATTGGCAGCGATATTTGCCACTCACGCGTGTGGTCAGATCGAGGTGATCGTATCTCGACTCGAGGATCTTTCATGTGGCAAAAATTTCGAGCAATTATCGGACGTTGATCAAAGAATTGCTCTCATTGTGAAAAGTCATGTTCGAATATTAAGGTAATATAATTAAAAATGAATACTGCTTTCCGAAATTAATATATTATCACTTTCAATATAATTAATAGAATTTTGGCTCCACCCAAAAATTTTTTAATTCTTATTATTTTTTTAATATATTTTAAAAAATAAATAAGAAAAAATAAAGGCCTGAAGATAAAAATGCTTCAATTTTATATTTTGATTATTAATTGCAAAAATTATTTTATTTTAATAAAATCAATCTGAATCATAATATTTGCAATAGCATTCTCCTCAGACTCTTAAAAATTCTATAAAAAAACAATAAATTTACAAAAAATTAATAAATTAATAAATCTATAAAAATTAATAAATAAATTATAAAAAATGTTCACCTCTATCTTTACATCCATATCTATATATATATTACATGTATTTATATCTCATTTTTAGAATTTCGATATAATTTGGATATGACTGAGAAATCAGACTCTTTTATAAAATGATTTAGAATTATTCCTATAAAGAGAAAATATTTTTTAATATATTTAAAAAAAAATTCCAGTTACTAATATTCAAATTAATAGTCAATGATTTTTTCGAATAAAAATTTTCTACTTTATAATATACAATAAACTTTTCATCACGACTTACAAAAGGCGGGTAAATGCAACAGGTGGATTGAATGAACCTCCAATGCATTTCAGTGGGCGGCACAATTGTGTGCTCACAGATGCGCATGCGTTATCATATCCTCGACGAATGCCTATACACATACTCTTCACTGAATAAAGCCAGATCTAAGCCGATATTCATAGGCCGGTATTCATGGTCAGTTCTTATATTCAAGCCGTCTTAAGTTCAGTCTTGAGGTATCACAATCAGAAGGCCGCATTAGCGTCTTAAAACTTAAAACAGTTTTGAAATAAGAACTGACTATGAATACCAACCCCAGATTTTGAAAACAAGCGCGAACAAACATGAACAAACAATTTACTTCAATGCAAATTGGCAATACCAAATTCGTTCACTGACAACAAATATTCTAAATTTTAATCAATCAATTGTGTCATATATTGAGCTCAGAAAACATGCGATATTCACTAGGTGGACACACACACACCCACACCCCCTCCACACCCCCTATCCCCCCCACCACACACACACATACCTATGCCGGCATCGCTCTATGTTTAAAAGAACGAAAGGAGAAACAGAAAATAGCCAGCGGAAAGTATAAACGCTAATTTCGATCTTCTTAATCATCGCGGTTAGATTTGCATGTCATTCCCGTCACTCTTTGATCCGGTTTGCGACATCCGCAAGTCGTCATCAACGGTTCGCGGCGCTCTTGCTCCCGCGGCGCTTTGATTCCGCGGCAGTAAACAACAGTAACAACGAGATTTCCATTATTGCAAAATGGTAATAGTTTACGCCCTCAAAGTATCTTAGGACGATATATGATGATAAAAAATATATGTGTATTTGATGCCATAATGCAATCCATATTAATAGGTTATCGTAATTGGACTTCTTATTATGATTAAATTAACACTCACAGCAATAATACATTAAAATTGATAAAAATGATATCATTTTATAATGCTGAGAATGGAAATGGTTTATAAAAGTTAATATCTCATGTGCAAGTAACAATAATATATCTGTTACAGATTTTCCGCCGCCGTGGAAGGAATTCTACAGGAAGTATGTTTACTAGAATTCGCTAGTTCTATATTTACAATGTGTTTGCCCGAATATTACTGCATAGTGGTGCGTTTAAATATATGTATATTTAAAAAAACCAATACTTCTTTAAAGTCTACACAGACTGCAAATTATTTATTTAAAATTTTTAATAGGATTGGCAAGACAGCGATGCAGTAGGGCTAACAACTTATTTTCTGCTCTTTGTTTCATTTTGCTTTAATATGTTCATATTATGTTATATTGGAGAGCAACTCGTGGACAAGGTATATACGAGTATAAACGCGTGTGTGAAGTTAGCACCCCAACTTTGAAATTCCGTAGTTCTGAGTTGAGTTCCCGGTTCTTCTTGACGAGACAAAGTGTTCTATATGTATATAAGAACAAGAGTTCCGCTAAATAACCATTTTTAAACAATTTTCAAAAAATGGGGTGCTAACTTCTCATCGAATTTCGAGATAGAATAATTCTGAGCGGCTTAATAGCTTCATTTTGCGATTGCCTAGAGTTCCTGATACAAAAAAAAATTTCAAAAATTCAAAACAAAATTAAAAATTTTTTTTAAATTAATTTTTTTATACAATAGTTCTGATAATAATTCCTGCTTCCTTGTAACAATACGAAGAGTTCTCTATAATTTTTAATGAGATATCCACTTAATAAATAACTATTTTTTAATAATTTTTAAAGAATGGAGTACTTAGTTCTTAACGAATTTCAAGGTCGCAATATACAATAGTTCTGAGCAATTTAATAGCTTTATTTTGTGAATACCTAGAGTTCCTGATACATAAAAAACATTTTTGAAAAATAAACTAAATTTAAAAAAAATATTAAAAACATATGAAAAATTTTTTTGAGAGTTCCAGTAGTTCTGAGTGGCTTTCTCTAGAATTCTCGACGAGTTCTATCGAAAACTATTAGGTCGCAAAACGATTGGACCAACGATTTCCGAGATGAACTCATTAAAAGAATGCTTTTTCTTTTTACAAACGTCGCTATATCTTGCAAACCGTTGATTCAATCGCTTTTTCGCCTAATAGTTCTCGATAGAACTCGTCGAGAACTATAAGAAACGCTACTCAGAACTACTGGAACTCTTAAAAAATTTTTCAAGAATTTCTAATGTTTTTTTAAATTTAGTTATTTTTCAAAAATGTTTTTTATGTATCAGGAACTCTAGGTATTTACAAAATGAAGCTATTAAGCAATTCAGAACTATTCGATCTTGAAATTCGTTGAGAAGTTAGCACCCCATTTTTTTAAATTATATTAAAAAATAGTTATTAAGTGAATATCTCATTAAAAATTATAGAGAACTCTTCGCACTGTTACAACTAAGCAGGAATTATTATCAGAACTATTGTATAAAAAAATTAATTTAAAAAAAATTTTTAATTTTTTTTTTAATTTTCGAAAATTTTTTTTTTATGTCAGGAACTCTAGGCAATCGCAAAATGAAGTTATTAAGCCGCTCAGAATTATTCTATCTCGAAATTCGATGAGAAATTAGCACCCCATTTTTTGAAAATTGTTTAAAAATGGTTATTTAGTGGAACTCTTGTTCTTATATACATAGAACTCTTCGTCTCGTCAAGAGAAACCAGGAACTCAACTCAGAACTACGGAATTTCAAAGTTGGGATGCTAACTTCACACACGCAGTATAAACACGATGTATAAACATTAATTTACACGATTAATTTATACAATTATTTTAATTTTGTAACATTTAATGATGTAATTTTCATGTCAATAAAATTGTAATGAAAAATCGATGAAGTCCATTTAGGACATCAAGCATTTTTCGCAAATTTAATATTTTAGAGCAGTCAAATTGGAACGAGATGCTTCATGATACGTTGGTACCAACTGCCGGCAAAATCAGTTCGCAGTCTAATTTTAGTAATTGCTATGTCCAGTCATCCTATAAAGATCAGTGCTGGCAGAATGATAGATTTATCACTAGCAACATTCGGAAATGTAAGAAATTATGAGGCGTTTACGCGAAATTAATATAAAGTTAAAAAAAATAAATCGATATATTTTATAGTTATTTGCTTATAAGTAGTTTTACTTTTTATGTACTCTTAATAAAAGACTACAACTATATAAGAAATTATAAATTACAAGAAAGTATTGTATTTTAATATAACTTTTTATTAGGTACTCAAAACAAGTCTGGCGTACTTGAGTTTTCTTCGAACATTAGTAGTATGAATATACTGGAAGTACTGTGACAATTAAATACGTAAAAGGATAATATTAAAAATGTAATGATTCCTACTAAATAGAATTCTCATAGATCAAATGTGAGCATTTTAATAAAATAACTATATTTAATATTGTTTAAAATAACAATGATGTAATTAATATTGATTTTGCATATCTAAGGGTAATTTATTTTAACTTTATCAATCAAATATCTCAAAACTGATAAGTTAAAAAAAACAATGGTAAAATTAATTTCTGAAAAAAATCTATTTTTTATTACCATAATATAATAATAAAAGTCATTGTCACTTTTTAAAATGGGGGGGGGGG